AGAATAGTATACACGGTGGCACTCAATGATGATCCCCGTTGTCTTGTGCAATCGAGGTGTTTGCTGCGTGTTGGTACGTGGCGTGAGGCCGGGGAGCTTGTTAGCTTGCGTGGTTTACCCGTAAACCATCCCGTCTTGTGTGTGAGTGTGGTCAGTGGGGGGGGGGGGGGGGGGGGTATGTTATAATTCATAATTGTCATGAGATTTCATTATTCATTTGCATCGACAATGTGTGATTATACATTTCCACGCAGAGGACAACTAAAACACATTATGTGAACGCTGCCTGATTAATCCCAAAGCATTGGAACATTGTTATATGTGTATGGTGAAGAAAAAATCGTACACGCGGTTTTTCCCTTCCAGTTGAAATTCGAAGAATGCTAATTTGGTGTTGATATAATACATACGCCTACAGGATATCGTTTAGGGTTGTTAAACCTCCCCCCTCCCCTCATTACTGGTAACCGTATGAAAAAAACCGGTAAAACATCGGTTACCGGTTTTGCCGCATGTATAAAAATGTCGAGAGTAATGAGCGTACAATGTTTACCCTTTCAAACTGCACGGGGAACGAAGAGCGCAGCCGCGTGGTGTAATCGCACACTGGACTTGCAATCCAAAGGTCTCCGATTGAAATTCAGTGGAACATTGCGGGCAAACATCTGCGACGGAATGGCAGTCGTCAGAATCTCGATTTATCCTGGAGAAATCCGATGAGCTATGAAACTCTTTCTCACAGATTGTCCAGTCGGGGCGGATCATGAAGTTACAATAACAAACAATACGTCGGAGTGGACATCAAACGCGGAGATGGAGTAATACAATCAGCCTCGTGTGCAACTGCCGTGAGAGGCCTTCATCCAGCAGTGGATGGAACATGGCTGATGATAAAAAAAGCATAGCTTGTGGAGAAATCATGGATGCAAACCCGAAATTACGTTACAGTAGGATATTTGGACATTTGCCTCCACACATTAAACAATGACTGACGTGAAATCAGATTCCACAACAATAAAAACCAACGTCGATGGGGCATGCAAGCACTGTATTTTCAAAGCCAAAGCTAACACTGGGCTGATTAAAGCTGAGCTGCAGCGTAATAGCGTTACGTACATCATGATAGTGGCATAACGCATCATTGCTATGATGTTTTTTTATCAGTAAAATGAATTACTCCGTATTAAATATGGCGCGTAGATACAGGCGGTATTAAGGTGGTTTTGGTAGGCTATGTATGCTTACGTTCAGTATTGGACGGCGTTACATTATGATATGATGTAAGCACAATTGCATATTTGTGTTTTGCCTATGATCCCAAAATCGCACGGAATCGGGGTTGATCTCGGAAGATGAAGTACGGTGGTTTATCCTGCATTCTAGTGCTGGGATGGGCAACCACCATGCATACCAGGTGTTGTAGGCTTGTTGGGCGACGTGGTGTGGGCAGCAGAGTGCAATGCAACAAAATCCTTTGCTGTACCGCACTTATATTATGCTTCTAGGTCTATGTCCCGTGCCTTCACCAAGCGGCACACTTGACCAGCGTGATGAAATATGGCCAAATAATCACATCCCTCCCCCCTCCGCCACGATCCGCAAGGGCGTATTGGTGGGTCTCAACCAAGGCCGTCATTATAATATATATTGAGGGGAGGAGACATTTTGAGCATATTTGAATATTGGGGGGGGGGGGGACACACACACACACACACCCCCCCCCCCACTATTCAAATATGCTCAAAATATCCCAGCCCCCAATATATTGCTAAAAAAAAAATTGCTATGCTATGTAAATAAAAACAACAATTTGCCTAACCTTGGCCAGAATATCTGGACTTGTCTTCATATAAATCAATGCATAGATTTCTGTTTATACGATTGTGGTTGTGGGTTGTACTTTATTAATCCCTAATCTCTGCCATTACATACAATGAAACAAGAAATGGGAGAAAAGTAAAAAAATTGCAATGTAATACAATACACTATTAGACATTTTTGTAAAAAAACGAATTAAAAGTCCATCCCATGTGTTAGCGAATTTTTTTAATATTCTAGGCAGGAAATGAGTTTTCAAATGCAGATCTTTTTCTGGGTTGGGACCCCTAGACACCCGGGAAGATTTGGTCCCCCCCAATATTGACTCCATGGCTACGGCCTTGGTCTCAACACGCACGTTGTACTATATTATGCTGTATTATGCAATACAGTACTATCAGCGGGCCCGTATTAGGACAGCACCATTACGCCTACTCTATTATTAATAATGCGTCGGGTGTTGTAATTAAGGGTTTTCTCCTCTCTATGCGGCCTCCCTGGAGGTTACGGGCACGTGCTGTTCACACCTTCACCTTTGCGTGCACAAGCATGCGTCACGAAGTACATATATGCGCCACAGTCCAGAACCCGAAAGATTATTCGCATCTGCTCCGCTTACTGCATGCAATTATTTTGTACAATTATATTGACTGTCCAAGGCTATCACTGGGTCCTTGCACATGTACAGTACAGCCCTTTTGCCAATCGACTGCTGGATGGGCGGGGAGGGGGGGGGCTACCCACACCGTGCCTATAGGGGAGGGTTATCTGACCATACTTCACCACGCTGGTCATGGTGTGTTGGTTGAAGCTATTATCCACGGCTTAATTTCTCACTGAAGATTGGTTTGGGTCTCCGGTATAGGCACGTCACGACCACAGCCGTAGCGATTGGTATACTGGACGTGGTGTGGTAATATTTTCGGGGTCGCCGACTCGGACAGACCGAGCACAAATCGAGTTACGTGGCGTCATTCATCACACGGTCATTACCGCGGCAGTATCTCCTTGTACGTTTACATTTTCGATTATAAACCGTCCGAGCCATTCGTATGACTGTGCTTGCGTTCTTCAGTCAGTCTGTCGTCTCTAAAGGGTAGGATCCTATTTACAGCATCAAGCCTTGCACCGCAAGGACAGGATGTTTTTTTCACCCCGCACCCTTTCTTCCGGAGAGAATCAACGCGTGCTTTATTCGTGGCAATCCCAGAGCAAAATTCCCATTGAGCTATAACAGCGCTCATTACTGTGAGTCGAACGATCATCAGTCCACAACGTCCGTGCTATAGCCCGGACCATTTGACCACAAAACCCGCGCCGTCTGTGGCGTTTCAATTCTGTGGATTAGGTGCTTTGTTGGTCTGTTCATAGAATGCATCTTCTAACGGAGGGAGCGGTCGATGCCCACGACAGTAGCTTTTTCCATCTTTATGTTTTTTTTCGGTAAAGTCACGTAAAAGGGAAATAATAATTATAAGTAATAAAATAATTATTTTATTATTTCCTTCTACGTGACTTTACGAAAGAACCAAGAAGATGAATCCCTGCAGTCACGAAAGCTTTAAATCTAAAAAAAAGCTTCTTTCATCTTTCACGATCTTCAGCGTTTCCCACATTGTTCCCTACCAGCTGATTCCTTCCTCTTCGTCCCCATCTTCCGATCAACTTTCCAGCGGATCCTCTCAGGACGTGTCTCGTATAATGTCACCTGCAGTGGCGTCAGACTTTTCAGTGGATTATTCTTGCTTAGTTAGCCTTCTCCCACGGCGCGTCTTCACTCTTGTCATCGCACCAGCGTGCGCTGTCCAGTCTTGTGTAAGGTGCGTTTAAGTGTGGGCAACAAAGACAATTGTGTTTATATACCCCGAGTATATGACCGTTGAAAAGTGATACACAAATCACGAGCTCGTGAACTGTGCAGCGGCGCGTGTTTAACAATCACGTGAAGGGTGTGTTATTTGAATGTACAGTATCTGTGCTGTTTTTTTCAGTCTTACGCAGAAATGCTTTAAAAGACTAGAGAAAGTAGCCACGATATTTGGTTTCCCCTTTAAATTTTATTGTAAAATTTATATCGAAAAATGTGACTTTCCCGTGAAATTAAATGGGTTCTTAAAACAGACGCATCTTAAACCAACAATGGCTTGATAAATAAGGTCTATTTCACTCACAATATGTCACCATACCAGATACTGTATATACGTATTCCTGAGAGCCCATTGTGACCAAACATCTCTTTCAAGGGAGACCTGTTGATTATAATATTCGCTCTATGTAATAAAACGTAGACCTGTCAAACAAAACAGCCATTTGGACCATTGCTTTCCGGAAATGCGAACTTGCCTACCCCATAAAGCAATTCTAATCTATTCTTGCGCAATGCCAATATGTTCACAAGCTAAATGCCAATGTCGACGTCTGCGAGGCACGAGAGGGCTTCTGGAGGGAGTTGGTGAAACGTTTTGTTATACTGGTAGGAACGAAGTGGACCAGACCACCAATAGATTAATGTGTCCGTCCGTCCGTCCGTCCGTTCGTGGGAGGGGTGGTGTTGAGGGTGTTGGAAATGAAAGACTACGAGTCTTTAAATCTCACAGCGTTTCTTGTCAAAACAAACACTTTTAGTTAACGTTACACTAGAATACAGTAATTTTTTCTTTAACTCATCTATACCCGGTCGATATCTCTGTACCGGTACTAAGTATTATTCCTACCAGCCCACCCCGCAGGGTCCTGTTTCCACCTCCGTTGAAGGAGGCCTGGCTCCAGTGAGTTTACTCGATATTAAATAGTTTGGGGTTTCATGGCCACAATCACACTTCGCCTTGTCTTTACTTCGCCTTCACAAATGCACCTTTAACCCATTTCACGAACGTGAACAGTTGTACACTGCAATGACTTAAACCAGCGACTCAAAACAAAGCGATGAGCTAAAGGCAATCATTCAGGTCCTCCTCGACGCGGCGACCTGCGTGCGGACGCTGTGGATTTATCAATTAAACACCTGGGGCTCGGAGGGCAGCTCTGGCTGCCCCCCTCCCCCGTCCCTTCCCCCGTCTCTGTCCTTCTCCCGTCTCTGTGCATCCCCTGGGGAGCAGTGGGGGGCGGGTGTTAGAGATGGGGGTGTGGGGGGGGTGTCGTGCGCGCTGACGTCACGGAGCTGCGCGTCTGCTGGCGCTGTCCCAGGTGCTGAAATCAGTTCAGCGCAGCGCGACTATTACCAACGAACGTGAACAACGAGAGCAAAAATTATTATATATCTCTCTAACCGTACAGTATATTTCTATTGCACCCCCTCCTGCCTTCTTACTTACGTTCGCCTTCGCTTGGGCAATCGAGCGCAGCAGCGGCAGCTCGAGCGTTAGAAAATCTACGGTCCGGTCTTTTTGCCTTCTTTTATATTCAGTGTGCGTGCGTGGAAGGAGGGAGGTATGGATGGATGTGAAGGCGATTAAGAAGAGACGCTCGCTGGCTGTACGCGTGAACACGGGGAGAGAAGAACGGCGGCGGCGCCGAGTGGGATCGGGTTTGTTGCCCGTGGCGAGTGTTTAGCCCCGGGTCGCGTTGGTTTATTTTTTTACATAACGCGGTGAGATTTGTAATATTTTTTTTTGTGATGAACCGAGACGATGGTTAAGCGCAAAATATCGCACGAGTACGTCCGCGAGATTGGCAGTGACATACCGCTCCCCATACAGACGTTCCTGTGGCGGCAGACGAGGTGAGTGCCCGAACACACACAACCGGCGTTCGAGTGTTGAATGAGAGTGCGTGCGTGAGTGTGAATGAGAATGTGCATTCGAGGACGTGTGCGTGTTTTGTGGGCGAGCGGTGGCGCAGTGGTTAACGCACTGAACTACATACCCCGACGGCGACTCGAGTTCAATTCTAGTTCATGGACCACTTAAGTGACGAATATTTGAACCGGTCCTCTCGCCTCCTTTCCCCCCACTCCCCTATTTCGACTCAGCCCTAAAAAGGGAAGTGACGTGGTGCGTATAAAACATCAGCACTGGGGAGACAAAGACGGCTAGGTGTGGTGGTAGCCACCCCATCCCCTCGTGTACCATGGCGGCCTCCATAGGTGCTCGCTAACAGCACTTGTCCCAACAGTCTGTTTAAGGCTATGCGCGTGTGGGGGGGGGGGGATCTTTGTGTGTGTGAATGAAAGTGAACTGTCCGGCGCGTTCGTGTGTAAATTACGGGTGTGTTGTGTAAATGAGTGTGCGATTGACAGTGAGTGTGTGTACAGTACATACGTGTGTGTGGAGGTGGTTAGCCCGACTGCTGGTGTAGGGCACTCGTAGTCGGTGTCCGGAATACCAAGTGGCATTGGGCATATTGGAAATACCCCACGAGATAAGAGACAGCAGCGTTCGTTTGTTTGCATGGGAGACACCCGCTGTCTCAAATCGCAATGTCAGCGTTGAATGAAACCACGGCGCTTTAAATTACAACGTATTGACGTTTTGACCACGGCCATTACATTTACAAATTGATATTTGTAGCATGGTGATTAACCCGTCAAGATGAACGAAGAATATACGATGCAGACATCAACTAACTTGTGTCCTCTTTTGCCTTTCTTATTTATAACTTTTCTGAGAACATTAGAATGTCATAATGCAATGTGTTTGTGAACATATCTGTGTATAAAACATTTGAAAAGTATCATCGGTAAAAAAAAAAATCGTTGCCTTTGTCTTTGCTTTTTTGCCGTTGGCAGTGCCTTCATACGACCAAAACTAGGAAAGCAATATGAAGCATCATGTGTGGTAAGCGTGAAAAACATATGCCTGTGAGTGCTAGTAATTTCATTAGTCTCACCAGCACGAGTGCAGTCAAAACACACAGCTATAACCCAGAGAGAGTTGTTCTTTCCATCAAGGTGTCCTCTGTGTAACTGGAATACCGAGGTACAGTATTTACCATAGAGAGGAGAGAGACTGTGTCTTCCTAGCTGCCAGAAATTAGACCTGCTTCCAGATTTAGACCTGCTCCCAGAGCAGCAATGCCGCTGGGGTGTTTTCTAGAACGAGCGAATGGTGGAATACAAATGCAAACTCCCTTGAAGGGTTTACATTCAAGGGGGTGGTGCTGTCAACATTCATAGAACACTTGAAAAAATACTGCTGAACCTAATTAAACACTGGTTAAAATGTGTTGCAAGCAGGTCGGGAAACCAGTTTGAATACGATTTTAAATGACGGGTCATTTGATGGTAATTTCTCCATTGCCCTTTAACCACTGCAAAGAGGAATAATCCATCAGAATTTGCCTATATGTGTAGAACACTAGTAGGGGCTACTTATGGAATACAGGTGGTAAATGTGGACTTTTGAATTGGTCATATATTCGACTATAATTCTTGGCTTTGAGTTTTTATTGTATAGCTGGAATTATTTCAAGATATAAAGCCCTTTGTTGTGCAGGAAAGCCTTGTGAATTCTCGAGATTTTTGAGGAATTTCCTGCTTTGGATGTTTTGCAAATTCCATTCATGAGTGTTTGGACGGGTAAAATGCAAATTTGTAATAATGCTCAAAGCTCTGTACATCTGGATTCAATCCAATTACTGTGCTGCGATCTCCCTCTTGCAGCAAGGCGAGTTTGCGAATTTCACTAAAATATACACGAGACTTGTCTTAGCACAGTTTGTATATTTACAGGTGTTCATTCTCGACGAAATCAACCTGTCAGAATACACGCCAACATAGCAGGGCCACACACAGGTGTGCATTTTGCCCTGGGCCTGAGATCCGAGAGGGCCTCAGAAGGACTGAGCGAGCCTCATGTGGCATTTTGCCCCGGGGCCTCCAATAACCTTTCAATGGCCCTGTCAGGCAGCATGTGAGAGACAAAGGGGTAAAAATAAATTGTCCGCGGGCACTCACTGCACCTTGGTATATATGTTTTTCCACTGCAGTCGTTTGAGCGCGTGCTGGTGGAAAACAAGCTCCAGGGGCTCTCGCCAGCTCTGTGCGAGGCCCTCCAGAGCGTCACCCGATGGCAGCTCATCCAGACGTCGCTTCCGCACGTGATGCACTGCACAGCTACCCTGCTGTCAAACCGGAACAAGCTGGGTGCGTGATTCAAGCTTGCTGCGGTGCAATTTCACAGTATCATATTATTCAGAGGCAAGATGAATAATTTATCGGTTCGGCGACAAGAATTACATTTTTCTATAATGGGTTTGTTTTTGGAGCTCGCGTGCTGCTTGCTGAGAATTTATAATTGGGGTCTTATAATTGCGATCATATGTACGAGTCGAAACACTAAAAAATGCAATGTTTAAATATATATTTGAGCTCCATTAATGAACGTTGCTATTACGGACTTAAATACAAGCTACACTTACCATTTACATGTCATTCGTTGTACATCATCAGCCATGATCAATTCATTGCTGGATGAAGACCTTCACAAACCATGGTCATGTGATGCAAAAATCCATCTAGCACATGCACGTGAAATGATTTTGATCACTCCACCCCCACGGGAGACATTTGGGCATGTTCCCTCCGTTTGCTGCGGGTCCATCCAAGTCTGGTGTTACAAATGTTAATGTTATAGATACGAATACACATAATGTAACCTTGCTCATTGGATTGTCCACGTGGACAGGGGTGGGGAAACAGCATGCCAGGTGGGTCGGCAAAGCGATGTGTCCTAGTTTGGAAATGTCCCTTGGGTATAGGCAGCAATTCACACTTTCCCATTTCTCTACGTCGTTGTTCTCATTACTGGGTACTCGTGACCTTGGTAATTAAGCTACTCCACTCTCTGCTATTTTTCAGGCTTTGCTATGGTATTGATATCCTGTCCTCCTGGTTTAAATGTATAATTCAATCTGGTCATCTTCGTCTGTCCACCTGTTTCTCTTTCGTTCCACTTTTCCATACATGCCTAGCTACGTGTCCAAAATACTTTAGTTTCCATCTTTATATTACGGTGAACAGTCTAACTTGTATAAACGATCTCTTGTGATAAGTAGACTTTTGTTGGTTCTTCTTGCTGTCCCAAGGAGCAGGTAAAATTAATCTCCAGCATCATCGTTCAAAAGCTGCGATCTTTCTCCTATCTAACATTCGAGATAAGCCGACAACGTCTCCTTCACATAACTGTCGGTTCGCATCTCTTCTTATTACACAACCCATGGGCACTACGATTTTCTGGGAGAGTATCATTTCAGCAGCATGATGCAACACAAGCAAACTGGACCGGGTTCGACATGTAGTATCTCATCAGCAGTGACTTGCTCGAATCGATACTGGGGAACCGTCAGATGTTATAGACAAGTACCCTCTCTTTCACAGAGGGGTCCTTAGTTCGACGAATAATTTTTCAATGCGCAACGCAAACTCATCAACGAGCGTCGTCGTAGAGACTATCAGCAACAATAGCTACCTCGCAGACTAATCACCTATCTGCTGCACCCCTGCGCTTCCCTTCTACATCCCACGAATTGCGATCAACCGTCCATGCCCGCGTCGCTTCATCCACGTAACGCAGGCGGCGCTGATTCATCCGCGCGGACGATAACGCCGCATGGACCACCACCCCCCCACCGAACCCCACCACCCTCAGGCCACCAAGACAAGCTCGGCGTGGCGGAGACAAAACTTCTCTACACCCTGCACTGGATGCTCCTGGAGGCGCCGCAGGAGTGCGCAGCATCGAGAGGGGGCTCCCTCCTGAATCGCGGTGGGGGGACCATCAGCCACGGCGCAGGTGGCGGCGGTGGTGGTGGAGGAGGAGGAGGGGGCGGTGGTGGTGCGGGAGGCGGTGGATCGAGCAGCACTGCGTTCCTGCACCAGGTGGCGAACCAGGCGTCTCCGAGCCACGCGGTGACCCCGGGGTCTACGCCGGCTCCCGACGGCGGGGAGGTGACCGGACGCTGCCCCTACGGCCTCTCCATGGCCACCGTTGAGCTCTTTGTGTTCCTCTTCGCGCCGCTCGTCAACAGGATCAAGGTGAGAGGCTGCGCGACGAGTGTTCATCATCGTGGCGATGGGCCGTTGTGCATGCGCATTGTCAGGCTCCGTTTGTCAATCCACTGCTGGACGACAGACTGTCCACGCCACGGGGGAATTTGAGCTTAGCCTGGACACGCTGGTTTGGTGAAGGCAGGGAACATATACGCGGGAGCATAGAAGTACAGTACGACTAATTGATTTTAATGCACTACCCTCTGTGGCCCACGACCCCGCAGGCTATGACAACTGTTAGTGCATGGTGGTCGACGATCCAAGTACTTTACAGACTCAAACTTACTGTGCTTCTGATTATCTGATGAGATCGAGCGCATTACATTTTAGATGACTCTTGTATGGATCGAACAACAATGCAATGGGGCCTGTTTGACAATAACTTTATCCTGGTAACCTGGACCATGGAAGACTCAGTGTTGTTGCCCTGGGACGTACTTAACTTGTGAGTTGTTTTGGTCCTTGCATGTTTGGATTTGTGTTCTATACCCCATATATGTGTATAGTAGAACCCTTTTTACTGATCACCCCTGTTAACGACTAATCGATTACCGACCATTTCCCTGTTAACGATGGGCTTTTGTGGGTACAATAAATATTAATTAATTCGTTTATTTACCGTATTTCTTTTAATATTACGTGCTTAAAATGTTGTTAGTATCCTTATGTATTAATATTATAGAGTACGTTTTCTTGAGTGAAAAGGGGTAACTTTCGATGCCATCGGAACCAATTAAGCCTTTAACATGTGCTTCCTATACTCGCTTAACGCCCGACTCACTTAACGCTCCGTTTCGTGGAGCCAATGGCCGTCGCTAAGAGAAGGGGCTTCTACTGCACGTGCATGTGCTTATGACCGCGCGTGTGTGTGCGTGTGCGCGTGTGTGTGCGTGTGTGTGTGCATGTGTGCGCGTGTGTGCGCGTGTGTGTGTGTGTGCGTGTGTGTGCGTGTGTGCGCGTGTGTGTGCGTGCGTGTGTGTGTGTGCGTGTGCGTGCGTGTGCGTGTGTGTGTTTGTGTGTGCGTGTGTGCGTGTGTGTGTGCGTGTGCGCATGTGTGTGCGCGTGTGTGTGCGTGTGTGTGCGCGTGTGTGCGTGTGTGTGTGCGTGTGTGTGTGCGTGTGTGTGTGTGCGTGTGTGGCGCTGCGTCAGGAGTCGGACCTGACCTTCCGACTGGCTAGCGGGCAGGTGATCTGGCAGCCCATGTGGGAGCACCGCCTTCCCGAGATTCCCGCCTTCGCGGCGCTCATTAAACCCACACGCAACATCATCACCGGTACTGTACTGCACTCGCGAGAAAAGAAGGGGGGGGGGGGGAGTGGAAACACAAGTGCTGCAGTAGGCATTAGAAGTTATTAAAACTACTACTACTGTAAACTTGAGTCTTTTGACAATTGCAATGCCCGATTCCTCGGGCTACCCGGAGGGTTGATGTCCGTTGCCTGCAGCTTTGCGTGGAATGTCTCCTGCCAGGTTATCGACTGGTATACGTTTAGGATCCAATCAAGTTCAAAGTTCAAAGTTCATTTATTAGGTATAGCCCTGTGAGCCATTCGGCTCTTGAATCGGGTGCAACCGCAACAAACAAAAAAACAAAAACATGAATAAGAAAACATCTTCAAGTGACTATGTGCAAACAGAAAATCTAAGAAATCGTGCAACGGGTCAATGGTATAACGCCTGTGCCCCGCGGGTTGCTTTGACTGCCACGTTGACATGGCGTGATCAACTTCAGCGTCAGTCTGCTGACCTGTGAAGTCCTACACGGCCAGGGACCCCACTGTCTGAGAGATCATCTTTTTCTCCCTACTGCCCCTCCCAACTGGTTCGATCCACCGAGGAGGGAATCGCTTAACATCCCCAGGGTGAGACTGCAAGACATCTGAGGCGTTACTAATGGGAGTTTTCCCCTTTTTCTGGCAACAAAACTGATACCTTTTTGCAAGGAATCATGCTTACATTAACCACAATACTTGCAGTCAAATGTAAACAAAAACAATACTCTGATAATTTATGCATTGTCTTTGAAACTGATTGGTCCACACCAGAGACAGCTTTCTTTGGAGCCTCGTCTCATATGGTGTTTGACCAGATGACGCCAAAAGGCATTTGACTGCAAGTATTGTGGTAATGTAAGCATGATTCCTTGCAAAAAGGTATCAGTTTTGTTGCCAGAAAAAAGGGGAAAACCCCTATTAGTATATTTTGTTACTGGCAAAGGAGGTCCCATGATGATCTGAGGCGTTGTTCCTTTGCTTAGGCAGCTCCTACCCTGTAGAATTCCATTCCTCGTCACGTGAGGGACTGCCTGACCGTCCAAAACTTTTATTTTTTACAAATTAACTTAAAACGTTCGCCCGTTCGGCCTGGTTTTTACAGGTGAAAATTAAATGAACGTTTCAACACGTGTGGTTGTAGATTAACCTATTTACTATTTTTAATTGCACGCTTTTAAAGTTTAATGGGAAGATCTGTTATGTACAAGGGGCACTGATTTCAAGAAAAGGTGCCTTAAAGACGTCAATATTTGATTGATTGAAATGCTCTGTTGCAGATGATGTTTTTGCTGGCCTAGTTGAAAGAGCACTCAACTGCTATGGGGCCATCCATTTAGTACGTACGCATGGAGGGGGTAGGGGTTAACCCAAATGCGTACGCTTGCGTATGGGGGGGTCTACTGACAATGTACGTACGCATAGGAAACGGGGGTGGGGGGGGGGTGATGTCTCGATCATAATTCGTCTACATTGGCCTTCAAATGAGCCACAGTTCAGTGTCTTCAGCTGTGAGACAACAAGTACTGCCGGGAGAAGTGGGAATGTGGGAGAGGTGCCACTTCGTATGCCACCGTGACCCTGACTGCAACTATCACGCAGTTCAGCAAAATACGTGGCCAAGGTACGCAATTTTATGCAGCCGGTGGTGGACTATCTATTTGCTTAAACACGTTAATATTATTAATTCTTGATCGTTTCTGCGTGGATTAAATATCGGCCGTTCATTAGGATTCGGGTGGCGGGGGGTGCGTCAGGCGTACGTACGCAGGTGGGGGGGGGGGGGATGTAAAAAGTACGCGTTCGTACAGGGAGAGGGGGGGGGGCGGTCAAGTTTTGACAGATTTTTGCGTACCTACTCAATGGATGGCCCCTATGAAGAGCTCCTGCAGCATAATTGTACATCGGGGCTTTGTAACGAGAAAACGCATGTGTGTTTTACAGCTAAGAGGGTGTTGCTGTTAAGTCCGCTGACGACAGAGCCCAACAGGAAGGATGAGCTCCAGGAGGTCTGTGTCTTAACTTATTTTAAATTGTGCGTTCTTAATGGAATTATCAATTGAGATTTTAATAAGTGCATACATAAACTTCAATTACAAGAGCAATAAAAGAACATTACACTGAAGGGAATATATATTAAATCTGCATGTGATTTATCAGCAGTGGCATATCTATCATATATATCTATAAAATCGTGCCAATTTCATGAAGTTATATTTGAACACACTGTATACTGCACATGTTCAGCGTCCGTAAAAAAAAAATAACCACATCACTCCACCAGCTCCCAATCCAATCCCAGGTCAATTTCAGGATCGCAAATCCTCCATGGTCTCCTCCCTCTCATCTCACTCTACTCCCCTCCACACACTCTCCTACCGCCTCTCCCCCTGCCATCTCGCTCTACTCCCCTCCACACACTTTCCGCTCTGGCAACCAATGATTTATTTTAAAGCCACCAGTTAACCTTTGCTCAATGGGAGGTCACTCTTTCTCTTGTGCTGCCTCCAGGTGCTTGAGGTCACACCCCCTAGCCTTCTTTGCTGACAACTCCTGTTCGAGTCTGACCTTTAACTGCCCATCATCTCTCTCTCTCTCTGTGTACAAGATAAACATTCTCGCTATTTCTACACAGCATCTTGATATGCAGTTGCATATCGATGCTATGTGAAGCCACATTCAACTGTACGTTTTGGGTCACCGCGTTAATCTGGTCCTCTATGTACAGGCCTGTGAGTAAGTTTGTAGGTCTCAAAGTGAGTCTGTGGATGTCCGTGTGTCTATGGGTATTTTCTTCTGCCTATGATTGACCGCCTCTCTATGATAAAATCAACGCACGCACGCCGTTTCTGTGCAGCATCTTGAGATGTGGCCGCATGTAGATGCGATATAAAGCCACATTGTTTTGTGTTACATGGGTCTCTATGTGAATCTGTGGTTAATTTTTTGCGTTTTTGTATGGATCTGCAGGTTTCTGTGTGTGAGCCTACGGGTATTTGCCTAAACCTATGGCTGACTGTTTCTCACAATAAAAATAAATATGCATACTGTTTCTGTAAGGTTCCTTATATGTGTGTCTGTTGAACTTCTTTCGCACCGTACGTAGCCAACCGTGCTAATCAGAGGTGCGGTGGAAGGACAACAAACGAAACACAAAAAGCAGTTCTAAAGAAATGAGTTTTCAAACTAGATATAAAAGTGCATTGCTTCCTAATATCGAATGGAAGAGCGTTCCAGACGGCCGCAGAAGCGCACCTTGAAAGCGCGCGATGCAGTGAACATCTTTGTTCGACGGCCAGCCAAAAGCCGCTGCGGGGATGACCGGAGTTCGCTTGTTGATGGTTTAAGCTCATTGACGAAATCAGCGAGGTAACCGCGGTTCATTTGTGGCGAGCCCTGTGTGTGTAATGAGTTAGACTCTCCAGTCAAGGCATGCAACCGTACCTCCCTGACGCTATGATCCCATGCGGACGCTGAATGTATCCACGCTGCGATTGTGTGTGTGTGCGCGTGTTCGTGCCGCATGTGCAGCAGGCAATCGAGGTGGTGTGTGAGCTGTGCCAGGCGGGAGCCAATCACGCCGGCCCGGGCGCTTCCTCGTGCCAGTGCGAGCACTCGGCACCGGCCGCCCCCGTTCCCCACGCAGCGTAAGGCCCCCCCTCCTCCCGCCGGCGATGTGGATGTGTAACGTGGCACGAGATGACACACGCGAGGAGTGCTTTTCGCCACAGTTTATTGCTCTGGGGGATGCCGCCGTGGGATAATGTTAGCGCCGTGGAGTCGTTCATCTCGAGGTTACCGGTTAGATCTCCCGAGGTGGCGGCTGACACAGCGGCCACTTTCTTCGATCTCCACCCAGCCGTATAAATGTGTACAGGTCCTGTGTGGTGGGGTAAAGCGTGGATATTCCCTCCTCCGATTAGCACGGTTGGCTACGTATGGTGCGAAAGACGTTCGGCATACATACAACGACGTCTGACCAGCTTGGAAGGGGTAAACCAAACATTCTCTAGAGCTTTCTCGAGGGGAAACCCTTCCACCAGCAGTTGCAGGGGCTGCACCTTTACCTTCGCGTAACCCTTTCCCATTCTGAGACGTCAGCGAGTTGCAGGGTGGGCCCTGTTCACCGCTGAATCTCGGAACGTGCAAGCGGTTCAGTGTAAAAAAAAATTCGAGAGGCATAAGCACTGTTGTTTTTAAAGGCATTGTCCTCACCATAGAGAACTGTAGCGACACGACCACACTCTATGATAGCGGGCGCCAAACTGTGCCACACGCCCTCCCGCATGGCCTTGTGGGAGCCTCAGTGCCGTTAAATTTATTTGAGTTTTTCTTCCGGCTCCGTACACGTACGTCATCGGATTGGAATCGAAAGAAAAACTGATGACGTACACGTACGTCATCGGATTGGAATCGGAAGAAAAACTGATGACGTACACGTACATCATCGGAACGGCAAAAGGTTTAACCTTTACTCTCGCCGTAAAGTTGGGCCCCATCTGTTGCCCGTCCCTTCCCCCTCTTCGCAGCGCCGAGGCGGGATCCCCGCCGGACGTCAAGCTGAACCAGGCGACGTACTTTGACGTGGCGGCGCTGCGCTGCCTCTTCCAGCCGCACTGGTCGGAGGAGGGCGTCCACTGGGGGCTCACCTTCTTCCTGCAGCGCCTGCGCCAGATCCTGGAGGAGCACGCCGAGCAGGGCGGCCGCCGCGAGCCCGACGTCCCGCCGCGGCCTCGCAGCCACTCGGTGGCCGTGCTGCCCTCGCTCGTCAACACTCGCAAAACGCAGGCAAGCACCGACACCCTGGCTGGCTGGCTGGCCGACTGGCTGCCTGGCCGTACCGCGGCGCCACGGTGGCTCGCCTGGTATACGGCAGGTCGTGGGTTCGATCCCGACCCTGATGCCTGCTGTATATTTGGAGTTTGCATGTCTCTATCCCAGTGGTCGAGTGGATTTTTATCCGGGTCCTTCGTTTTTTTTCCCCTCCACATTTAGAAGCATGCGTTTTAGAGTATTTGGCTGCTATTACTTTCCACGTGGCCAGGTTGCTTCTGAAAAAACAGCAATATAGCTCAGTGGACTTTACCTAGTAAAATAAAAAGAGTTTATAGTTTCATAGTTTGTAGCACCGTCATCGTCATCGGTCATCGTCATGATTGTCGGTTGCTGTCCTCGCGAGTGCCACATATTGCCAAGGAAGCTTGGCGTTTGTGTCGTCATCAGAGTTGCACAGTCAGGCGATTCAAGTAATCTGTTACCATACTCTTAGTTCTTTCGGTAAAGTCACGTAGGTAAAAAATTGAATTAAAATTAATAAAAATTAAATAATAAAATCACGACGTTTCGGAGGCAACACAAGTCTCCGTCATCAGGTGGGACCTTCTCAGCCAGATTTGCTGCATTTTTACCTACGTGACTTTACCGAAAGAACTAAGAGTATGAATCCTTGCAGTCACGAAAGCTTCAAATCTAGAATCTGTTACCACATGGATTATCAGTTGTCCTAGTTCCAGTAGAAGAGCTTCACCCGTCATGTAATTCAAATTCAACCTCCCCACTGCTGTTTGATTCGACGAATTGTCATAAAATTACAGTCACGAATTGATAACGATAAATTTCTATGCCTTGTTTATACCATATAATTTGTATTATTTGTCTCATATATTCAGGCTGCCATCTGTTATGTTGTTGGTTCAATTATCTGAAATGTAGCATTTGCATATAATTTGCACAAATAGTAAATGATTAATTTTGACGAACGTGAATCGATGCATGTATCTTGAACGTTAGAAATGTCTCCCAATCGATTAATCACTGAATTGATGTGTGCCTAGCAGACACCTATATTTAAATATCATCAGCCATTGTCTCTCCACTGCTGGATTAAGGCCACATCCTGTCATCATCCCCCATTGTCTCATCACAATCACATCCCAGAATGTTTTGCATTCAGAGTAATTTTGGCACGTGAAATTTTTTTAATTCAAATATGTAGCTTTAATTTTGTAAAAAAAAAAATCAAGAGTAAAGTTACGCGAGTACATGGATCGGATGAATTGTTTTGTACTTTTTGAAAAAGTGGCATTGAGGAGGAAATCTGTCTCGAAGGAAACGAAGGCCCGTGGTGAAGACTAGTGATGGAGTGGCAGCCAAATGAGGAATTAATCCGCCGTGAGACTATGAGAGATGGTGGACGACTTGGGTAGGCCATCATCCAGCTGTTGATAGACCATGGCTGATGGTGGCGATGAAACTCAAGCGATAGAATTATGCCTTTGAGTGTGTGCGTGTGTTAGACATAAGCAGGCACTTATACATGTAGGACAGTGGTTCTACAGTGGCTAGTTCACTGCGCTACGAACCTGGCGACCTGAGGTTGATTCCTGTTCATGGCCAATAATAGTGGTAAATATCTGAACCTCTCCTAGGTCGACTCAGCCTTAAATGAGTACCTCGTGTGGTGTGTAAACATCAGCACTAGGGAGACTAAAGGCGGCCGGGAATGGTGCTGGCCACCCACTCCCTTGTGTGCTGTGCCGGCCTTAATAGGTGCTTGCCAACAGCACTTGCCCCAACAGTCTGTCGTATGTATGTTGAACTTCTTTCACACCGTGCTAATCTTCTATGTGTTTGACATACTCTTCAACTCTGAGATGTATTTGTCATAAAAGCGAGTTGTGTTTCCCAGGACATGGCCGGCAAGACGGAAGGAAGAGCCCGAGCTGCTGAACTGCGAGCCGTTCCCGAAGGTGTCGACCACGAGCCAGCGGCGATCGGCCGTGCCAGACCTCACCACCGACATCAGCGCCAGCATCTTCAAGCGGGTGAGTCTGCTCACTCGGCGCTCGACAATGTTGTCAGATCTTGACTAGGAAGCTAAGCTGGGCTGAGCCTGGACGGTGCTCGGGATGGGTTACCGACACGCGCAAAAGGCAGGTGTGTGTGGCAGCAGAGGGGTGGTGCAGCAAGAATCCATCATCGTTCTGCCCTTTAGTCGCCACCTTCACCAACCTGCATTGACCCGTGTGGTGAGGCACGGCCAAATGTCCCGATTAGCAAGCTGCTCTGTGCTCCGGTAATTGGGAACCGTTTACGCTGTTAATGTATATCTCGTGTGCCGCCTTAACATGCCGTGATTGCAAATGTTGAGAAGACAAGTATTTGTGAGCGTGATAAATGTGTACGCCCAACACCGTGGGTGACGTCTTACTGAAGATCGAAAGTTTGCCGAAAAGTTGAGATTTTATATATATATATTTAATCTCCCATCACGGAAAACTAATACTTATTTTGTATTCGCTCTTGTGTTAGGTCACTGAAGCAGCAAAAAAATTCGTGCCACAACTATTACTGACTCTTTAAATTACAGCAAATTAATTATTATAATATTCAATTCGTTATTGATGACATAAATCAAACGTTCATTGATCATTGCAGCAAAGGGCTCAGCAGTACAGGTGGATATTTCTGAAATGTTTAAATGCCAGGAGATGTGAGGGCATCTCAGAATTCAGAGCGCTGAGCTGGCGCCGCGGAGTTCGAATCCAGATCGCTGCCTGCGAATAAACGAGGTTCTGAAGGGTAGCGAGCTGATGGTTCTAGCCAAATCACAAAAGGCTTGTACCAAATAAACTATTCTATTACATTGAATTCTGAGCTTAATTGACCTAAATTCCAGCTCTGGGGAATTAAAGATAACACATAATTTTCAGTAGGGCAGGTGGGTAAGTGCTGCCCCCGAGTTTCCAGATTAGAGATCACTTGAAGGGAACTCGAAAGTAGTTCTATGATGTCCACTTCCGTGGGCCTTTCTCTAACGTGCGGTTGGGACGGGGTTCACTCCTCCACGAGAGATCCAGATGGCTTCTTTGTCTCATGACGTGCGACTAAGAGCACAAGTGGAATACAATGGGGTGGCAAAATACATTTGAGATTACAAAAAATGCCCCATCCTATATACTTCCCCTCCACATTAAACAGTCACATTCGCTCACTAGTTTCCGCCCCTCACTCGAAACTCACTTATTTCCCCTAGCTCACCCCACGACCCCTTAATCACCCCTCATAACCACCACCGTTACTGCTCCCTCTTTATATTCTCATTCTATGGCGATCACTCATTCCCCATTCATTCATTCCATTCATTCATCATAATTCACTGTCATCAATTTCGCTTTCACTGAATTCACGCATCACAGATATTCCCATTGCGTCCACTCATCTGTTTCACTCACCGCATCTCCACAATTATCCGGACATCTGTAGAACCCTACAGGACATCTGTGAAAAAAGAGCATCATAGCTTATCGGATTCCTCCGTCGCACGTAAATATTTCCGATTCTGTTTTCCCACCGCCAGTTTAAGAGTCGCCGAGAGGACCGCGAGCGGAAGGGCTCCATCCCGGCGCACCAGCAGGGCAAGAAGCGCCAGCGGCGCATGGGGGTGCCCTTCCTGGTCCACGAGGACGCCGCCGCCGCCGCCGGCGACGCCTCGCCCACGCGTAGCACCTTCTCCTTCAGTGGTGGGACGGAGCGCACCGGCTGGCAGACCGCCATCCTGGGTTAGACGTGCGCACGTGCGCGAGAGATCGACAGCGTCGACCAACAGATCCAAACAAATATAAGTGATTCATACTCTTAGGTTTTTTTCGGTAAAGTCACGTAGGTAAAAAAAAATGTCAATTAATAAAAGTTAACAAATTGCAATAAAACAAATTAAAAAAATCCTTGCAGTCACAAAAGCTTCAAATCTAGAAATATAAGTGACCCCAAAATTGTTAACCCGGCCCCTCCCGCCTCGCCTCGCCTCACCCACCACCCCCACGGTCCCTTAGCGAGCGCTCCTAGTTCCTTTTGTAATTTAAAAATGAACCCCCCCACCCCCCCCAAATCTGTTCTCACCATCGTCGCTTTTGCCCTGGCGGCCACAAAGCGTCGACCAACAGACCAAAAAAATATGTGACCCTAAAATTGTTAACCGGCCCCCCCGCCTCGCCTCACCCCCCCCCACAAATCTGTTCTCACCACCGTCGCTTTTGCCCTGGCGGCCACAAAGCGTCGACCAACAGACCAAAAAAATATAAGTGACACCAAAATTGTTAACCGGCCCCCCCGCCTCGCCTCACCCCCCCCCCCAAATCTGTTCTCACCACCGTCGCTTTTGCCCTGGCGGCCACAAAGCGTCGACCAACAGACCAAAAAAATATAAGTGACACCAAAATTGTTAACCGGCCCCCCCGCCTCGCCTCACCCCCCCCCCCAAATCTGTTCTCATCACCGTCGCTTTTGCCCTGGCGGCCACAAAGCGTCGACCAACAGACCAAAAAAATATATGACCCTAAAATTGTTAACCGGCCCCCCCGCCTCGCCTCACCCCCCCCCCCCCCAAATCTGTTCTCACCACCGTCGCTTTTGCCCTGGCGGCTACAAAGCGGCAAGTGCTCTCGCGGTGCACTTTCTCAATTCGCCATTGGCAGGCCAGTATAGTGAATGTTTGCGTGGCTCAGGTACCAGACTTAGAATCCCACACTGCTCTTTCTGAATATGCCATTGCCAGGGAACTCCGAGCTATCTCCACACAAAGAGTTTGCGTACGTGTCGCTCTTTGCATTGGACCGGGGTCCAATATTTGATTTGGAGTATTCTTGCCAATAACATATTCTGTTAATCCAGCAGCGTTTGTTTAAGAAGCCCGACTCTTACCAGACCCAGACGTTCGAAACTGGTCCAGAGTTTTCTTGATTAAACAATCTCTCCTGGAAAATATAGGCAGATAAATTATAATATATATTTCTAGATTTGAAGCTTTCGTGACTGCAAAGACTCACATTCTTAGGTTTTTTCGGTTAAGTCACGTAAGTAAAACATCAAAATAAAAATAATAAAATAAAAATAAAAATCACGACGTTTCGGAGACAACACAAGTCTCCGTCATCAGGTGGGGAGACAGAATTGAGTTCTGCCTGATATTGTCAGGGGAGTATGCTTAGCACCACGTGGCTAAGTACACGTGTATTATTCCCACGATATGTACATTCTAAATGAGCCACTTTGCACTTTAAAAACCTCTCCGGCTATTGCAGAAGTGCTCGCGGAGCTGTCGAAGAGTTCGAGGAAATCTCGCCCCGGCAGGAAAACCACACGTTTGTTGCCTCTGTTCCCACCGACAGGCACACAGGCGAGCACCGGGTGGGAATTTCAAGAGGGGAACTCCGGTTACCTCGTCTTTGTAGATGTTGGCAGAAAAATAACATCGATGCCTTTGTGGATAAGACTGGTCGGTTGGGAGGGGTGGGGGGGGGCAATCCGCAGAGGTGAACACGGTGGGTGGGGTCACAGTCGCGCCTGCATCAGTTACATTTGACAGACAACGGCGTAAATTGCTTCGTGGCTCAGAGCAGTGCGAACTGCGGTGCCGCCTGGACCACACACGCATGGCCACGGAAAGCATCGTGTTTGAATAATAGTTATTGAAATGTGTAAAGCGCCCTTAAAATATCGTTCTCGGGGCGCTGTACATGGAAAGGCGGAAAGAGTTTAAAACATCGACCTTGGAAAGAAGAAGTGAGAAAGATATTTGACAAAAATTAAAGAGAGAAAACCATTTTCAAACGGATACTTTTTAAATCGAGATTTGAAGACCTTCGATTTAAAGCTTTCGTGACTGCAGGGATTCATCTTCTTGGTTCTTTCGGTGAAGTCACGTAGAAGGGAAATAATAAAATAATAAAAATAAAACATCATAAAATAATTCTCACGACGTTTCGGCCACAACGCAAGCAGCCGTCCTCAGGTGAAGAACATGTCTGTCTGGCTTCAGACGCTGTCTTCCAGACAGACCTGTTCTTCACCTGAGGACGGCTTGAATACTGTGCAACAGCTGCGATATCGAGCAGTTGGTCGTCGACGGCTTTGGCCAAAGATGAACCACTTGATCTTGAATGCGGTATTAGTCAAATAAGCCGTGCGCTGCCCAGCTTGTGAGCACTGGCCCACACAAACGCCTTCCCAGAGCCCAATTACGTATTCAGGTGGCGGCGCCTGCTGTCCCTGGTGAGACTCTTCAATGATACGCACGAGAAAGGGGGGCTGCTTCACACCGTAAATGCTGAGTGATGAGGTTCGTTGTACAGCGTACATTGTTTTAGTCACGGGAACCATCTGCGGAACGAACGCCATGCGTACTTGTTGGTAATGTGTACAGTGCAGTACTGTGTCGCATATTATATATATTTTTGTTTCCCTTGTCCTTTGTGCGAGCTAAAACGTTCTTCTTGTGTGTGCGTGTTTATCCATTGCAACAAAAAAATGTTTTATTCAAGCTGCCCGTATCAGTGCACGTGTGTTCCTGGTCGTTGTTTATGCGTTACGGCTACGGGCTGGCAAGCCACCTCCATGGAATCTTTGTTTACTTGTTTAATGTTAAGTATATGGGTGGTTTTCCACGAGAGAAAGTCTACTTTATTTAAAGCCCAAAACAATGTGTGTTTTCTATCCGGTGGGGAGCGATAGTGTAGCGGTTAGGGCACTGCGCTACGAACCTGACACCCGAGTTCAATTGCCGCTCACAACCAACACCAGTGACGATAATCTGAACCGATCCTGGGCCTCCCCTAGGTCGACTCAGCCTCAAATGAGTACCCGGTGCGGTGTGTAAACATCGCCACTGGGGAGACAAAGGCGGCCGGGTGTGGTGTTGGCCACCCACCCCCTCGTGTGCCGTGCCGGCCTTCATAGGTGTTCGCTGACAGCACTTGCACCAAAAGTCTGTTGAAGGCTACACGGGTGGATATTTGTCTTTGTCAGATAGCCACCGATCTCGCCTGCCTCTGAATATGTAATTTGAGTGCTTGCCTGTGTCGAGCACCGCCGGGAGTTTGCCGCATAATGCGATGGCGACCCTCAAGGGGAGCTCTTCTCTTTTGAGTTCTCAAAAGATCCACACGCGCTCCGCACGGCGGTTTACTGCGGAGCGCGTTATCCAACGGAGCTTCATGGCTACGTTGGATAAACACCGAAGCTGTCAACCCATACGGTTTACCCCGTATTCGTGTGCAGGGAAATGCAGTTTTCAGGTCCATGCGGCGTACAGACGTTTAGATGCGGGCAAACAGAAATGTGTCTGTGTGTCTCCCTTGCGAAGGGACTTTGTAGGATGAACGTTGAGATGTATAAGGGGCACGGGGTGACCAATACGGTCTGAATTGGTCTGTAATAAGGTAGGGCACTGATCAGGGGTTGGCAGGAATTAACCACCGACGGCACTTCCCGTAAGAATGTTACTGCCGCCCGCCCTCAAAAGAAAAATGCGCGGCTTTAAGTGCAGCCGAATCAACTGGACATTTGATGTTTACAAAAAGTGAAAAAAAAATCACGTTGCAGTGGCACAGCGTCAATGTTTTGTGCGTTTGTCTGATGTCAGGACAACCAAAGCCAACGTTAATTCCTCCAATTTGTGTTAGTTGCACTCTGCAGTGCGTACGATAACCTTGTCAAATGTCCAGCTTGGTTAAACCCTGGCCCACTTGCCCACGTGGCCGGGCTTCCTCGCGCGTGAACGAGGCAGCGTGTGGTGCATGCCCCGCTGGGGTCTTTATCGACTCACCCCACCACCCCACCCCGCCAACGGGCTGCTGAATTGTCACGATTTGATCCAAGAATCGATTCTCTTTTAAAATCGCATTGCGCTAAAAGTAGCGGCTTGTATGCACTTGCGTGTTGCACTTCCATCGCACCGTACGTAGCCAATCGCGCTATTCGGAGGTTCGGGGGGGGGGGGGGAAGGACCACAAACGGTGGACAACAAGCAGTGAAGGCACGCGAACGCATTGCATATGACGTGTGAATAGGAACATAAGAAATCCCGTAAAAACAAAGTTTTTCACTATAAATCCTTGATATGCGCGGCATCGGTTTTATTTTATTATTCATTTCTGTTTTTCTTGAGTAAGAGTTTCATTTTTATCACATTGGTATTTTAAATTAAATATGAAAAAACATCCTAAAGTGTTAAATTTTGGAAAAAAAATTCAGGAAAATGCATTGTCACGCACAACGAGTATGTGTGCAAAATGTCAGCTCGATTGGATCACGGGAAGTGGGTTAAAAAACGACCAAAAGATTTGCACGGTCCTAAGCAAGCAAGCGAACTTAATATAAAGGATTTAACAAATATTTGCTTTTATGGACTCAATCGCGACGCACACATCGCTTTCGTTTCGAATGTAGAAACAAATATTTGGTTTGAAGAAAAGTATCCTCCCCATAGAGGCGAGTCAGTTTAACACGTTGGCTTTCGAGATCAAGCCCAAAAAAAAGCTCTAGTATGGACACATATTTGCTCTTATGCACGCAATGCGATTGTTAAGAATCTCGAAAAAATTGCTCTTACGCATGCACATTGCAATTGGTTAACAATCTACGTTTGTCGACGAATTGGTGGTGTTATTACGCCTCGAATGTGCTGCTGCATTGCTGCATGGCTGCAAAAGTGAACTGCAGCGGCAGTGGGCTGCGCCAGAGGAAGAGCTTTTATCTTGCAGTGTGCAATGACCAACAGCGATGAAATTGGCTTCTAAGCATCTCCTGTCGGTTGGCTGTTTGATGTTCGTTGTAAACTCTCCGTCTGCATTATTGGAAACAATGTTTACGATAAATCACAGGCGTGTAACGATGGACTCAAACTGACACGAACATTATCTTTAAATTTCGATTTAAAGCTTTCGTGACTGCAGGGATTCATCTTCTTGGTTCTTTCGGTGAAGTCACGTAGAATGGAAATAATAAAATAATAAAAAGTAAACATAATTAAATAATTCTCTTTGTGGTCGAAACGTCGTGAGAATTATTTTATTATGTTTTATTTTTATTATTTTATTATTTCCATTCTACGTGACTTTACCGAAAGAACCAAGAAGATGAATCCCTGCAGTCACGAAAGCTTTAGATCGAAATTTAATTACGTTTTATTTTTATTATTTTATTATGTTTTATTTTTATTATTTTATTATTTCCATTCTACGTGACTTTACCGAAAGAACCAAGAAGATAATCTTTAAATGTCTGTTTTTTTAATCGGTTGCGATGGAGGCATCAATTGTGCGTGCAAGAATCAATTAGAGTTTACGTGAGCTCTTTGGAAATAATATGGTCATGTGCATTTAGGCTAATAGAATGCACAAAAACTGTACAAACAAACCAGTAAAAACACTAAAACAATGCAAATGAGATAGTAAGAAGAGCAAATGAGAACTGATTCTTGAAGGGAAACATGCCTCTCCTCCCTGCACCCATCCACTGTGACGATTCATCAAATCGATGGAGAAAATTAATCAATCAGAATCAGAATCTTGCCGATGTTGCGGCTTGCACTATAGGTGTCATTAACTTTGGTTTTCAGCTGTCATTGGTTGGTGACATACTCGGAATCTAAAATGTAGCCAGATGCTACTACATATTACTGACATTTGTTCCCGTGTGATGTGATGCCTTATGTATGCATGAGCTGTAAGGCAATATGGGCTTTCGCATTTCAATTTCCTAGTAACCGTCATGACAATCACCCCTTTTTTGCCAGTAACAGAGATTAAAGCCACGGTAAACAATTGACCCTAACGTTTCAACATTGTCGCCTCGCTTTGTAAGCTCAAAACAATAATGTTAAAGCCTTGTTTGCTGCTCTCGCTGTATATAACAACATAGTGTGCTGCAAGCAAAGCCGACCTTGCAAATCATATGTCTGTATATACGACGTTTTGTTAACCAGAGCGGTCTTGTTGTGTAACCCCTCAACCCCTTGACGTTGTGCAACCCGCGTCAACCTCCTCAACATTAATCACTGTGTTGCATGCTCGCCTGAGAGATAGAGAGAGAGACACACACACACACACACGGTCGCTTCATTCAGGTGGGACACATAATCTCATGAAAACGTGACGGACGGCGCTACGTGTCACCGCGCACGCGTGTTGCCGTGAGCAAACGCGTGCGTGCGATGCGCGCTAATTAATGGCAGTGGCGAGGCGTAAGGGGTTAGTGTTTTTTGGGAAGGTGTGCTGCTGCTGCTGGCTGCTGCTGATGCTGCTGCTGCGCGAATCTTGTTTGTGAAGGCGCTGCTTGCAGAGGGGACTTCCCGTCACCGGTCATACCCGATCTGTGTGCGAGCGGGACAGTCAACCCCTGATCGGATTCGTACCAGGCTTGCCGATCAAAAACGCAGCGGTTCGTGCCACCAGTCAAATTCCAAACGTGGCACGCAAGTGCGCGTTTGTCGATTTGACATCGTGCGCAGCATTAATTAATATTTACCGGTAAGCCCCGCTACGTGTTCATCGCCAAGGCAATGGGTCTCGTTGAGCAGACACGGTGTGGAGCTTACGAGACCGCGCTACGATTATTGTCAGCAAATGCAGAACGCGGCTCTGGCCGGTGGTCAAGTGAGGCTGCGATTGGATTTCACTTGGGAGGGCCAGACGAGTTTCTGCGGCGATGCTCCCTGCCACTCTGTTGTCGTTCTCGTTGTGTGTGGTGCGCGCGCGTGTGTGTGGGTGTTCTCGCTCGCAGGCAAGTTCTCCCGGCGCGGGAGCTCAGACACCGCCGAGATTGAGAGCCTGCACACGAGGCACGCTCAGTCCCAGCATGCTCTGCTCCATTCCCAGCATGTCGTGCACTCGCACTCGCAGCATGCTTTGCTGAGTGACATCCCCGACCACTCCAACAGCCACGGGGACAACAGCCTGAAGGAAGGTCTGTGCCGTTTTAACAACACCTTCCCCCCCCACCCACCCACCCACCACCTCCCCCTCGTGAAAGTGGGGCTCGGCGATTAACGCAGAGATGGCAGTAAGAGAGGGCTCTAGATTTGAAGCTTTCGTGACTGCAAGGATTCATACTCTTAGTTCTTTCGGTTAAGTCACGTAGGTAGAAAATGAAATTAAAATTAATCATCTTGATGCAGCAAATCTGGCTGTGACGGTCCCACCTGATGACGGAGACTTGTGTTGCCTCCGAAACGTGATTTTTATTTAATTTTTATTAATTAACTAATTCTACGTGAGTTTACCGAAAGAACTAAGAGTAGTAAGAGAGGGCCCTTTATTTCTCGTCATGGCTCAAGAAAATGGTCAGTGTTTGCCGTTGAGGTTTTTTTGCATTTGCCCTGTATAGCTCTCCGATGTGTTTTGGGGGGGGGGGGGGTGGTTGTGCACCGCATGTTATTCGGCATGATGTCCAACGTTTCGCTCCACGTGCTGGGAGCCAAAGAAAGGTCCCTGGAAGTGTAGCAAAAAAAAAGTTGAACAACACGCGGGATGACCCAAAAACGCTTCGTAGAGCTGTACTGCCAAATGTGTTTGTCCAAATGTGCCTCCATCGCATTTAGCGCAATCAACCGATGCTTCTCAAAATTCAGCAGGGAATGCTGACCCTGCCCTTATTTTGGGGTACATTGTCGGACTCAGCTGTGCACAGACCGTGGCACGATGTTCACGTCTCATGAGCGGATAATAAGTCTTTATTCAGGTCCTTATTTGGAAGCGTGAGAAAGTGCTGATTATGGCTGCAGCTGCTGAAAGAAAATCTGACTGCGCGAGCATCTTCCTCTGACTTGGAGCCACATTGATAATCTGAAAGCAGTTAAGGCGGTGTGAAAATTAGCCCAGCACACGATTTGTCCGTGGCGCTCGAATCTAAATCCTGGAAAGGCTCACTTTAAATGTGTCATCATGAAATGCACAGCTGCCATAGGGAATAAAGGGCCCAGTGAAATGACCGTGTCGTTATACAGTACATCACCGTTTTATGCCCCTATAAGTAAATGAACAAACCAAACCTGTCTCTCGCGTAGTCGTTGAGTGCTTGTGTCGGGGTTGGGCCACTGGAAATATGAACATCATTTATGAGCAGGACAAGGTGCTTTTGAAGAGACATTGTGCAGAGATTTTGAGGAGACTTTGAAAAATATGAGCCCTTGCCTATTTGGTATGACCTGGAAGCAACCATAATAACTGTCAGAGGCCGGTAGATTTGCACGCTTTATTTACGACGCCATAAAACTTGGGTCCCGTTATGGGGGGGGGGGGGGGGAATCTGAACTCTGTAGAGTCTATTCCCATAAAAGTAAGTCCGTGTGAAATATGGCACCAGGTGTCACTTTCTTCAGTGCTTGTAAAGAAATTTCGCAGGCATCCTCAAAGACGGACTTTCTTGCAATGCAGTTGAGCAATTGCACGGATATCGACTCGCCGGCTTGTATGCCAAACCGTTGCATTGCAGCCTTCTAATGTTTACAGAGATGAATTAAACTTTTCGCGAATTTATCGGCCACACTCGTGGACGTTTTATTTCATTTGCACTAAATGAGTGCGGAGTAAGAATGCTCTCACGTGTAGCTCGGCTTTTCAATGAGCAATGCCTCTTTAAAACCAGTGTCTCTTTGAGCACCTTGCTGTGCATTGTTTGTGTGCGGTGCACAGTGGCTGTGCAATCCACTGAACTTTGCCCTTGACGGCACAAGACTCTCGCGATGTTATCAATCCGGTGTCGCCAGGAAATGCGTAAAAACTTGGCCCGCAACGCTTTGAGTGTGGCCACGTTTTTGCTGCATTGCGCGCGAGTGTAACGAAGCGCAGACGAGTTCAGTGGATTTCACTGGTAGCGCCTACAAACTCCGCGTGCTGTCGTCTTCATTCTGTGCAAATGCCCCGAGAAACAGATCTACGTGCTGCGTTCCGTTGTTGCTTCGTTCACTATGTTTAGATTGTCTCCGCGCGCCACCTACGGTGAAGGTTTGCAGGAGGAGTGGCGACATTAACACCCAGAACGCGTCTTTGTGAGCATTTCAGCCGTCGTTTGTTTTCAGGCAGAGTTGGGAGGACCTTTCATTGTCGGGCGTGAGCTGTGCTGTCTCGTGTATCAGCAGTGACAGCACGGACGTTTGATTTACGTGTGTTTGTAAACTGTGTAAGAGTGTTACATTTCTGTACGTCTCCTTGGTTCTTTCGGTAAAGTCACGTAGAAGGAAAACAATAAAATAATAAAAATAAAACATAATCAAATAATTCTCACGACGTTTCGGCCACAACGCAAGCAGCCGTCTTCAGGTGGAGAACAGGTCTGTCGAGAAGGCAGAGTCTGAAGCGTGCTTGCGTTGGGCCGAAACGTCGTGAGAATTATTTTATTATGTTTTATTTTTATTATTTTATTATTTTCCTTCTACGTGACTTTCCCTAAAGAACCAAGAAGATGAATCCCTGCAGTTACGAAAGTTTTAAATCGAAATTTCTGTACGTGTTAATGGTGGAGAGTAAATGTTTACGTTATCCGTATACTCTATTTCAACTAAAAAATAGGTTTAATGGAGTAAATGTTGTATAACTTGATTCATAACCTTATTTACATCTCGAATAGGTTTTCAGAAATACAATGAAACAGCTCACATAACCTGTTTTATTTTCCCAAGAAAATGTTGGTTATATAAGCTTAAGAAACGAACACGGACAAACTGTCATGTGTGCTAAATTTAAGATAATATGCAAGGCAATAAATAATTAAACAAGATCGGATTTTCTTTCAAAGTTCGTATACTATAGAATCTATACATAAAAAAAACACAACGTGCGCTATTTGTGTTTTATTTGTATTGCTGTGAACCCTGACCTGCAGTTACTTGACATTACAGCAAACACAACAATCAAAGAAAACAACAAATTATAACAACCGGTCGATAAACACCGAACAAAAAGCTCGGGTTACTTCTATTCGTATCTTCATTGCTGTCAAGTCTCTTGGCGAACGTTTTCACCGAGAGACTGACAACATCAAAAAAGAGAGAATCCACAAGCGTGCAATCCGCTGCAACGAAATAACAGCAAACATATTCTTAGGTTTTTTCGGTAAAGTCACGTAGGTAAAAATTTAAAATTAATAAAAGTAAAATAAAATAAAAATTAAATAAAAATCACGACGTTTCGGAGGCAACACAAGCTTCCGTCTTCAGGTGGAACCGTCACAGCACGCTTGCTGTATCAAGTAAATGAGGAATTCCAAGATATACAACCCCTCAACCAGTATATATACGGGGTAGTATCTCTCTCTAGTATCTCTTGGAATTTCTCATTTATTTGATACGGCTATCGTGCTGTGACGGTTCCACCTGAAGACGGAAGCTTGTGTTGCCTCCGAAACGTCGTGATTTTTATTTTATTTTTATTTAACTTTTATACATTTTAATTAAAAAATTTTACCTACGTGACTTTACCGAAAAAACCTAAGAATATGAATCCTTGCAGTCACGAAAGCTTCAAATCTAGAATTAACACCAAACACCCAGCGGAGACATCCCGTGCTCTTGCTGTTGCCCTACAGTCAAGTCTCAGATCTCCACCATCAGCGTGGCGACGTTCAACACCACGCTCGCCTCCTTCAACGTGGGCTACTCCGACTTCTTCGCCGAGCACATGCGCAAGCTGTGTAGCCAGACGGCAATCCCCGAGATGCCGCGTGAGCCGCTCGCCTGCGCCAACCTCCCGCGCAGCCTCACCGACTCGTGCCTCACCTACTCCGGCGTCGAGGACCCCGTGGAACCCACGGAGGATGCCAGCTCGTACATTTGCCGCGATGGCACGCTCGACTACCAGGTGACGTGCAGCTCGCGTGCGTGCCGGTGCGTGCGTGCGTGTGTGCTGGTGATTCAGAGGTGCTCGCTAACAGCACTCGCCGCCGACGGTCTTGTCAAGGCTAATAAGCGAGCACTCTTTTTTTATTTTCTTTGTGCGTTCGTACAAGGCTGCAGCGCTTGCTCCAACAGTCCGCTAAAGGCCACGCGGGGGATCTTTGTATCGTCTTTGGTGTGCGTGCGCGTCAACGATTCCAATGTGCAGCAGCCATTCGCACTGCTGGGGCGAGTTTTGTTTGCGAGCACCTATTAAGGCCGGCACGGTGCACGAGAGGCTGGTGTGGCCAGCACCACGCCCGACTGTTTTCATCTCTCTAACAGCCGTGGCTCGCTCCGGTTCAGGTAGTGTGTATTTTAATTGACAGAAACAAATGAGCAGTAGAGAGTACAATAGGGTATCTGCATTACCCATAAATATGCAAAATTCATCTTGATATGCAAATTCTTTTGTCAAGGCGCCCTTCCCCCTCCATTCCAGCTTAAATAGTCGCTCCAAGCCTGGAGTGTGTCATTCAGACTCTGTCTACTCGACAGACCTGCTCTCCACCTGAGGACGGCTGCTTGCGTTGTGGCTGAAACGTCGTGAGAATTATTTTATTATGTTGTATTTTTATTATTTTATTATTTCCATTCTACGTGACTTTACCGAAAGAACCAAGAAGATGAATCCCTGCAGTCACGAAAGCTTTAAATCGAAATACAATAGGGTAGTGGAGGTACTCTTCTGTGCTTCAATGGGCGCTGCTGGGCTGTCTCCAGACCTGTTAATTTTCACGGCTGTTGGCTGCATTGATTTTTCTCTGGCTGGAAAAACCTGAAGCGAAGCTCGCTGCATGCCTGACCTGGATCCACACTGCATGTAAACTAAAACTAAACTTTTTTTTGTCCAGCTAAGGCCCACTGAGCTATATCACTCTTTATCAGAAGCAACCTGGCCACACATGATAGCTCAACGAAGTGGCTTATCACGTGGAAATGTACAGCAGTCAATTGCTCTGAACGCACCTTCATTCTAAATGTGGAGGGAAAAACCGGAGGACCCGGAGAAAAAATTCACGCGGCCACAGGGAGAACATGCAAACTCCAAATATACAGCAGCAGGCGTCAGGGTCAGGAATGGTCGGACGACCTCCCGCATATCAGGCAGGAGGTCGCTGCGCCCCAAGCATCGGACAGAGCTTATCTTACTCCTGCCCCACGTCAGCTCAGACTACAACCCTTCCCGATAACTCATATAATACTAACTCTCACGCGGACGTTTTCAACCATGTTTTTTGCTTGCTGTTTGCTATTCCAACAAGGGCATTGCCCCGCGGCAGCTCTCCATCGCGTGCAATGCGCCGCCCTCTCTCATAACCCCCCAATTTTGACGCCAAACCCTCGGCCGGGGGGGGGGGGCTTCGTCTCGCGCACACAACACACGGGGGGGGGCGGGGGGCTTCGTCTCGCGCACGAAACGCACGGGGGGGGCGGGGGGCTGGGGCGAGTGGCCGTTCCATCCGCCGCGACCTTTCGCGTGAAATCCCCAGCGGCTGCGTCACGCGACCCGACTCCGCCTGAACACGACGGGACCCCGAGGGCACTCCGCCGCCTGCCCGGCCCGCACTCTCGCCAGCTCCACGGGGACGCGGCTCGGTTCTGCGCCCGCTGTCATGCGCGGCATCTCTCCCCTTGGCCGGTTGCGTGGCGGCTACCCGCCCGGTGGTTGTCCCAGTGGGATTCGGGCTGCGTTCGCGCTAATTGATTCGTCTGGATGCGTTCGCCATTCGTTTCGCCGCGAGTTCAAATGTCAACATCGTCAGCCGTTTTATGTCCGCTGCTGGATGAAGTCCCATCTTCGCGCCGTCAGCATTCCCTCGTGGTTGGTGGTGCGATATCACAATCCGTCCGTGCATGCGGGCTGATCTCACTTGCTCCATCTCCCCATCGGTCGTGCTCTAGTGTGCGCCTTGGGCTTTCATCCCATCACCAGAATTGGTCATCATCCCTTCTAGCGATGTGCTCCTGCCGAAGACAACTTACATTTCTCAACAGTCAATAATGCGATGTCTCTGACTTGCACGGCACTCAGTTTGACTGCGAGTTCAACAAGCCGCGACTGATGAGGTGTATCGCAATACAAGGGGAGGAGTGGTTGGGAAGTGGTTAGCACACTCCACTGTGAACCTGACAATCTGATTCGCAGCCATGGCTAACATCGGTGGTGAGTGACATCTGCAGAAGTTCTGAGCACCCTCCTCCACCCCCCGCGATCCCCCAATGGACCAACCTGTACTGCTCAATATCGTGAAGCATGGTAAAAAAAATAACCCGCATGGCCAAAGGGTGTGGGGGAGCCTTCATCCACTAGTGGATTAAAGAAAGGGCTCCAAAGTAATATTATGATTTTGATGCAGTGTCGGGAGAAAGCAAAAGGAGGGAGGGAACACCCCCGAGCATGCGTCTCCGTGCAGATGGAGCATTACAATTACCCCGTGTTTAGGAGCTTAGAAGAATCGTTATGATCAATGAGTGAATGACGATGGATTAGAGAGGCCTTCATCAAGCAGTAGATTCGTAACAGCTGCTGTTGATGATGATGATGACGATGTACCATTAACGACCCCCCATCGTGTTGGTTCACGGAGACGTTTCCTCGATTTGATAATTGTTTTTTTACCCTTCTATCTGGCAACAAAACTGACACCTATTTTACAAGGAGTCATGTTTGCATAGACCACAATACCTGCAGTCATAATGCAAACAAAAAACATATCTCTGATAATGTATGCACTGCCCTTGAAGTTGATTGGTCCACACCCGAGACAGCTTTCCTTAAAGCCTAGTCTCAGATGGGTTGGACCAGATGACGCCAAAAGGCGCACAACTCAAAGACAATGCACCATCAGAGTATGAGAGCTCGGGGTAAGCAAAAAAAAGGTGTCAGTTTTGTTGCCAGATAGAAGGGTAAAAAACAATTATTATATTTTTTACTGGCAAATGAGGTTCCAATGGTGTAAATATCAGAGTTATGTGTTTTGTTTGCATTATGACTGCAGGTATTGCGGTCTACGCAAACATGACTCCTTGTAAAAAAGAGGTGTCAGTTTTGTTGCCTGATAGAAGGGTAAAAAACCAATTATTATATTTTTTACTGGCAAATGAGGTTCCAATGGTGTAAATATCAGAGTTATGTTTTTTGTTTGCATTATGACTGCAGGTATTGCGGTCTACGCAAACATGACTCCTTGTAAAAAAAGGTGTCAGTTTTGTTGCCAAATAGAAGGGTAAAAAAAAATGTATCATATTTTTTACTGGCAAATGAGGTTCCAATGGTGTTTCCTCGATTGTGAGTGGAGCTCGGCGCGACCGTCGGTGGGACGCCGGTTCCATCACCGGGGAGGGGGGGGGGGTTCTGCCGCAAATCTTGGCCACGGTGAGCGAGGCAACGGAGCGGCGGGCTCCCCGCTGGTCTTGCGCCCAGCCGGTGTGCACGGCTAAAATAAAACAGGCGTGCAAACTTCTATATTACGCGGCGTTCCAGCCTGGTTATATTATAATCTTGGATTAAATTCAGAGCGTCTTCCACGTTGTCAAAGGGCGTTGCTGAGCTGCGGTGCATACGGCAGAGAGGTGTTGGTGCCCAGATTATCGCACAGCAAAAGCATTTTACACGGTGCTCCAAGGGTGAGAGCTTTTGTTGATTTTATTGAGAAGAAGGGAAGATTTTTTGATGTTCGGCTGACTGGCCTTCTTTATCCTTAACGTGTTATTTTCATGCGTAAATCCAACAGAGTGACAACTTGATAACTTGTGTATTCATACTGATGGTTCCATACTGATGGTTCCATTCTGATGGTTCCATACTGATGGTTCCATACTGATGGTTCCATTCTGATGGTTCCATACTGATGGTTCCATACTGATGGATACACCATTTAGTGTAATTTAGTGTATTATGTGTTGTATTATCACAGTTTTGTTCATTTCATAATTGCATGACAGACAAACAAACATTAAATTGTTGCTGTGGAAGATAATGCAAATTGTTCTTGGTTTTATTATCCAGTGGGATGAAACACATGTAACAGCCATTTGTCGATATACTGCTGGGATGAGGCGCTGCCCAAAAAAAATTGTTGATGATTGCGCAGGATGTTTGGCCATACAAATTCAATACATCTACGCACAACATTTCCATTTCAATCAGAGTTCTGGATGCTGCACTCTTGTGTTCAAACTGCCGTTCATTGTGCGGTTTACACAACGGGTATGTTGGTGACCTATCTGCGTGACGTTTTCCCGATGTCCCCTATGAATTTCCCGACTTGGGCCTATGCTGTCCCTCCCTGATGCTGAGACGGCGTTGATTCATGCCTTTATTTAAATGTTGGATCGCTGCAATGCCTTACTTGCTGGTACTTCTCAAAGCGTTCTAAATAGCCTACAATATATTGAAAACACGGCCGCCCAGGTTGGAACCCAGATATAAATTGTGTGACCGTATCACTCTTATTCTTTCCTCCCTGTACCGCCTCGCTGCAAAGTACAGAATCGACTTGAAGATTCTTCTTATCACGTTTAAGGCCTTGAATGTGCTGGCTCCTAAACATCTCACCGATCTGCTTAAGTTGTATATTACACTGTGAAAACGCACGTATATCTGCTGATTCTCCTCTACTACCCATCACTCCAAAGAACAGACTTTGCTCTCTGGGAGACAGAGCTATTCGCAGGGACACTCCGCGATTGTGGAATTCCTTTCGTCAGTCCATTAGGGAATCTGCAGTCTGTAACACCTTTTAAATGTTGTCTTAAAGCTCACATATTTAACAGGCTTTTCACCTTAACTTTAGCCTTCGTGTAAAGCACTTTTGAGGCCTGTGTGCGAATTCAGAATGAAAAACGTTATTTGAACTGGAGGAATCCGAGAAGCTACTAAACTCTTTTTTCACACACGTCCAGTCGAATTGCACTCTATAAAATCGAGTTTATTATTATTGTGGCCACGTGAGTTTTCTCCAGATGCTCCGGCTCAGTGTTTCTCCCCGCAGCCAAACCCGGGACTGGGCCATCGGGCAGCAGTCCATGGGGGAAATTGCAAATGTGATCAGAGTACATTTATTTTATTTCTAATTACAATATTTTGTTACCGCTAATGTGTACGCTTCATTGTTTATTTACGCTCTCAGTTGGCATTGAGTCTCATTATTCGGCCAGCAGCCCCAACGATTCTTCCTCACCGGCCCATTTGTCTTTTATGACCAGCCCACATGAGATCGCACGGCAAAATCACGCTCATACGTCACGTCGCCGTTTATTGCACATCCCATTTAAAACTCCAAATTTTTTTTTCTTAGCCCGAATTTGGGCCGGTGTGTTTACAAACGCCTGGGCCGATTTTCAGTCCCAGTCCGTCACTGCCCCCCCCCCCCCACAGGTGATAGCGCGGGCGCTGTCCGTGGTGCTGGGCGGGGACATCAGTTCGCGCGTGTGCGACACGGCGCTGCACATCATACACGTGCTGCTCCAGCTGGGGCTGGTGGCCGCCACGGACGAACGCGGCAGCGCCCAGCGAGACGACGGCCACCCGCAGGAGCAGACGGGCGACAGGGCCCCGCGGACGAGGGGCGGCAAGGACGGCGTCTCCGGAGGAGGGGGCGGCGGAGGAAGCGGAGGAGAGAGCTCGCCAGTCCAGGGGGAGAAGGTGGGAGGGGGGGGGGCACGCACACACCTGTTGCTTTGTTGTGGACTGTCGATTACTCTTGATGACATGTCGTTGTTTGTGTACATATTAGTACGAGAGTCAAGCCAACATTTGTTTCACGTTTTAGTGTTTGTGTGGGCTCGGTTTTGTAATTTGTGCTTTGTTCAATCCGGGGGTAAATCTGCACGATCCGTGCTGCAGGGAATTTCATATTGAGCTTTGATTTAACGTTGATTTTTGTTTCGCGGTACTTTCGATTACTCGTGTGACACTGTTGTATTTGTTTACGTTCCGATTACTTTGTTTTGATAATTTTAGCTTTTTTGTCATTTCGGTCACCCGGGTCACTGCAGCAAATGAGACTCATCTTGGTCTCGTGAGTTCTCACCTCGTTGAACGAAATAAACTTCAACAACGTCGGAAATACGTTCCTATCACGCAACGTGACGCGCCGTATTTAGAATCGGAAGGCAAACTTCAGACATCGCTTTAAAATTTCGTGTTTTCACTTGCAGCGATACACTTGCAAGGTTGAGCTACGCTACACGGGAGATGGGGGGGGGGGGTAATCTGTGTGTTTGTGCGCAGGAGGCTGGGCCCGCGGAGAGCATGCACAAGCTGGCGCTCATCATGCTCATCCGCGTCATCAAGTCCCTGGGCTGCGCGTACGGCTGCGGCGAGGGCCACCGCGGCCTCTCCGGCGACCGCCTGCGCTCCCTGGTGCCCGCCGCTCGCCCATCGCTCGTTCGCTCGTTCGCTCGCTCGCTCGTTCGTCACTTAAACTATACACACATTTTTTTTAAACTATAAACTATTTTTAAATCCTTTATATTTAGTTCACTTGCTTGTTTGCTTGCTTGCGCGCTTACGACCGTGGAAATCTTTCGGTCGTTTTTAAACCCACTTCCCGTGATACAATCGAGCTGACATTTTGCACACAGACTCGTTGTGCGTGACAATTAATTTTCGTGAAAAAAATTCCAAATTTTTACACTCTTTAGGCATTTTTTTATATTTAATTACCAATCGCTTAATGGTGGCAGGCAATCATCTGACCCATAGGTGGCAGCCATCTCAAGCCAGAGGACGAGAGGACTCTAGCCGCCACGCATATAAAAGATTTATAGTGAAAAACTTTGTTTTTACGGGTTAATTTTTTTATTTTACCAGGTAAGGCCCCCGCTGAGCTATGTAGCTCTTTGTTTTTAGAAGCCACTTGGCCACAAATGATAGCTCAACGAAGTGGCTTACCGCGTGGACATTTGCAGTAGCCAAATACTCTTCAAACGCGTGCTTCTAAATGTGGAGGGGAAAACTGGAGGACCCGGAGAAAAATCCACGCGACCACGGGGAAAACATGCAAACTCCACATATACAGCATGGGTCAGGGTTGGGATCGAACCCACGACCTCCTTTTACACATTCCTGCGGAGGGAGATGGTAGGAACGTTGGGTTGCTCGATCAATGGCCAGGGTCAACGGCGGCGTGGTGTGTTCCGCAAATATGCCCGACTGTGTGGGCGGGCACAAGCCGGCGTGAGTAAGTTAAACGTTGAGTTTTATAAGGGCACCACGGGTGACCAGCCCCTCCCCACCCAGCCCCACCCCTCCCACCCCCCACCCAGCCTCTCCCCACCCTCCCCACCCAGCCCCTCCACACCCTCCCATCCCCACCCAGCCCCACCCTTCTCACCCAGCCCCTCCCTCCCCACCCAGCCCCTCCCTGGTGGAGCCAGTGGGTTCCGACCAGTAAAAATCTCCGTGAATCTATCACAATAATCCCAATCCGTTGTCGTGTCATGGACGATGATATTGCGGCATCCCCTAGTCACGACACGTGGTCTCACATGCCCCGAGATCGATGGCGTCACAAGTGATGCACTTAAATTTGCGACGTTTCGCCCTCTCGGAGAGCAGTTGTTTCTAGCGGTGTTTTAAACAGTAGTCTGTTTGGTTCGATATCGTGTACCAGACATGATAAAATCGTTGATAAGATGTAAAACATTCTATTTTCACGACTCTTAATTGCATTTGTTTTATTGTGCATTCTTAATCGCGTGCAATTGTCTGTTGTTAGAGGGATAAGTCAAGAAATATCCAAGCCTGTGCTCTTTCGGTTTTCCGCGTGAAAGAGTGGCGCTGTACCCTTGGCCCAATCCTGTCCGGCCTGGCTCACAAGCTCAATAGATGACAAACACGCGACTCCCCCAACACGAGACTCCCCCATCCCTGTGTGCGCGACGCAGGCGCACGACTGCCTCAGCCAGCTCTACCACCTGGACAAGGCGCAGTTCCGGCGGACACTCCGCGAGTACGTGGGCTCCGACAGCCTCAACAACGTCGTCGATTTCCTGCACGCGCTGCTGGGGTTCTGCATGGAGCCGCCCTCCGACAGTGAGAATTCCAATTTCGATGTAAAGCTTCCGTGACTGCAGGGATTTGTCTTCTTGGTTCTTTCGGTAAAGTCACGTAGAAGGGAAGTAATAAAACAAATTTCGATTTAAAGCTTTCGTGACTGCAGGGATTCATCTTCTTGGTTCTTTCGGTAAAGTCACGTAGAAGGGAAGTAATAAAAAAAAATTCGATTTAAAGTTTTCGTGACTGCAGGGATTCATCTTCTTGGTTCTTTCGGTAAAGTCACGTAGAAGGGAAGTAATAAAAAAAAAGATTTCGATTTAAAGTTTTCGTGACTGCAGGGATTCATCTTCTTGGTTCTTTCGGTAAAGTCACGTAGAAGGGAAATAATAAAAGAATACAAATAAAACATAATAAAATAATTCTCACGACGTTTCGGCCACAACGCAAGCAGCCGTCCTCGGGTGTAGAACAGGTCTGTCGGAAAGACAGCGTCTGTTTCAGACACGTTGTGGCCGAAACGTCGTGAGAATTATTTTATAATGTTTTATTTTTATTATTTTATTATTTCTCTTCTACGTGACTTTACCGAAAGAACCAAGAAGAAAAAAAAGTGAGGATTCCCGTTTTTCTCTTGGAGACGAACCCCCGCCGACGTTGGATGTGCTCCGCATGCGGGAAACGCGTTGGAGCGGGAGGGGGCGTGCTGGGTGGTGTTCAGCCCCATCCTTTTAAATTATTCTCGAGTTGAAAAATGTTGGTATAATATTTACATAGGGGGTGAGAGCTAGAGCAGAATTTCACGGTAGGCAAAAGCGGATCTTATCGTTACTCGTTACATCCAGTGTTTAACGTTTGTTCAACGTTTGTTTAACATTGACTGTGGTCTTATGCCCACTGAATTTTTAAAATCAGGTCACACTGCAGGGGTGAATGTAGCTTCACCCATTGCCCCCAGCAGTTATTCTTCATGCCTGAGTTCCTTGTTGATTGACAATCCAGCAGCATTCTAGATTTGAAGCTTTCGTGACTGCAAGGATTCATACTCTTAGTTTTATCGGTAAAGTCACGTAGGTAATTATGAATTTTAATTTCATTTTTTGACCTACGTGACTGTACCGAAAAAATTAAGAGTATGAATCCAGCAGCACTTCTACAATGCTGCCCCATCACAAATTGCAGAGAGTGGTCCCATCCTGAACGGCCGATGGAAATCCAAATGGTTTTGAATACCGGTGAGTGAACCGTGTTCAAATGTGTTTGCCTCTCAGAACAGAATGCATCCCATTTTGGCAACGTTACAAAGCAGATGTCTGGGAAATATTTTGCGGGAGTAAACACTTTAATTGCTGGTGGAAACTCCGAGTGCCGTTTCTGTACATGAGTAGGTGTGGTGAATATTCATCCCCCGGTGCCGGATTAATATTTTGTAGGCCCCTGGGCTACAGGCACTATGAGGCCCCCAGTATTATTTTCTAAAGGAAAACAAAGTTAAAGAGAAATTAATGTATTTTTACAAGGCTAACAACAATAAAAATTCGGCATTCACGAAGTAAGTACCTTTTCACTTCATCTATGGAGGCCGTCCAGCTGACGGAGGCCCCTGGGCTGTAGCCCCTAAATCCGGCCCTGTTCATCCCTCATGCCCCCCTTCGCACCCCCAGTGATCTGATGAACGATCGTTATTAGGGGATCACGATTCAAGAACCAATGCCCTTTGTGTCGGCCGTCTCGTTTGCTCCGTATCATTCACTGTAGTGACCTAAAGGTAATTTCCACGAGGTGTAAATAACAATTCTCACGCGCAACATTCGACGCGCCTATTGGCAAGCACGAGAAACCACGTCTATTACAATTTTTCTTACTGGTTAATTGTCGGGCGCCTTGTGGTAAGTAACACACAGCATTACCAGCGCAGCCCCCCCCTCTCCCACCTCTTACCGCCCGTCAAATACTCACCGTTACTGAAACCAGCCCTTTGCGCACACAGGCAAAGCCGGCTTCGGGAATGACTTCTCGATGAACGACAGCCGGTGCTCGGCGAGCAGCATCGAGTCCGTCATCATCGGCTGCACCTTCAAGGCTCTCATCACGCGCTGCGCCTCCGCCACGCACGAGCTGCACAGCTCCGACAACCTGGTGAGCCCCGAGAGGCAGGCAGGGAGGCAGGGAGGGAGGGAGTCGTGGCAGAGAGTCGAGAGAGGGTTGAGGACATTCGCTCGGTAAATTTTGAGCTTCCCGCGCGGCGACTTTGCGGATGGCGGCAACGCTAGGAATCTCCCCGGTGCAAACCGAGCCGGTGAATGCATGCCCGCGATTGGTGGGTCGAACGTGGCTGGCATTGGGCCCTGGTGCAAGGATTTAAATGGGGTCCCAAATGTCAGCCTTCACCCCCCCACACCCTCACCGCTGTCGTAGGCTGGTGTATGAGTCCCAATTCAGTTGCACAGCCGACACACTCAATAGCTACGTCACTGTACAAGTCTAAGGGTCTCTATGTAAGTGTAGTGTACAGGTCTCTGTGTAAGTTTGTGGGTCTCCATGTAAGTGTAATGACGACTTGACGCACTTCTCTGGAGATGGCACTTTATTGAAGACACGTTCACTTGACATTGGCGGAGACCCCCACTGCAACAGCCCCGAGTCTCCCGCGCATCTCCCCTTTATATACCGACTGAGGCCACGCCCCCCTTCCCGAACCTTCTCGCTGACTGGACGCTCGCTCCACCGGCAGACTCCACGGCCCTCTTCCGTCACCTGATCGCGCTCCCTTCTCGGTCATTTCCGTAGCCACCAGTCCCTTTGCACTCACAACTGACTCCCCTTTCATTACCTCCTGTGGCCACTAGTGCGTTCGCACTGCAGGCTGACTCCCCTGTCATTACCTCCCGTGGCCACTAGTCCACTCGCACTGCAGGCTGACTCCCCTGTCATTACCTCCCGTGGCCACTAGTCCACTCGCACTGCAGGCTGACTCCCCTGTCATTACCTCCCGTGGCAACTAGTCCATTCGCACTGCAGGCTAACTCCCCTGTCATTACCTCCCGTGGCAACTAGTCCATTCGCACTGCAGACTGACTCCCCTGCCATTACCTCACGTGGCCACCAGTCCACTCGCACTGCAGGCTGACTCAGCTGTCATTACCTCCCGTGGCCACTAGTCCATTCGCACTGCAGACTGACTCCCCTGCCATTACCTCCCGTGGCCACTAGTCCACTCACACCGCATGTAGGCTCTATTGTCATTACATAAGTCCATTGGTATCTGTGTAAGTACGGGTCTCTGAGTAAGCCCCATTAGCATGGCGTGATTGTAATCGGCCCTGACTGCTTCTCTCCCTTCTTCGCAGTCCGGTGTCGTGGTTTCCTTAGGCCGGTGTTTTTTCGGTGTGCGGTTGCACCGCCTGCACACGCGATAGCTATACCACTGGAGCACTGCCTCGACATGTGGTTCTCTTTGTGAATGTATTCTTCTCGTCCTCGGTTACTGCGCACGCATCCATTGCAAGGAATGTATTTTCACGTTGGGTGGACGTATTGCGAGCACGAGAACAGAGTTTAGTAATTTGAGTCGATATGTCCTTACACTGCTATTACACAGCACTTAACGCAGCAGAGAGAACATCTGATGCCGAACGAATGCCTCGCAATATCCCGGGATGATTGTGGTCACACACGGGTCGGCTGTCTACCTTTCCACGTGCTTCGATAATTGTGAGCTGAAATGTAATTTGAATAGACGTGTAACCTGGCTCGTGTTATCAGGAATATACATGTGATTAATTGCGTGCATATTATAAATGTGCTGTTTGATTTGCTGGTGGTGTAATTTGAATTTGCTGTCAATATTTGCGTTTCCTAGCATTTTTTTCCTTCTGAGCAGGCCTGTTTAAATAGCGCTCGCAGCAGCAGTCTCGTTTATATCCGCTCGCGTATAAATTATATTGAAAACAAACTCATTACATTTACAGCCCTTGTATCAATCCACTGCTGGATGTGGACCTCCTCCCCATGCCGTGCGGATCTTTGAAGTTGTTTAACCATATTTGGGTTGGTGAATGCGAGGCGCATAGAAGTGGGGGGGGGGGGGGGCGTTGAATTACAGTACAACAACGGAATTTTCAGCACTCGGCTCTGCTGAGCATCACAAAGCAGAGGCCCACAGCTGCCTATGACAACCTGGCATGCACGGTGGTCACCCATCATCCAAGCAAGTGTCCAGACTCGAGACTTTTTTTTTACGTTTCCAAGATCTGACGAGATAAGGCAAAACAGAAATAATCAAATGAAAATCTTTCGAAGATAACGTACAAAAAATACCACTTATGTCTATGAATTGTAAGCGAATTAATCATCTTTTTTATATTTATTAAACCAGACACATTACGAAGCGTTCCATTTTCTCTACATGTTCCTGTGTGAATAGCGGTACACAAGCTTGGCTTATTATCGTCTGTGTGTTTCTTAATGTCTTCTATCATTTTTTCTAAATGCCACGTTAAAGTACAACATATATATATTTTTTAAATATCAAGATGTATTCCTTGTTTATACACATTATTGTAAAGAAAATATTTGAAGTTTCCAGTTCAAGCTAATCGAGAGCAGAACTCCATGCTGCGTCTCAACATGCTCGATGGAAATGTTTTCGTCGGTCAGACTTTGTGACTATTGGTTTTCCAGATCGACATTATTGAGCAATGTTTAGTTTCAACGAGCAAACTCGTGTGTACACACCTTGCCAGTAAGACATGTTTCATAACTGGCAATCAATATTGGCTCGCCTTTGCTTGCTTTGCTTGATGAACCCACGCATCTGATTTGTGCGTTGAATGGTGAAGTTCATTTATGAAAGATAAAATAAAAAAGTGGTTAAACAAACACGTTCATGCCATTGGCATTACCACCTGCTCTAATTTCACGTGTGAGTTGTTAATCAAATGAGATTCGTGAATAAATGATTCTTGACTTAAAGCTTTCGTGACTGCAGGAGTTCATATTCTTTGGGTCTGTCACTTTGAACAAAAACATTTTATGTGACTTTACCGAAAGACCCAAAGAATATGAATAAATGATTGTTTGGACATGTATGTTCAGCTGCGACCTGTATTGTGCTGTCATGGTCGTATTTTTATCATCTGCTTCACCTGTCGTTGTGAATGCACGCTTAATCGCGACACATGCTCATATGGAAGGTGCACTTGGCACACACGCGGGCTGGTGGTTTGTGCCCTGTCATGTCCACGAGATGTAGCTGGTACAGGTGCGGCGTTGGAGTCTCTCGTCGCTAACCTCTCATCGCACTCTTGTACGGCACATCTGCTTGTAGCATGTCGATCAATTGCCGATGCATTTCCGTACGTCCGATTGTTTGCATCTTTTTGCTTTACCGTGTTTAAATTAGTTTGAGTTTAAGCAAAACAAATGCGACTTGTTGTTGTGTGTTTCACACAGATTGTTCACATAGATTGTTGTTGGTTACTTGTCTTCATCATTCATTGAATGTGGTTTCCAGGTTGCTTTTTGCACTAAATATGACAATATTATACCTTTGGGATTCAAAAATGTTATCTGTTGTGCGATGAACACTGCTCTCTGTAGCATTGCAGGTGGGAAAGTGCTACATTCTTCTCCGTAGACCAGAGGTCACGTGAGCAAATCTCAGAAATACTTCTGTTGAAGGGTGGCACTGCTCTTGTGAGGGATCCAAAATGTGATTTTGCATCTCTCGCGATGCGACACCAACAGCGCAACGAGGATAACATTGGAAGAGAAAAAAATTATATCCGTAAAAAGCTTAAAATCAATGTAATCAACATTTTGCGTGCGTGCGTGTACGGCAGGGCCTTTACTGCGACATCAGGCAGCTGGTTCAGTTCATCAAGGAGTCGCACGGCAACGTGTTCCGTCGGGTGGCGCTGAGCGCTCTCCTCGACAGCGCGGAGAAAGTGAACCCCAGCAAGAAGACGGAGCACAACGCCAAGAACGTCAACACCAAGGGGTACACATCACGTGAATCACCCGCGGTGTCGCCGGCGCATTGGCGAGCAGGTCTGCGGTTGCGGTCCAGGCGTTGTTTTTTTTTATTTCGTTCGCCTTGGAAACACCAATCACTTGTAACAATTTTAGGTTGGAATCATGGCCGGATTAAGATTTTGTAGGCTCCTGAGCTGTAGGTACCGTGAGGCCCCCAGGTAATATTTTCAAAAAGAAAACAAAGTTAAAGAAAAATAAATTGTATTTTTACACGGCTAACAACATAAAATTCAGCATTCGCAAACGAAACTACTTTTCACTTCATCTCTGGAGGCCTTCCAGCTGGCGGAGGCCCCTGGGCTTGCAAGCCCCTAAAGCCCCCCGTGCATTAATCCGTCCCTGGTTGGAATGTGTCGAAATGCATCAGCATCTCACTGATTATGCACAAGGTACAATTCATAGACACTGACAGCACTCACAAGGAATATACACGTAAATACAACAATCGATTTAAAGCTTTCGTGACTGCAGGGATTCATCTTCTTGGTTCTTTCGGTAAAGTCACGTAGAAGGGAAATAATAAAATAAAAATAAAACATAATAAAATAATTCTCACGACGTTTCGGCCACAATGCAAGCATCCGTCCTCAGGTGAAGAACAGGTCTGTCGGAAAGACAGCGTCTTATGTTTTATTTTTATTATTTTATTATTTCCCTTCTACGTGACTTTACCGAAAGAACCAAGAAGATACAACAATCGAGTTGTGCGGATTGAGAGAGTAGCAGTGGTACTCTATGCACAAGCCATCGTGAATGTAGGATAACAAGCGCCAATTTGTGCAGCATGCATTTATTTTTTGTTCACGAACCCAACTCGACATTTACAATTTTCGTTGTTGTAAAAATGCGAAATTATCAGCTCCGGCGCTCATAATGTACTCGCATCGTCCAAACTTTGGCCATGCTGGTAAGCAGGTTCAACACTGATTATTGTTTTTTTACCCATTTTTCTGGCAACAAAACTGACACCTTTTTTTACAAAGAGTCATGTTTGCATTGACCACAATACCTGCGGTCGGAATGCAAACAAAAAACACAACTCTGATAATGTATGCACTGTCCTTGAAATTGATTAGTCCACACCCGAGACAGATTTTCTTAGAGCCTCGTCTCACATGGTGTTGGACCAGATGACGCCAAAAGGCGCACAACTCAAAGACAATGCACCATCAGAGTATGAGAGCTCGGGGTAAACATTTACACCATTGGAACCTCCTTTGCCAGGAGCAAAATATGATAATTGTATATATTTTGCTCCTGGCAAAGGAGGTTCAAAAGGTTCAACACTGTTTAAAATTCGTTGTTTTTTTTCAGCGCTGGCGGCAGCGGGCAGGAGAGGGGGCAGCCCGGAGCATCGCAGGACGACAGTAGGAACTGCGGATCAGGCCGACAGCCGCCGTCTCCCGAGCAGTGAGTGTGCCACCGTCACAGACTACTGCAGTGGCCTTACCCCCTTTTTAAATCGTTTATATTAAGTTCACTTGCTTGCTTGCTTGCGCGCTTACGACCGTGCAAATCTTTCGGTCGTTTTTTAACCCACTTCCCGTGATCCAATCGAGCTGACATTTTGCACACAGACTCGTTGTGCGTGACAATTTATTTTCGTGAATTTTTTTTTTCCAAAATTTTCTACATTTTAGGAAAAAAAAAATTATATTTAATTACCAATTGCTTAATGGTGGCAGGCAATCATCTGACCCACAGGTGGCAGCCATCTTAAGCCAGAGGACGAGAGGACTCTAGCCGCCCGTTTCAAAGACCAATGTGGGCTGGGTTGTGGCCCATTGAACACGCAAATAAAGAATTTATAGTGAAAAACTTTGTTTTTACGGGCTATTTTTTTCCTCCTGATGACGATCGCTTGTGTTGTGATCGAAACGTCGTAGTTTTTTGTTTATTTTATATTTACTATTTTTATGAATTTGTACCTATCTACGTGACTTTACCTAAAAGACCCAACGAATATTAAAAAAATGGTTTAGTTTGAAGAGTTTAGATTGAAATACTGTTCTCCCTTAGGGACGTTATGCTATGATCGCCTCGCCCTCAATCCATTTCGCTCGGTGTGCCCCCCAATTTGCCGCCCCAAGTAATAACATTTTGTCACTCGTGCCGCCACCCCCCCCTCCGTTCCCTGCCGTAATCGCTCCGTTCCCGTCGACGGCCGCGTCGTGTGCCGGCAGCGAGGAGCAGCTGCAGGGCGGACTCTTCGGTCGCAAGGAGTTCTGGCGCAAGATGTTCAAGTCTCAGAGCGCGCACAGCGACAGCAGCAGCCAGTCGGAGCAGGACACGTCCGAGTGCACGACGGCGCACTCGGGCACCACCACCGATCGACGCTCGCGCACGCGCACGCACCGCGTCACACTCCGCAAGAAGCTCAAGCTGCCGCTCGGTGAGTAACCCCGCTGATGATGATGGTGTCTCAGCCGATGGTGTTTATGATGCTGATGATGATGATCACGACCGCGTCTCAGCTGATGGTGTTTATGATGTTGCTGCTGCTGATGATGATGATCACGATACATACAGGAGATGCATCCATTGTTTTTTGTTGTTAAATATCCAATCACATACCATAGGAAATGCAACAAAAAACAATGTGGTTATTTATTTATTAGAAATGTGACACGATAGTAATGGGCACTCCTCGATTATTGATTTTTTGTAGCCATGGAGTAATTTGTGTTTGTTTATAAGATCCCTGTTTTCCATTAGTTTAAACTCTACATTTATATACACGGGTGGTCAATATCGCTGTTCGCTCGTAGGTGGCTCTGGGCAGCTCCTGAGTAATTTAGGCATGCGAGCCACACAGCTCAGTGTACACTACACGTGGTGGCGCTTGGCAGGCATTTCATAAGGAATGTTTTGCCATCGATATAGATCGCGTCATGTCTTCATTTTGCACGGCGTTAAATAACGAATGCGAATTTTACACAGTGCATACATTTTTCAGATGTGCGTAGATTGCCTGACATCAAATCAACTTAATGGACATTCATGCAACTTTACCGATGAATAATACATTTTCATTGCATATGTGCTTCGCTACCGTGTTGTTTTTCACGTAGGTAGGGTACATTTTTTTGTGTCTAGGGTACATTGCTTTGATTGATTTATTATGAAGTGTTGGGAATTCATGTATACTTAATTGACCACTCCGAGGCACCTTTATTCACGTGAAGTTTGCTCCATATATGTATTTAAAAGCTAGATATTTCGCAATCTCCTTCATGTGTATGGTTCTATCTCTTGGGATGATGACTGCTTGAGGGGAGGCCTTCATCCAGCAGTGGATTGCTCATGGACGGGTCGGCTACCATAGCAATGCGGACAATCTCTGTAGCACAAGCAGCTGTCATCGAACACAATCAGAGAGGAATTGGGGGGAGGGTCGCCAAAATATATTATAATCGGGTTCTCAAAACGAAGGCAACACTATTCCGGCTGCAGCGAGGAGGCAGACAACACACACACACAGACAGACAAAGATCGCCCGTATAGCTTTAACAGACTGTTGGGGCAAGTGATGTTATCGAGCACCTATGAAGGCCGGAACGGTACACGGGGTGGGTGTGTGGCCAGCACCACGCCCCACCGCCTTTGTCTCCCCAGTGGCAATGTTTACATACTGCACCAGGTACTCATTAGAAGGCTGAATCGACTTAGGGGAGGCCTAGGACCGGGTCAGATATTTGTCACTGGTGTTGGCCGTGAGCGGGAATGGAACGCGGGTGGCCAGGTTCGTAGTCCCAGCGCGCTAACCACTGCGCCACCGCTGCACGCGAGGAGGCAACTCAAGCAAATGCGCTGGTTCTCACTGCAGGAAACTGGCTCAAGAGAGGCTCTCTGTCAGGAACTGCTGACCCCAGGGAGGACCTTTTGGACGTGGCCTCGATAGACCGTCTCTCTTTCATCCGACAGAACTCCAAGGTACGGGGGGGGGGGACCCCTTTGGTTGTGTTCCCTTCGTCGGCTTGCTCGCTCGCGCGCGACAGCCGGTCGTAATTAAAAAAAAACCCATTTATGAAACGTCACGTGTGGCTGCAGCCAGACTGCACGAAAGAAAAGTCGCTCTGCTCCCTGTTTAGTATTCTGAATCTGACATGGAAATGCCCGAAGCTCTGAGAGCTCAACTGAGGCAACGCCGTAAAGAACCGATACCAAAGTTTACACTTTCTGAAATGAAACAAATTATTGGGTGATTCGTTGTGCACAAGCACTATTAACGAACGAAAAAACTCAACGCATTCATCAACAACACTGTGGCCTTGAAAGAAAATATATACAATAGGCACCATTTCAGGCAGTGGTCTTTCTACACGGCGCTAAATAGAGAGGCCAGAGTGACAGAGTACAGAATAAGAGTTGGAGATTGTACTTGTTTACACCATGGGACATGATTAGAATTACAAAACTGTTTCCTTATAGAACAGTATTTTTTTAAATATCGGTATATGATTAGTTGCCAAAACAGTAGCTATTGAGTAACGTGGAGGGAAACAACCAGAGGACCCGGTGAAATCTCCTCGTGAGCACAGGGAGTGAAACGCCGCAGAAACTCCGATTAAATACAGCAGCAGGCGTCAGGGTCGGGATCGAAGCCACGACCTCCCGCCTACCGGTCGACGTAGTTGACGTCCCGACACGTTGCGGTGTCCAGGTGAAATTCACGAGCGTCACGAAGCTGTCGGAGGCGGGCGGCCTGGAGGACGGGCGTCCTGGAGGCGGCGAGGAGGAGGAGAATTTCTTCAAGAGGCTGAGCCGGTGGCGTCTCAGTCGGAGGCACCCGTCCAAGATCACGCAGCCCGAGGAGAAAGACGGTGCTCCCACCCACCGTCCAGAAATGAGCGATTTCTTTAGATCAACGTTTTACACTACACTATACACTACTAAACCCTTTTGTACACTACCAGAAACTATTATACACTACTATACCCTGCTATCACCACTACACTATACACTACGACACACTACACTATACACTAATATACACTACACTATGCACTACTTTACACTATATACCACACTACTATACACTACTATACACTACACTATATACTACACTACTATACACTACTATTGCTGTATTCACAAATACAACAACTCACAGCCACAACTTGCTTTTATTTTTATATGTTGAACAACTATGGATAGTATGTACGGTATGTATTCATTTCCTCATTTGTTTTCATTTTCAAATTTTACTGCTGGGTAATTAATGAAATGGTGCTTGGAGCGGCAGACTTGTGCCAGAAAGGTGCCATTCATGTAAACGAAAACTAAAAATGTACTTGCCTATGGGGATATGTGAATTACTCCTTTCCTTCACCAACCCACACTGACTGGCATGGTGAGGTATGGTCAAATCACTCCTAAGGCCCGCACGCCATGAGGAGGCATTCATCCAGCAGTGGATTGATGAAATGGCTGTACCTGCAGATACATTCATGGGTATAAATATAAACGTTGCCTTGGCCTCTCCTAGGGCCTGGTACATTGTGGCTATTAATTTAAACATGTTATTTATAACCAGGTGAGAGCTCTTTCTCAAGGGAGACATGCGTCAAATAAGGTTAAACATTTAAGAAAAGGTCAACAACAACCGAGTACATATGATAAATGTTGCGATTACATTTAGCAAACATTTTCAAAACGTTACCCTTTAAAACAGAGCATAATCGATTCCCACGACAGTTTAACAGGCCATTAGATGATCTCTGTGGAGATAATTTGCCGAAAGGCGTTGGAGCCTTCCTTAAACATGTGGAATTTACACCGTTCGAGCTAACCTTTGTGTTGTTCTTTTTTTTGTTGTCAAATATAAAATTCCACCGCCACAGTGGCACAGCTGCTGGAGGAGCACCTGGCGTCAGGTCAGGAGGCAGGGCGGCGCAGGAACCTGGTGAACATCAGCGCCATCCGCCTGGGCATGAAGCGCCTCCAGTTCCTGCTCAACTGCAACGACCCGGGCACCATCCCCGACGCCTCCATCCTGGCGGCCGCCCTTGACCTGGTACCTGGCGCGCCACGGCCTTCCCTTGCGCGGACGCGCGCACCTCGCTACCACTTGCACGCACCCCGCCACCACTTGCACGCACCCCGCCACTACTTGCACGCACGCCCCGCCACCACTTGCACGCACGCCCCGCCACCACTTGCACGCACCCCGCCACCACTTGCACGCACGCCCCGCCACCGCTTGCACGCACCCCGCCACCACTTGCACGCATCCCGCCACCACTTGCACGCACCCCGCCACCACTTGCACGCACGCCCCGCCACCGCTTGCACGCACGCCCCGCCACCACTTGCACGCATCCCGCCACCACTTGCACGTGCCCCGCCACCACTTGCACGCACACCCCGCCACCACTTGCACGTGCCCCGCCACCACTTGCACGCATCCCGCCACCACTTGCACGCACCCCGCCACCACTTGCACGCACGCCCCGCCACCGCTTGCACGCACGCCCCGCCACCACTTGCACGCATCCCGCCACCACTTGCACGTGCCCCGCCACCACTTGCACGCATCCCGCCACCACTTGCACGCGCCCCGTCACCACTTGCACGCACCCCGCCACCACTTGCACGCGCCCCGCCACCACTTGCACGCACCCCGCCACCACTTGCACGCACCCCGCCACCACTTGCACGCGCCCCGCCACCACTTGCACGCGCCCCGCCACCACTTGCACGCGCCCCGCCACCACTTGCACGCACCCCGCCACCACTTGCACGCATCCCGCCACCACTTGCACGCACCCCGCCACCACTTGCACGCACCCCGCCACCACTTGGACGCATCCCGCCACCACTTGCACGCACCCCGCCACCACTTGCACGCGCCCCGCCACCACTTGCACGCACCCCGCCACCACTTGCACGCACCCCGCCACCACTTGCACGCGCCCCGCCACCGCTTGCACGCACCCCGCCACCACTTGCACGCGCCCCGCCACCACTTGCACGCACCCCGCCACCACTTGCACGCACCCCGCCACCACTTGCACGCGCCCCGCCACCACTTGCACGCACCCCGCCACCACTTGCACGCGCCCCGCCACCACTTGCACGCGCCCCGCCACCACTTGCACGCGCCCCGCCACCACTTGCACGCACCCCGCCACCACTTGCACGCGCCCCGCCACCACTTGCACGCACCCCGCCACCACTTGCACGCACCCCGCCACCACTTGCACGCGCCCCGCCACCACTTGCACGCGCCCCGCCACCACTTGCACGCACCCCGCCACCACTTGCACGCACCGCGCCACCACTTGCACGCACCCCGCCACCACTTGCACGCCCCGCCACCACTTGCACGCACCCCGCCACCACTTGCACACACGCCCCGCCACCGCTTGCACGCACGCCCCGCCACCGCTTGCACGCGCGCGACCCCAGGGATGGTGTTGTGCAACCGCGGCGGCAGTGTGAAAGAGACCCAGTGCAAGAGGTCACTGGGTTTGATCTTGCACGAAGCTCGTGGGCCACCCTGGACCGCATCCACTGCACAAACAAGGGCAGATGCGGATACCCGATGCACAAATGTAAAATGGAAAACTCTCCAGTAGTGGTGCGACTGTGGTCATCCAGAACAGACCATACAACGTACAGCGACGCAATGCCCGATCGACAAATACGACGGAGACATCACGGCGATACGCTCCGCTACCGCCGATGCAGCTATCGGGCTTGACCACCAGAATGTGAAATTGAGCCATACGTGGAGATACGTAGAGCGTCTAAATGCGATCACTTGCCAAGATGCCGTACAGGAGCTAGTGGTTATATGCATTGTATAGCAAGAGGTTGTAGTCGCATTCAACAAGGTAAAGGTGTCGAGCCAGGACAGGAGTACGCTTGACGCATTCAACAGCATGGGCAGCTGTTGGAAACGAGTTCCAGACTCTGAGGGTAACGGAGCGATGGTTTGTTGGGGGTCTTACGTTTTTGGTGTCTCCCTTGCGCGAGTACTTGATGTACCTTCTCGGTTCTTTCGGTAAAGTCACGTAGAAGGGAAATAATAAAATAATAAAAATAAAACATAATTTTCACGACGTTTCGGCCACAACGCAAGCAGCCGTCCTCAGGTGAAGAACAGGTCTGTCGGAAAGACAGCGTCTGAAAGATGAATCCCTGCAGTCACGAAAGCTTTAAATCGAAATTTACTCGATGTACCTCAATCCCTCACACGTCCATACCCATCGCATCCTCCCTCTGTCTCATGACGCGCACGGCAGCAGCGGAAAGGGCGACAGTAAGTCGCTGTGGCATCAGTTACCTTGGTCACGCTGACCCCTTGACTTTACCGGTGTACACCGCTGATTCGATCGCAAACTGTTCGCGACTCTGCCTTATGATGCTGCACATTAATCGGCCCCTGTTTCGTAGATGACCTTGTACACTTTCAGTTTTTAAATCCTTTATATTAAGTTCACTTGCTTGCTTGCTTGCGCGCTTACGACCATGCAAATCTTTCGGTCGTTTTTTAACCCACTTCCCGTGATCCAAACGAGCTGACATTTTGCGCACAGACACGTTGTGCGTGACAATTAATTTTCGTGAAATTTTTTTCCCATAACTTTACACTTTTTAGGAAAAATATATATATATATTTAATTACCAATTGCTTAATGGTGGCAGGCAATCATCTGACCCATAGGTGGCAGCCATCTCAAGCCAGAGGACGAGAGGACTCTAGCCGCCACGCAAATAAAGGATTTATAGTGAAAAACTTAGTTTTTACGGGTTATTCTTTTATCTCACAGGCGCCCACCTTGGCCAAGCTTTTTACGAGTGATTGAACCAACGTTTATCCGAAATGGGATCTGTGCTCCAAGATGAGTCTTGCACTCAAAGTTTGGGTCCATTCCCGTTACGGCAGCTGTACAAACTGTGCTGAATCGGCCATCATCATGTCAGCCTGTCCGCTGCAGCGTATCCTGTCCCACGTGTCTGTTGCCTCATCTCTCTCTGCACAGTCACTGGCATGCTTGTTTTTATTTTTCCCCCCACCTCAACTGCGCTGTTTGTGTGCGTGCATACATGCGCATGTCTATGTGTGTGCGTACTTGTGTGTGTGGTGTATTTGCGTAACTGTGTGTCCGTGTGCGCGCGTGTGTGTATGTCTCCCAGCGTGCGCATCTGTGTCGTGCGCGCACACGTGTGAACGTGTCCGTACATGCCATTGTGTGTGTGTTTGTGGGGAGCGGTAGTGTAGCGGTTAGCGCGCTGCGCTATGAACCCAGCGTCCTGAGTTCGATTTCCGCTCACGGCCAACGTCAGTGACGTACTCAAATGAGTACCTGGTGCAGTGTGTAAACATCGCAATTGGGGAGACAAAGGCGGCCGGGCGTGGTGCTGGCCACACACCCCCTCGTGTGCCGTTCCGGCCTTCATATGTGCCACTCGCTCACAGCACTTGCCCCAGCAGCCTGTTAAGGTTATACGGGGTGGGGGGGGGGTATCTGTGTCTTTGTCGTTCTGTTGGTGCCTCTGTGCCACGCTCACACAAAGCGCTGTGGGAGTGCTTTGTTGTGGTGGGTGGCCTCACCTCTGACCCTGCAGCCCTGTTGCTGTTCGGCCGCCACAGAGCTCTCGCTGAACAGCACAGGTAAACAGCTGTCGGCTTCCCTGGCCACAGCTTGTCGTATGCATCTCCAGAAGGGGTAGCACCTTCTCTGCTGTAAATTCCTCGTGTTTCCAATTTTTCGACGATATCACGCGATGTCGTACGACATTGTGTCCACTATACTGTAATTGTATGTTAAGGATCCTTTATTCTGTCCTGATAGATGGTCGGCGCAGTTTTAAGCGAAACGTCATACGAACTTACTACATTTTTTTGCGAAAATTGCTCTTCACTTACCGGTGAGCTGAAACAACAACAATAATAATGTGTGCATTTAATTGCTTGCATGGTGCATGGTGTGGAGGGTGTTACAACATTTGGGCAGATCATTGCCTGGGGTCTCGCCGAAAAATGAATCGTAAATTATAATTTTGTTGTCTGCCTTTATAATACAAATGGTTTCGTCAAATCGTGTTTATCCAAAGTCTCGGGAAACCGATGCTGCGATAACGGTCGTTGACAAAATTCAATGTCGTATCGTGAAAAAGATTCCATCGTGGCAACCCTGTAAATGGTCTCTCCTTATCAGTAAACAGGAGGAGTGTACGATATTACTATCGTCACCCGGCAGACAATATTTGTGAGCACGTATGAATGTATGTTGAATTTATTTCGCACCGTACGTAGCCAACCGTGCTAATCGGAGGTGCGGGAAAGGACAGCAAGTTGGAGCGATGGAATAAATCCCTACACTGTGGTAGTCAAGATCAAGTTTCAAATTAAGACACTGCTTGCAATATCAGTCTGATCGATAAGCACAGGATAAATACGATGTATGCCAAGAAGCATGTGAGCGCCACTGCTCCGCCCCGACCCGACAACACAGATCATTCATGTAACAAGCACATTCAACTGTAGTGCATGTCGAGCACAGTGGCTTGTTGCCAAATACAGGGAATATATATATTCGTGGTACTGCATTTTACAACAAGCTGGCCTGCCAGCTCAGGCAGGCCAGCTCTACGGAGAAGTTTGAGCACATAAATACGCAAATGCCCAAAATGCGACCGTGTGCACACGTGAAGCACACGCTAGCACTCGCAACATAAACACTGTAGTTCTTGCTAGATTTGAAGCTTTCGTGACTGCAATGATTCATACTCTTAGGTTTTTTTCGGTAAAGTCACGTAGGTAAAATAATAATAATATAAATAAAATAACTATAATTCTTGCACGTGAACTAATGTTGCTGGTTAAGCAACGTGAGACATTTTGCGAAATAATAACTTGGACAAAACGCATTCCTTTGCCAATCTTGCCCTAAAGCTATACAAATCTCGGCATCGGTGCTGGGAAGCTGTGATAAGTTCCATACTCATCAGTTTAAGGAGTTGGCAGTTTTTGGAGAGAAAAAAATGTCTTTCCGACAGACCTGTTCTTCACCTGAGGACGGCTGCTTGCGTTGTGGCCGAAACGTCGTGATAATTATTTTATTATGTTTTATTTTTATTATTTTATTATTTCCCTTCTACGTGGCTTTACCGAAAGAACCAAGAAGATGAATCCATGCAGTCACGAAAGCTTTAAATCGATGTTGAATTCATTGTCCAGTGAAACCTTTGCGGACAGCTTCGGAAGGGTCTACCTTGTGACGAATCTAGCAACCTTGGCAAAGGTCCGTTTGGCGATCGTCCGCTTGAAGGACTCGGCACTGCTGGACAGCGCAAGGGGCCGTCCATAAATGACGTCACGCACCCAGGGGGGGGGGCGGGGTCAGACATTTGTGACGATGTGTGACGATGGGGGGGGGGGGGTTTGAGAAATGTGAAGTCACATCAAAATGCACATCTTTAAATAAATATAAACACGTTCTACTTAATCAAATAGACGTTTTCATAAATGTTTTCTCCTATAACATCAGAGTGCAGCGCCACATTAAATACGCACTACAACGACAATAGTTTAAAGCGATTTAAAGCATATTAAAGCAGGACTATACCTAATAAATAAACTTGAACTTGAATGTTTTTTTTGGGGGGGGCGGGGGCAGAGCTTTGTGACGTCATATTTGAGGGGGAGGGCGTCTGACTGTTTGTGACGCCGTGTGACGAAGAGGGGGGGGGGTCAAAAATCGTCCCAAATCACGTGACGTCATTTATGGACTGCCCCCTACCACCGGGCGACGGAGCCTTGGCAGACCGCCGTCGTGACTGCCGTGCGCTGCCCTGCGCCCCGTCTCTCTCCCCCCCACCCCGTCCCATCCCCCAGGAGGCCCCAGTGGTGGCACGTGCCGCCCTCTTCCTCGAGTGCGCGCGCTTCGTTCACCGCTGCAACCGCGGCAACTGGCCCGAGTGGATGAAGGGCCACCACGTGACCATGTCGCGGCGCGGGCTGTCACGTGGCCGCTCGCCGGTGGCAGGCAGCAAGCGCAACCAGCGGCTGCAGTGGAACGCGTCGAAGCTGTTCTTCCAGTGGGGGGAGGTCCGCGCTTTCTCCCAGAAAACACTCTCGTTTGTTGTGTTGCACAAGTTGTATTTGCACCATTGGAACCTCATTTGGCAGTAAAAAAATATGATGATTGGTGTTTTACCCTTCTATCTGGCAACAAAACTGACACATTTTTTTTTTACGAGGAGTCATGTTTGCATAGACCACAATACCTGTGGTCTATGCAAACATGACTGCAATACCTGTGGTCTATGTAGTGCGCCTTTTGGCGTCATCTGGTCCAACACCCATGTGAGACTAGGCTCTAAGGAAAGCTGTCTCGGGTGTGGACCAATCAACTTCAAGGACAGTGCACATACATTATCAGAGTTGTGTTTTTTGTTTGCATTATGACTGCAGGTATTGTGGTCTATGCAAACATGACTCCTCGTAAAAAAAGGTGTCAGTTTTATTGCCAGATAGAAGGGTAAAAAAACAATTATCAAGTTTTATTTGTTGTTGTTGCAATAACGTTTCAATTGTGCTGTTGCTATGACAGGGTGGGGGGGGGTATTGCCTTTTGTAACGCTTAAAAGTAAAGCAGAGTACGGCGCGAAAGCAAATGCAGTCGAAATTGATTCTTATGCTATTGATTCACGCACTGAATTACGTGTGCATTTGACAGGATTATGTATGAGCTCTGCTGATTATATTATGTGCACATGATGTCCCAATTATATACTTATGTTGAAGAAGCGAACACAATTTTTGTAGGCAATGGACAAAGTGAGAAACAATACGATTGAGATGGGAAACTAAAAGCAATGATTGTTGAATTAAAATTGTGACTGAATCACGATCATTCAAATCCCCTCAGGGGGCGGGGGAGGAGGGTGGTGGAGGGGTGGTTGTGAATCATTGCACCCTGAAGACAACCTCGTGATTAAACCGAGTCTCAAGTGTCTGCGAGTTGATCGTCTGATCTCAGTCTCACTGAGCTATAGAGTTCCTCTTCAGAAGTTACCTGGCCACAAATGATAGCTCAACGAAGTGGCTTATCACATAGAAATGCAAAGCGGCCAAAATACTAAGCGCATGTATTTTAAATGCGTTTAGTGACCAATGACTATACTTAAATTTCGAATTAAAGCTTTCGTGACTGCAGGGATGCATCTTCTTGGTTCTTTCGGTAAAGTCACGTAGAAATAAAAGAATAAAAATAAAACATAACTAAATAATTCTCACGACGTTTCGGCCACAACGCAAGCAGCCGTCTTCAGGTGGAGAACAGGTCTGTCAAGGAGACAGTCTGAATGGCACGCCCCAGGCTTGGAGCGACTATTTAAGCTGGGATGGAGGGGGGAAGAGCGCCTTGACAAAATAATTTGCATATCAAGGAGAATTTAGCATATCTGTATTTCCCATAATATGCAACATTCCTCTTGATATGCAATTTTTTTTGTCAAGACGCTCTTCGCCCCTCCATCCCAGCATAAATAGTCGCTCCAAGCCTGGGGCGTGCCATTCAGACTCTGTCTCCTTGACAGACCTGTTCTCCACCTGAAGACGGCTGCTTGCGTTGTGGCCGAAACGTCGTGAGAATTATTTAGTTATGTTTTATTTTTATTATTTTATTTCTACGTGACTTTACCGAAAGAACCAAGAAAATGACTAGACTTAATGACCACACCGACACGGGCCCAGCACTCTTTGCAAGGCATATTAACCTCGTGCTCCTGCTCCGAATCGAGAGGTCTTTTGAGAGGACTTCGGAAGCGGCATGTCTGTGCCCTCATACTCGGTGTCGTGAGTTGTCACGTCGCGTCGCGTGCGCTGCGCCAGGCGATCGGAGTGCGTCTGGACGAGCTGAGCCGCACGGAGAGCGAAACGCCCGTCGGCCTCCTGGGCCTCATCCATGACGACGAGATGAAGAAGCAGCTCAAGATGGAGGACGAGGAAGAGGACTTCCTCGATGACAGTGAGGAGGGTCCTAATGACGCATTCTTTATCTATCCACTGCTGGGCGAAGGCCCCCCCCGCCCACCACTGTAAGTTGTGGAGGTTGTATGACCATACTTCACCACGCTTGTTCAGTGTGAGTTGGTGAGTGCGGAGGAGCGGGTTGCGCCAGGACCGGTTTGAATATCGCACGCCACTAATGCTGGCAACGGCCGGGTATCGAACCCAGGTCGCCGGGTTCGTAGGACAGCGTCCTGCCCGGGCCTTCGTCAAGCAGTGGATTGATCATGGCCGATTTTTCGACGACGAGCTAAATCTCGTGTGGTGTCCCGGTAACGACGGCGTGTCGATCTCCAACAGACAGCGTGAACCCTTCCAAGTGCGGCTGCCCGTTTCCTCTCAAGATGGCCGCCTGCCAGCTGCTGATGGAGATCACCACCTTCCTGAGGGAGACCTTCCCGCTGCTGCCCAAGCCTCGGACGGAGCCGGCCGCGGTCAGATCTTGCACCACTACCTCGTGAAACAGTTGTCTGGGTGGTGTGCTTTTGCTCAGCCGGTGGTCGAAATGGAAATGTACCAATTCGTCCCGTTCACTGCCATCTTCCCTCAAAAATACTCGCGTGTGGGTTGACTTCGGTTAAAGCGATATATAAGTGAATTAAACATGTTTGGTGGTCTGAACAATGCCGGCATGGCGTGCTCTCGTATACTGGCCCATTCTGACCACTGTTCTTATCAATAAAATCTGGCAACCCAGCAGCAGTTGTTCAACAGATGAGAACCAGAAGGGCAAAAACTGGTCCAGAGTTTGTTTACTTAAAAAAATGCTGATGAATACTGGTGATCTCGAATGCCTATTGGATGATGAACCAAAATATGTTTGGGCAGAAACAGAGAACGTGTATGTATGTATGTTGGACTTCTTTCGCACCGTACGTAGCCAACCATGCTAATTGGAGGTGCGGGGGAAGGACAACAAACTAAACACGAAAAGCAGTTCTAAAGAAATGCGTTTTACAATTTTAATTTAAAAGTGCATATCGAAAGGAAGAGCGTTCCAGACGGCCGCAGAGGCGCATCTGAAAGCGCACGACGCAGTTACCACCTTTGTTCGACGGTGAACCAAAAGCGTATAAATACAATTCTTACAAAACCCCATCAGACCGCGGCAGGGAGCGACGGCCTCATTGCGTTGACCTTCTGCGCACTCGGCAGGAGTTTGACGGAGGCCGCCACCGGCTGGACCCGGAGATGGACCGGCACCGCTACGAGCGGAAGATCAGCTTCGCGGGCGTCCTGGACGACCCTGAACCCGAGTCGCACGAGTCCCTCCACAGCAGCAGCCACACGCTCAAGTCGGAGACCACGTGGGAGGAAAGACGCAGTGAGCAGACCACACCGTGAAGGGCGCGCACACACAACCGCGTCTTTCCACTGCCCCCTTGAACACGATCTTGTTTTTAAAGGTCGCTCTTTCAATTCTATTCACGTGCCCTCTCTCATAGAATAATCCAGAACACTTTGATGAGTTATTTCGGCTCTGATATGGAAATGTAATTGTGTGTTCTTTTGTGATAATATCAGGGGAGCCCTTCACGTTCAACAAATCAGCGGGCGGTACGTGCTGTACATGCCCCGAGAGGATAAAGGGTTTAGTAAATGTTTCTGTGCGCCGCGTTTTATTACACGGCCTAAAAAAGTTACGATATCAGGACAGCTTTGAGAAGACGTCAGAGTAGGATTATGTTTTTGTTTACTGTGGCGACAAAGGCCACTGAATACACAACAACTTTCCGGAACATTGGTCTATGGAACAAAGGAACAATTTGTGTTGCAAACATGCATTTAGTGATGCTTGAATTATTGATGAAAATTTTTTTTATGCCCATGGTGTATGCATAGAAGTGTGTGTGTATGAAAATGTATTATTTGGTTCACGCCACCCCTGCATCCAATTGCGACGCTACATTTAAGACAGTGTTTACATCGTTTCCATTACACAAATTACATGCCAATACAGTTACATTTCGATTTAAAGCTTTCGTGACTCCAGGGATTCATCTTATTGGTTCTTTCGGTAAAGTCACGTAGAAGGGAAATAATAAAATAATAAAAATAAAACAGGTCTGTCGAGAAGACAGAGTCTGGCTCCAGACTCTGTCTTCTCGACAGACCTGTTCTCCACCTGAGGACGGCTGCTTGCGTTGTGGCCGAAACGTCGTGAGAATTATTTTATGATGTTTTATTTTTATTATTTTATTATTTCCATTCCACGTGACTTTACCGAAAGAACCAAGAAGATGAATACAGTTACATCTAGGCTAACGGAGCCTAGAAAACCGTTCAACCGAAACGCAAACGAGATTATAGAAAAAAAAAAACAGATCAGATCGTGACCAAGAATCGTGACAATTCGGTATTCGCTGGCGGTAGGCTTGGTGGGGGGTAGGGTGAATGGTCACACTCCCTGCTAACAGCATTCAACCCCGTGGCACCGTGGCCGCTCGCGTCGTGCCTTGCAGTGCCGCGGCGCGTGCGTCAGGGGGCTTCGCGGCTGCTGCAGATCAAGGGGACGCGCAGCTTCCGCGTGAAGAAGGGCGGCTCGCTCTCCAGCATCTGGCGCGCGGGCAGCCTGAAGGGCGGCAAGCTGTCGCGGCAGGACTCCGAGTCCGAGAACGAGGAGCTGCTCCTCTCGCAGAGCCACGACACGGTCACTGACATCGGTACGCTCAGCCTGGCTGCATTTTTAAAATATATATAAATTAATGACGATCCCCCGTGAAGACTTTTTTTATAGACCCGTTGGAGCAAGTGCTGATGGCGAGCACCCACCTTTCGTCGTTGCGGTGACGTACCTGGACGTCATCAGTTTTTTCTCCCGATTCCGTACCGATTACGTACGGTTACGTCATCGGAACGGAATCGATTCTGAACGGAATCGAATCTAATTCTGAACGAATCTGAAGTTAAAAGGCCATGAGGGCGTGTGACAGTTTGTCGCCAGAGATTGCGGTCGTGTCGCTACAGTTCTCCGCGGTGAGTACAGTATAATGTCTTTAAACACAACAGCGCTAAATAAAATTAATGCTTGCGCGTTCAGAGATTTAGCGGTGAACGGGAACTACCCTGCAACTTGAAGACGTCTTGGAATGGGAAAGGGTTAATGCTAGCAAGGAGCACAAAGTGGCGGTGTGGTTAGTATCATACCCGGTCACCTTTGTCTCCCCAGTACGGATGTTTACACATAGCATCAGGCTGAGTTAACCTAGGAGAGGCCCAGAACAAATTCATATATCACTCTCCACTGTTATTTACATTGGCCGGGAATCGAACGCAGGTCACACAGTGCAGGCAGCCTGTCACCGCTTCTTACCCTCATACACACACTTGCGATTACGTACAAGCCACCCTTGACTCATTTAAATTTGGCGAATAACAATTGATCGATTTAAACATTGATTCTTACGCTCATAGCATGTGCACCAAATATGCGTGCTTCAGAATTGTTTAATTTGTACGCGTTGCATTGGACCTTTTCACGTGCTCCCTTGCAGCCATTGAAGGCGTTGACCGACAATGTGCAAAAAATAATAAATTATTGAATCCACAAGTGACCCCAAAATCTTTGTATTGTGAGAGTGAGCGAATCGTTGAATGCCTGCCTTTAAATCTGTATTGTGCCACGTGTCTGAATGAGCAGCTTACCGTGACCGGGGATTGGTGCAGAAGTCGTGAATTGAGGGCAGGGATTGAAGAGCGAATCACGTTTTTTGTTATCGCGGAGAAAATGTCTAGAACCACAGTGGGTTTTTTTTTTATTTTGGGCCCCGAAGGCACCGAGTGGCTCGTTTGATCTAGCATTGAGTGGATTTTGTGGCTGATTTGGGCTTCGCGTTCATGCCCCAGTGCTGATTGATGCTGCTTTGTTTGCGCCTGCAGGAAGCACGCAGAGCACCAGTGACCCCAGCATTGAGCCTGACAATGTGGGAGGCCACGGGGCTGATGATAACTACCACAAGAACATGCCCTGGCTCGAGGTACGAAGGCGCAGAACTCCGTGTGCTGCTGCCACATCGGCGCAATCACGAAAAGGCCACAGTGTGACTTCGGTGACCGATCTCAAACCGTGGATTACAACGTAACGTCCGATGCCCACCTTGATCATTCACACGAAACGTTTCAGATGTCCACCGGCTACTCCTGAATCTAAATATGAAAGAGGAAGTGTATACTATTTAATCTGTGAGGTTCGGTGGATCCGTGGCTTTCTCTATGCGAGTCTATGAGTGTCTACGCGAGTTTACGGATCTTTACGACAGTGAGCCTCTATCTGTGTGGTTCGATCGTTCACCACAGCATTTCAGATGTTCACCAGGCCACTCCTAAAGCCATCCACTGTCTCAGCTCAGCAACCTTAACACGAATGTATAAATGCTGCTGACCAGCTCCCCACTTTAAGAATCAAAAAAGTGTCTTCAAACATAATACTAATAATTCGTGTTTTATAGTGACTATCACTCCTTGTGTATGATGGCTGAATTATCGTACGGCTTACATCACTTCAAATCTACTTAGAAATTAACGTATACAAGATTATTTCATCACATCTGTTCATTTATATTAATAAGTACATTTTTTGTAACAAATAAATATAAATTACTCTTACATAATTAGGTTAACATTAATATGAAACATGAAATGTGATACCTTTTGATGATGAGATCATGTAAGTGTGGTTGTAAAGTCACGTAGGTAAAAAATTCTAAATAAAATTAATGAAAGTAAAATAAAATTAAAATAGCTGTATCGCGCTGTGACGGTTCCACCTGAAGACGGAAGCTTGTGTTGCCTCCGAAACGTCGTGATTTGTATTTGATTTTTATTTTACTTTTATGAATTTACATTTTTTACCTACGTGACTTTACCGAAAAAACCTAAGAATATGAATCCTTGCAGTCACGAAAGCTTCAAATCTAGAACTATTATCGACGCTTGATAACCCCGAAAAAGGTTTGAAAAATTAACGGGAAAAAGTTTTGATGATTATCTTCGTCGCCTTCCAGCTGCTGCAGGCTCTCTCCACTGTTAGCCTACTGTCTGAACACCACCCAGCTTACCTCCTTCCCACCCCCCTCACTCTCTCTGCACCGTGTTAATCCCCCCGGTAATTGCGTGCCCGGTGCAGGTGATGATCCTGCTGTGCAACCAGCAGAACTTCATCTGCCAGCACGCGGACTTCTGCCACCCGGGCTGCTACCAGAGGCATGGCCGTGCCTGCGCGCGCCTCGTACGAGCGCTCAAGCTGGTCTACGGAGACTCGGCCGACCCCGTCAAGGACGAGGGCCTCCCTGGCCGCGCCAACATCGGCAACAAGAAGGCCAAGGAGGTGCGTTGGTGGTCCCACCCCCCCCGCCCCGCCACCAACATAGCCGCGCTGCCGACACGCCGGCAATTGTGACGGTGAATCGTTGAGGGCCGCTCGTTTTTCTCCGACACTGCCTCTCATGGAGTCGCTGCGGAGCTTTTCACGCCACTGTTCAAGCCCAGGCTCAAGACCTTTTTGATTTTTTTCCCCTCCGCTTTTATTCTCGCTATAAAATGATTATGCCACTGGTGCTGCAGAGCATTTCGCAATCGTGTTTAGATGTTATTCTCGATGCATTCGACGTTCTGCATTATTTGATGAGATAGGCACATAATGCAAATTTAAAATGACCAATAAAGATAGAACCAAGAAGAAAGATAATGTATCTTCTTGGTTCTTTCGGTAAAGTCACGTAGAAGGGAAATAATAAAATAATACAAATGAAACATAATAAAAAACAATTCTCACGACGTTTCGGCCACAACGCAAGCAGCCGTCCTTGCGTTGTGGCCGAAACGTCGTGAGGATTGTATTTTATTATGTTTTATTATTATTTTATTATTTCCCTTCTACGTGACTTTACCGAAAGAACCAAGAAGATGAATCCCTGCAGTCACGAAAGCTTTAAATCGAAAGATAATGTATTTATAGATCTTATATAAATCCACATTGTTGCTGTCCGCAAAGCCAAATGGTGTTGTATGTTTCACGAATGCGCAATGTCCCATCTCGTGTCTGGATAACATTTTTGTTCTTTTTTTTAGACATGTTATTTTTTGCCCGTTCCCCCTCCCTCTCATCAGAGATTCAGTGACCTTTCACGATTTAGTTGCTATGATTTAAGTAAAATATCTTTCTTCAATATTTGTTTTTAACCGAAGCATTTCATAGACGTAGAATGTGGATTCATCATACCTGATTGATTCTCGCTCGCACATTTCAGCGGGGTGTACTGCAGGCAACATAGAATAGATTTTAATCGCCGAACCGAGGCATATTTGCTTGTCCCTTATTCATGCGTTCGTTATCCTCCAGGTGAGAAAACTATTTGCGTCCACTTGACTGATTAGTAGATCACTTGCTGTTGGGCAAAGTGTGGCTACAACTGCCTGATCTTACTTTTCCCGCGAAATGAACTCGGCGTACAGAACGTACGTTTAAGTTTATTGTTGAAATTCTTCAAATGAAGACCGGGAGGAAAAAAAGAACCCAAGCATTTGCACGCTACACAAGTCCCACTTTCTCTGATGTCCTTGCGGCAGCACAAAACCGCGGCTTTTTATCACAAAGTAATTTAAATTAATGAGGTTTAAACAAAAAAGATAGGAACACGCAGGGAACAGCCTCCAGGCGAAACTATCTCATCCAGGCAGACACATCCCTGGAATGTTAAACTATTTCCCTGCGGATGTTATCTAGCGTAGGTTCTAAGGGTAACGGTAACTTTTTTCACTGCTGCCGAAAGCTGCAGTTAATATTTATTCCACACGAAGAACGCGTGCTTTGACGCTATGGTATTGATGAAAGCATTGATCATAAGCATGGTCACAACGAATCCAACAATGAAAGCCAATTATACATTAAACGAATGCGCATAGGGCAGCAGGTTCTTTGAATACTGTTTTTGTGGCTATTATATATTACGAGTGTCGTTATTAAGAATTGTTATATAGCTGCAACAGGGGTGGAGCGGAGGCATAGTGGTTAGCGCACTACGCTGTAAACTCGTTGGCTTGAATTCAATTCCCGGTCACGACTGACATCATATGTGAGTTCTAGATTTGAAGCTTTCGTGACTGCAAGGATTCATACGTAGGTAAAAAATGAAATTAAAATTAATCACTTGATACAGCAAATCTCGCTGTGACGGTCCCACCTGATGACGGAGACTTGTGTTGCCTCCGAAGCGTCGTGATTTCTATTATAATTTTATTTTTATTAATTTTAATTTCATTTTTTACCTACGTAAATTTACCGAAAAAACTAAGAGTATCATATGTGAGTTTTATTTTAACCGGTCCTGGCCACCCTCCTTCACCAGCCTCCAACCACCGACCAGCATTTTGAAGTGAGGTCAAGCAACCCGCCATGACTGGCTTGGTTTGGAAAGGCCTTCATCCAGCAGTGGATTGAGATAGAGCTGCGAGCTATTATATATAAACATAAATTGTTCTTAGCTAGATTACGGGATGGTGACGTGGTCAATGGGTCACACATTCGCTGCTGGTTGCAGAGGTGCCACTGTTGGAATGCGACAGCTGCCTTGATGAACAGCGTGGCGTGCATTGAACCTGTAAAAATTCAAGTTTCAAGTTCATTTATTAGGTATAGCCCTGTGAGCCATTCGGCTCTTGAATCGGGTGCAACCGCAACAAACAAAAAACAAAAACATGAACAAAAAAACATCTTAAAGTGAATATGTCCACTGGGAAGTAGACGCACCGTCTACTTCCCAGTGGACATGAAAGATCCCGCGATGTCGTTCGCAAAAGTAGGCCATTGTGTGCCGGCGTCACGCTCGAATTTACTCCCAACTTACTCGGTGGGATGATACGTGGCAATCATAAGCTCCTCACTGTGAAAACCTGACAGGACGCTCTTGAACAAGAGCCATGAGACTCGGTGAGACTCTCTTAGGCCAACAAGCATAATAAATAAGTATATTTAAGGGGTTTATCATCTCTGAAGAGTTGTAACATTTACCTTCCATTATCCTTACTTTCCATTGCCTCTTCCGAAGTTTAAATTCCATAAGTCGGACAAATCGTCGCTGCGGCCTCCCTCGCTGAAGAAGAGGACATCCGAGGTGATTGTGGACGGCAAGAAAGACCCTGGCATGCTCAAGTACATTCGCAATCAGGTAAGAATGGTGCAAGTTAATTCGGGTTTGAAACAAACCCCTCGGAAGGAATACGTTTGATGCCAAATCTTAGAGTGAGAAGAGATCAGTTTCTGGTCAGGATCGTGGTTATTCATTAAAAAAACATTTTAAATGTAACTCTACAGGACCTTGTAAGAGACATTAAAATTTCAAACTTTTTTTATACTGTAGTTCACCTTAACGTTGATGCTCATAGACACAAGACTACTTCGTGTCTTGAGGCAGATTTGAGATGAATTTGGAACGACAGTGCCAAAAAAGCATGAAAAGGATCGGCCACACGTCACAATTCAGAACGCTCTTGGTAATCAGTCATGAGACTCGGAGAAGCTTTTATGAATACATACCTTGCATTATTTGGAAGCATTAAACAATTCTCATTGTACACATTCCATAACTCCGAACAGGCAGCGGCACATTGTTAATTAAAGAACACAATATTCTTTAATTAACAATTTCCCGACAATCTTGATTACATTCAAACTGCAATTAACAATTCATGCCGATGAGAGGACGTCTTGTGCTGGAGCAACGGTGCCATGCTTCGCTTCTCTCATCGTTCCTGGGCTCCCGCCAGTGGCGGCTCCTGCAAAATCTCTCAGGGGGGGGGGGCAAATGTCTGGATGATTGATAAGGATAAGGTCCACCCATGCAATGGATAAATTAACAGCTTAAGCATGTAAAGGCAACTTCACTTCTTTAATATTAATGAAAAATAAAGTGACTCTTACAATACATCTTGTTTGTTTATATACTCACTATTAAAACAAACCACTCAGGTTTATTTTATTAAAGATTCCACTAGGTAGCGATAAATTATATTGTTGGATGAAACGTGCTTACGTATGATGACGTTAGCACGTATGATGACGTAAGCACGTATGATGACGTAAGCACGTTAGTGCGAGCCCTCCCGGAAGCCATAGAGAATGCATTGGAGCGCCCCCGTTCGAAAAAAAACATCTTTCAATGTAAGTCTATGGGACCACTCGGGGCGATTCTCAGCCGTAGTGAAATCGCCCCAAAAGAGGCGGTACTCTACAGAACGTGACATGACGCTGATTGGACTATATCCAGAGGCTGACAGTGACGGCTAACGTGACTCTGTGGTTGAATGACATTGGTGGTGCGTCGCCCAATCGCCCTAATGAAGAAACCGCCCCTGGCTCCCGCTCTGACCTCGCCTCGTGCTCTCTGGTCGTAACGAGGTGATGAGCCTGGCCCCGGCTCCCCTGTCGCTGCTCATCAAGGCTGCCACCATCATGACGGAGGACATGTACAGCGACGTGCAGCCGGCAGCATGGGAGCTGCTCCTCAGCGTCGACGAGCACATGGCCGCCACTGCAGGTTCGTTGGCGTGTGAAAAAAACATAAAGTAAAGGCGCGGCCCCTGCAGTTACTTGCTTGCAAGTCCCGATGCGTAATTTAGTTATCGGGTTCTTAGGTTTTTTCGGTAAAGTCACGTAGTAAAACATGCAAGTAAATGAGAGATTGCAGGAGCTACCACTCCGTTTCATCTCTTGAGGAAGGCCAGCGTCTCGAGAAGCTGTGACTTCTTGTCTCGTTGTCTGTTAAAAACTCTAACAGATAGGTGGAACTCCTCCCCGTAGAGGGTATTAATTCTAGATTTGAAGCTTTCGTGACTGCAAGGATTCTTGGGTTTTTTCGGTAAAGTCACGTAGGTAAAACATTCAAGTAAATGAGAGATTGCAGGAGCTACCACTCCGTTTCATCTCTTGAGGAAGGCCAGCGTCTCGAGAAGCTGTGACTTCTTGTCTCGTTGTCTGTTAGTTATCGGGCTTAAGGTCCGACCGAACGCGCCCTCCATCAGCGCTGCAGCACGATGGTGTGTGCACGATCGTAGAACAGCGAGGGCATCCCGGTCTCATAATCGACCCCGCAACTGGTGGAAGGGCCATCATTGCAAGGAGCTCCAGAGAGCCCCCCCCCCCCTAACTGTCGTGTATCCATTTATAGTGCCGTGTGGACAAAGTTGGGGGGGGTGGGGGGGGCTGGGAGTGGTGGTGGTTTAAGAAACATGCCAATGACTTAAACTGCCATGCTGGAAGATCATATCGAACTGGCGACCCCCTGATTGTTTTATACTTATTTTACTAAAGGGCTTCCGCGAGCCGTAGCTATCTTCCACGGTTTACGCGATACAACAAAGATGCGTGTTGACCCCGCACACGAGCTTGTCTCATCATTCATTTTTCCCTGGTGGACATAATCTCGGGCCTCTTTCCTCCTTGGGCTGCCTCTCTGTCGTTAGTTTTGACCGCTGGCCACTGTCCATTTTTGCCATGATGTGTTCTGTTGCGACAAGTACGTCTTCGGACAGCAGTCAATTAAGCATGCACCACAAATAGTGCACAAATATACGTGAATCACGTGAAACGCTGATGACAATCCAGAGGCAAGCTTAGCACTAGGCACGGAATGATCTCCCCCCACCCCGCCCAGAGCTTCCAGGCATGGCAAAGTCTCATCCAAAATCGCATGACAAGATTGCACCTGCTGTCTAAACACACAACCCTATATCTCTCAGCGCAACAACGTTCACACGCGGTTGACTTCCTGTGCTCGTGTGGAACAGCCGCAATGTTCCTGCTGTGCGCGGTGAAAGTCCCCGAGCATGTGACGGACATGATCATGTCCGAGTTCCACCACCAGGACGCGACCCAGCGAATCAACTCCATTCTGCGCTTCGGGGCGCTGTGGCGATTCCGCTACCAGGTCTGGCCTCGCATGGAGGAGGGCGCTCCACAGACCTTCAAGGTACCGGCGAACGCGGATCCCCGGGGAGAGAGAGCCCGCGGTGACATCGCGTAGCGGCGGCGCGTTGCCTGCTCGTTGCGGAGGTTCGCGGCTCAAAAAAACAGCGGCCGCCTTGAAAATTTGCCCATTTGCAAATAGTTGTGGGCAGACACGATCATCGATTCGGTTGGTTTTCAAGAGGGCGGGTCGCTAATGGCAACGTAATTGTGCACTTCGTGTCGCCTCGTATTTGAGTTGTTTCCGCGCTCCTCGCCGTTACGGATGGAACAACGGGCGGACAGGTCAAACGCGTCAACGCTTTCGGAATTAAGCTGGAGATAGTTCAAAAAGAAGATTTGAAGGAAAGAAAAAGAGTGCAATGCCTCGTCTCCCTTTCTGCAGGTCCCCCCGCCAAGCATTAACTTCACGCTGCCATCGCCCATCCTGGGGGTGCAGTCGCTCCCCGTGTTCGATCCCCCGTGGGTGCCCCAGTCCACGGACAGCGTGCAAGACGCCATCAGCGAGGACGCCTCGGTGAGGGCATAGGGCATTGCAATGCGGGCGGGGATGGATTCAGTTAACGCAACTGGGGGCTTCTACATTTGGCCGCTATAAACCCACGACCTCTTGCATACCAGGCGACGTAGTCAACATCTCGCCACCGTGGCGAGACGTTGACTGTTTCTCTGAATTCCCTCCCCCGGGGCATTTTCCATCCCCAGAAATCGTTCTCGGCCAAGGCGGTGTCCCGCTCCCACCAGCGCGCCGAGCACATCCTCAAGAGCCTCCAGCACGAGGAGGAGCGGCGCCGGTTGGGCCGTGAGGCCAGCCTCATCACCACCGTGCCGCTCACGCAGAAGGCCGGCTTCGAGCCCTCGGCCGCCGCGGGCACGCCGGCCGAGCAGGAGGAAGGTGGGGGACCGCCCGCCGAGGCCGCCCCCAAACTCCCCCCCCCCTCCCCCCCCCACTTGGGCCATCGCGTCAAAAGTTTTCGCTTCTCTGCCGTCTCTCGGGGGGTTGGGGGTTGGTGAGGGGGACCGCGCCGTTGTGTCCGCAGCGCTCCGGTACGCTCGCGTCGCCGAGGTAAAGGTTTGGGAAGAGGGTGAGCGGCAGGTGGAGGAGGCAGCCTCTATGAGGAATAGCGCCTTCCAGGATCGTCCCCCGACGTTCGCGTTTGTTCATGGGGGCTGTGGGTCGCTCACTTGCGGAGTTTGCCGCAGTCGGAGTGGGCTGGTGGTTTTTGTTCCCTTCGTATCCTTCAACCTGCGGTGGACTTTGCTACTGTCCCGGTTTCCTGCACTTTTACCATTTTTATTTTTTAAAAGCAACCCTCGACAATTCTGCCTGTGCTGCTCAGGAGCCCGATCCGCGTGTTTCCTAAAATCTCCTATCACGCATTTTTTGTGCGGCCGTATTTTTGTTCTTCTCAATTCCCCGACCTCCCCCCCCCCGTAAATTGTTCCGCCCAGACAAGTCTGGCTACAATGTGTCTCACCGTGTTGCGTGTTGGTGTTGTGAGGCAGACGTCGTGCCCTTGTTTGTGCGCACGTGCATGGATGTGCATTCTAACGCCTTCAGGGCCGAGGTAACAACACAGGCAATCAATCCCCCCGCCTGCCTCAGCTCTATATTGGGGCTGTCAGAATGCGCATGTCTTTGCTTGTGCGTGTGTCTCTGTGTGCGTGCGTGCGTGCGTACGCGCGTTTCTCTGTGTGGTTTTGTGTGTGTCTGTGCGTGCGTCATTTGTGTGCATGCGGGCATGCACGTGTCTGTGTGTGTGTGTGCGTGTGTGTGTGTGCGCGTGTGTGTGTGCGCGCGTGTGTGTGTGTGTGCCCCCAGACGAGGCGGGCAACCTGGTGTCCCGTCGCCTCTCCATGAGTCCGTCCTGTACGTCTAGTGCCTCCCACCGTAACTACTCCTTCCGGCGGGGTTCGCAGTGGTCTGTGCGCTCTGCAGCCAGCGCTGAAGGCATGCCCTTACCCATCCTTGTTACCCTCTTGCAAGGCGAATAGGAATACATGTGGAGACGCTGTTTCAACGTAAATTACGTATTTTACTATATTGACCAACAAAAATATGTATCATTATTTATGTAAATGAACCAATGAGGTGTAGACTTTGTTGACGTTGTTCCTGCCTTTGCGAACATCTCATTTTACTCTTGCATTGAGTCCGCTTGAGATGTTGGCGTCGGACGAGAGAGACCCTGCCACCTTTGTTCTCCATTGCGAGCGAGACGCGTTTGCAAGAGAAGGATGGCACCTTCCCGAACAATTTCACCCAAGGCTCCCTTTGTCCCTCCATGCACTCCTATTGGCCTTGCCCGTCCGATGTTCGGTGACACATTGCGGTGCGCGAAAGGGGAAAGCGGGAACGGGGGGGGGGGGTCATGGCAGATGTAATACCACCGCCGCGTACTTAGGGGACCACTTCCACAATTTCACACCGCCGCCCCCGAGTAGCTCTGCGCTCCCAGGGTGACTCGATTCCGTGTGCTCCTGCTAGAGGAGCACGGCACGGAGCACACGCCGACGCACTTCGCCCTGCAGCCGCCCCAGGCCATCTTCCCCGCGTGCATCTGCGCGTGCGTGCTGGCCGTCATCGACCTCATGGAGGACGGGGAGGTGCGGGAAGACGGCGTGACAGGTGATCGTGGTGGGGGAACAGCGCGCGCGAAACGCGGCCCGATGTTCACTCCGTCGCCTGGTGTGCAGGAGCACGTCGACGGTTCGATCACGACCCTGACGCCTTCTGGTCTGTTTGGAGGTCCGCGTGTTCTCCACGTGGTCGTGTGGATTAGGGGCCGTCCATAAATGACGTCACGCACCTCGGTGACGATGTGTGACGGGGGGGGTAGAAATGTGACGTCACATCAAAATGCGGCAACTTTAAATAAATATAGACAACACGTTGTACTTAATTAAATCGACTTTTTAATAAATGTTTTCTCCTACAACATCAGAGTGCAGCCCCACATTAAATACGCACTACAATGACAATAGTAGTTTAAAGCGATTTGAAGCATGTTTAATTGTTTTGGGGGGGGGGGGCAGAGCTTTGTGACGTCATATTTGAGGGGGGGGGCTGACTTTTCGTGTGACGATGGAGGGGAGGGGGTCAAAAATCGTCCAAAATCGCGCGACGTCATTTATGGACGGCTCCTTACCACGTGATAAGCCACTTTGTTAGGCTATCATTTGTGGCCAGGTCGCTTCTGAAAAGAGCGATTTAGCTCGGCGCGCCTTAACTGCTAAAATAAAAATAGTTTAGTTCACGTGTGCACACGCGGGCACTCAAGAAGTATACGCACGCACGTGAACACGAGCACATGTGCAGCAACACGCATGTGCACACACAAACACTTGCAGATATATAAACACATTGCGGTAACACACAGACAAAGAACCCCCATGGAGCCTTTGCCAGGCTGTTGGGGCAAGTGCTGTTAGTGAGCACCTGTGAAGGCCGGCACGGCACAGGAAGGTGGCCAGCACCACGCCCGGCCACCTTTGTCTCCCCAGCGCTGATCTACTCATTTAAGGCTGAGGTGATCTAGATGAGACCGAGGACCGGTTGAAATGGTTGTCACTTATGTTGACTGTTTGCAGGAATCAAACTCGGGTCGCCGGGTTCGTAGTGCAGCGCGCTAACCACTACGCCACCGCTCATCACCGACGCACAGACACGCATGGACAACAATATGCACACAGACAAACGTAGACATGCACGAATAAAAAGACAAAGATCCCCCGTATAGCCTTAATATACTTTTGGGGAAAGTACTGTTAGCGAGCACCTATGAAGGCCGGTACTAGTACACGAGGAGATGGGTGGTCAGCACCACTCCCAACCGCCTTTGTCTTCCTTGTGGCGATGTTTACACACCACACCAAATACTAATTTGAGGTTCAGTCGACCTAGGGAAGGCCCAGGACCGGTTCAGATAATCGTCACTGGTGTTGGCCGTGAGCGGGAATCGAACCCGAGTGGCCGGGTTTGTAACGCAGCGTAGCGCTAACCGCTACACTCCCGCTCCCCGCTGTGTCCGTGTGCACAGATACAGACACACGCACAATCCCAGGCAGAATGTGCTCAAGGTCGTGACTTTTTATTGCAAAGAAGAGCTCAACAAAATATTACTCCCAGAGCCACGCAACTTATTCAAACATGTGATTGTAAATGTTGGACGATTAAAGTATGATCGTATCACAGTTGTAATCCTTATTACTTGGTTGAAATTAATGAAAATATAAAGAGGATAACACATTTTTTGTAAGTATGTCGAGTTGTGATTAAGACATGGGGAGCTTTAAAAGTTATCTCTAAAACCACAATACGGCTATGCTAGCCAGAATTAAAATTCAGAACCAAAACTCGTGCCCACTTTTATCACTGCACACGTGCATTGCGGGACAATTGATTTATCTAAGCCTTGACAATCTGGGTGAACGCTTGGTGCAGTGGTTCGCACGCTACGCCATTAACCCGTCAACCCGTTTGATTTCCAACCACGGCTAGAATCGACCGACAATCTGAACTGGTGCTGCATTCACCTCCCTTTCTTCAACCCGCACTCACCAACGTGGGTGAAGTGTGGTCCAACAAGCTCCCTTGACCCACACGACGTGGCGAGGCATTCATCCAGCAGTGGATGGTCAACTTCTGAATTGTTAAAACACACATAAGAATAATCGTTGACTCGGCATGTACATAAAATTCCGACATCACTTGGCCACCGCCGCTAACCATCATCATCGCATAGGAGTATTGCATGTACGTATGTTGAACTTCTTTCGCACCGTACGTAGCCAACCGTGCTTAACGGAGGCGCAGCTTTTGCAGATAACCAATTCAAGAATCCTGGCAATGGCCCCGCAGTGGGTCGCCAAGCCCCGGCAATGACGAGACCGCCATCTGTGTGGTCTAACTAGACCCGTGCGTTGAGGCGGCCAGTACTGAGTAGCAGCGCCGCGCGTGTGTGTATGTGTGTGTGCGTGTGTGTGTATGTGTGTGTATGTGCGTGTGTATGTATGTGTGTATGTGCGTGTGTATGTGTGTGCGTGCGTGTGTATGTGTGTGTGTATGTGTGTGCGTGTGTGTATGTGCGTGTGTATGTGTGCGTGTGTGCGCGTGTGTGTGTATGTATGTGTGCGTGTGCATGTGTGCGTGTGTATGTGTGTGTATGTGCGTGTGTATGTGTGTGTGTATGTGCGTGTGTATGTGTGTGTGTATGTGCGTGTGTGTGTGTATGTGTGTGCGTGCGTGTGTATGTGTGTGTGCGTGTGTATGTGTGTGCGTGTGTGTGCGTGTGTATGTATGTGTGTGGCCGGTGTGGGGAGCGGTAGTGTAGCGGTTAGCGCGCTGCGCTATGCACCTAGCGACACGGGTTCGATTCCCGCTCACGGCCAACACCAGTGACGATTATCTGAACCGGCCCTGGGCCTCCCCTAGGTCGAATCAGCCTGAAATGAGTACGTGGTGTGTAAACATCGCCACTGGGGAGACAAAGGCGGTCGGGCGTGGTGCTGGCCCACCCACCCCCTCGTGTACCGTTCCGGCCTTGATAGGTGCTCGCTAACAGCACTTGCCCCTACAGTCTGTTAAGGCTTTCCGGGGGATCTTTGTCTTTGTGTGTGTGGCCAGTGTGCGCGGTGGCGCAGCAAGTGCTGTGGAACTGCCTGATCGAGGACCCTGCCCTCGTGCTGCGCCACTTCCTCGAGAGGTTCACAGTCAGCAACCGGCAGGTGCTTGTCGCTCGCGGAGACCCAAGCGTCATCATCGCCATCATCGGCATCGGCATCATCATCATCATCAAGTTGATTTCGCTGAACCAGATGAGAACTCGGTAGGGCAGCGTGCAATCTCATTGGCGAGGCCGCCCTTGGTCACCGGCGTAATGTCATCATCGGATACCACGGAACTAATTCTGAGATCATATTCGAGTGTGACGGTAGGTGGTCTCTTAATGACGCACGGAGGAGCTGCCTCGAGCCTAGTCACTCAAGGTCAAGCACAATTTGTCAAAGACTATTTTAGCAGAGAGTGTGCATTTGTTAGTATGTCCCTCGATACATTGTGGGGTGTAATGATGCATTGAGTCATTTATTAATCTCGATTCAGAAGCTCATGATGCACGCATCGTATTCATCATCATAATCATCATCGCCAGCCATGATCAATCCAATGCTGAATGAAGTTCTCCCCCAAACCATCGCCATGCCTCATGCTCTTGTAATGCACGTGATCTGATTCATCATTCCATCTAACAAACAAACAAGCAGGTAAGCACTTAGTTCTATAAACTGACACAGTGTCTGAACATTTGGAAAACACATTCTCGGTGCTCCTGTGCTGATTGACGCATTAATCGCTGCAGAGTGTCTACCCCTGCTCGATCAGTCCTCTTCTCGTAGCCGCCGCACAACCAAGTGGCTGGCGATCTTCCTCTAGGAACTTGTGGGTCTGCCAGCACTCTTCCTCCTCAATCCGGCTTCCAGTTAAAAAAAACATGAGATGCCATATTTTTGTGCACCATCACTCTTAAAGCTCTCTCTCTCATCAACAACACGCCTAGACCAGAATGGTGAAGTATTCTTAAATAACCCCCGTGACTGACACAGCATGGGGAGGCCTTCATCCAGAAGTAAATTGACAAAGGAATATTAACCACAATCACGATCACTGTGATTCAGAGGTCGCAAACGGGTTTTGATTCCTTACCCGTACCCGGCCGCACCAGGGTCGCAAACGGGTACCCGTACCCGGCCGTACCTGTACCCTACCCGTACCCTACCCGTACCCGGCCGGGTACGGGTAGGGTACGGGTATCGGGTACCTGATTGCGACCTCTGGGATGAAGCCATGTTGCAGGCGCGGGTGGGTTGATTCTAGGAACTTGAATTGTGAGAAGAGACAAGACGTTGGGAAATGAGTGACAAACAGTTACTCACCAGTGACTCACGGTCTACCCGTACCCGGCCGCACCAGGGTCGCAAACGGGTACCCGTACCTGGCCGGGTACGGGTAGCCGGGTATCGGGTAGGGTACGGGTATCGGGTACCCGGTTGCGACCTCTGCTGTGATTTGCACACAACGTGCATGGGTATCATGGGTGTAAACGTCTATTCTTAATCGATCCATCGTTATATGCCCAGCAAAAACCCCCTGTCTGCAACATGTAGCATCTTGATAATATGGGTGCTGTTCAAGTGCGATGTGAGGGCTAACATTATTTTGTATTGCTTCACCCCCGCTGACCTGGATCTCTGCAGAGGACAATGCTATTGCAAGCAGCTCACGTGGATTGATTTCACGTTGCCACCTCTCTTCCCCGGCAGGAGGAGCTGATTTTTATGCTGCGGAAGCTTCTCATAAACGTTGGGGAGTTGCCGCCTCAGACCTCGCACATCCTGTTCAATTACCTGGTGAGGCCTCTTATCGAACAGGGGGGGAAATCACCATTGGTACCTCATTTGCCAGTAAAAAAATATGATAATTATTTTTACCCTTTTATCTGGCAACAAAACTGACACCTTTTTTTACGAGGAGTCATGTTTGCATAGACCACAATACCAACACCATGTGAGACTAGGCTCTAAGGAAAGCTGTCTCGGGTGTGGACCAATCAACTTCAAGGACAGTGCATACATTATCAAAGTTATGTTTTTTTTTGCATTATGACTGCAGGTATTGTGGTCTATGCAAACATGACTCCTCGTAAAAAAGGTGTCAATTTTGTTGCCAGATAAAAGGGTAAAAAAACAATTATCAGGGGGGAATTCGGTAAGCGGGCCCTTTTCTCCATTTGGGAGCGCGCATCAGTCGGGCCTGCTGCACCCGTTGTCGCAAAGGAAAAGCGTGTTGACGCGCTGCTCGGAGGACGTTGTCAAGCGGCCTGCAAAAGTGCTTCCTTTTTTACCCAGAGGACCGGAATGATATTTTATGAAACAAAAATAATGTATTCGACTGTGATATGCTGCAATAAAAGCAAATACACAGGGGCAATTATTGGAGGAAATGATTTTGCAGATAATATTCCCTGTGCTAGGCTAACGGATGATGGATTGCCTCCTTTAGCAGTCAGCCACATTCCAAGCCAGCAATGGGAATTGTGTTCAGACCTTTGCTGGTTCGGCTCAAGCGTTAAATTATTACTTCATTGAGGGCCACCCCTACGAGTGAGTCCTTCTGGAATTAAAATGAGTCTTCGTTGCTGTGAATGAGGATGTGGAAGGAAACATTGATGGTTTTTCAGGAAACCAGTTAGAAATCTGAGTTCCGTTGGTCCCTCAGAACTTTCAACAACACGTTTTCTTATTACTGCGTCGGTGTTTGCGCCTGTGCTGTACGGCTCTGCAGGTATTTTCGTCTTGTTACCATCTGTTTGTTCGGCACGATGTCCTGAAAGCACATCAGACAGCTACATATGTGTTATTGTTTGTGTTGGTTTTTTTTTATTTTATCTCGCGTGGTTTGCTTGGTTAGATCGGTGTAATCTTGTCACAATATGGAGACGTTTCCAGTGCACCACAATGTTTGTGTCATAGAATGGCCCCTCAGGATGACGTAAAAACTGCTTCTGGACGTCCCATTAACTATCATCACAGGGGGGGGGGGACATCTTTTACATGCCCTAAAAACAGTATTTGTTGCGTGTCATTGAAACCAAAACTGTTTAATTGTTAGGCTTAATTTGATTTTTTTTATTTTCTGTCGTAGAGTTGATGTTTGATCCGACAGGTGTGTTTATCGGGGCGGTGACATGGCTGAGTGGTAGCTCGTTAATTCTCCTGTGGAGTTTCGATTTAAAGCTTTCGTGACTGCAGGGGATTCATCTTCTTGGTTTTTTCGGTAATGTCACGTAGAAGGGAAGTAATAAAATAATAAAAATAAAACATAATAAAATAATTCTCACGACGTTTCGGCTACAACGCAAGTAGCCGAAACGTCGTTAGAATTATTTTATTATCTTTTATTTTTATTATTTTATTATTTCCCTTCTACGTGACTTTACCGAAAAAACCAAGAAGATGAATCCCCTGTGGAGGTTTGTAGTTCGAGTCGAGCAGCTGGCCGTGGTTCATACTGCGGATTAATTTACCATAAATACGACCTTCGTCTGCTTCGCAGAGGGCGTGAACGATTCCGTGACGTTATTCGAAAACGCGTAGGCCACGCCTGCAGGTGTCATCGTCCACATTTTCCAAATTCAATCAGTTACCGGCTAATTACTTTATTGGGAAATGCCCATATGACGCATGCTCATTTAGAGGCTGGCATAGACTTTATGCTCGACAGGGACAGCTCTCACTGGAGGGAGTCGATCTCCTTGGCTCGACTGCAGCAGGAAAAGGGAATGGTTCCAATGAAATGTGACGTGTGTATGAAGAACTTCTTTCACACCGTACGTGACCAAACCTTGCCAATCGTAGGTGTGGGGGAAGGACAACAAACGAAACACAAAAAGCAGTTTTAAATAAATACGTTTTAAATTTTTATTTAAAGTGCACAGCTCCAGTGCTTCCTCTATCGGAAGGAAGAGCGTTCCAGATGGCCGCAGAAGGGCGTCTGAAAGCGCGCGATGCAGTGACCGTCTTTGTTCGATGGTTGGCCAAAAGCCGCTAATACGAGGATGACCAGGAGTTAGCGCGATGGGTTTATGGCGGGGCATTTTATCGCCCCGCAAATACGAATATTTCACCGTGTATTTCCCTCTTACAGATCGGGCTGATCATGTACTTTGTGCGCACGCCGTGCGACTGCGGCGAGGAGGCGGTGGCCGCCACGCTCACGTTCCTGTGGCAGGTGGTCAGCTTCGTCGAGGGCCTCTTTATCAAGGACCTCAAACAAACGCTCAAGAAGGAGCAGTGCGACCTCAAGCTGCTCGTCACCGCCGCCATGCCCGGTAGTATATAGGGGGCAGCGGCTTCCGTCGAGAGAGAGCAACGGGACTCGAGGCGATCGCTGCCTTAGCGAGGGGAGGGTTGGGTGCCCGTGCCGAGGGCAGCGCTGCGCGACACGGATAGCCCTTCTTCTTGGTTCTTTCGGTAAAGTCACGTAGAAGGGAAGTAATAAATAATAAAAATAAAACATAATAAAATTATTTTATAAAAAATAAAACATAATAAAATTATTTTATTATGTTTTATTTTTATTATTTTATTACTTCCCTACTACGTGACTTTACCGAAAGAACCAAGAAGATGAATCCCTGCAGTCACGAAATCCTTAAAACGGATAGCCCTTGTCAAGGAACCAAAGCAAGCGGGTGGCGCCTGGTGACTGAGACGTTTTAGAGGGAAGGGCGGGGATGTCGAGCTACAGCTCTGGAAGGTTTCTCAGACGCGAGTGCTCGTGACCAGAGGTCGCAACCGGGTACCCGATACCCGTACCCTACCCAATACCCGGCTACCCGTACCCGGCCGGGTACGGGTAGCCGTTTGCGACCCTGGTGCGGCCGGGTACGGGTAGACCGTGAGTCACTGGTGAGTAACTGTTTGTCACTCATTTCCCAACGTCTTGTCTCTTCTCACAATTCAAGTTCCTAGAATCAACCCACCCGCGCCTGCAACATGGCTTCATCCCAGAGGTCGCAATCAGGTAATCAGGTACCCGATACCCGTACCCTACCCGTACCCGGCCGGGTACGGGTAGGGTACGGGTACGGCCGGGTACGGGTACCCGTTTGCAACCCTGGTGCGGCCGGGTACGGGTAAGGAATCAAAACCCGTTTGCGACCTCTGCTCGTGACCCACCACAATCGGGCTTTGCATGTCTACCAAGCTTCTCTGTTCAGAAATGTAAATTAAGCGGTTACCAGATTCGTGTGCCAATTGTGCCATCCGGCGTCTTGTGGCGAGACAAATAATCCATGTGGAACTCTTGCAGAGGTGGGCACCCACCCCCTCGTGTTAGAGAATGGAAGCAGATATCACAGAGCTAGTTCTAAGAGCCCTTCCAAGTATGACTGGCTTGTAACTTTATCATCCATCAGTGGGGCCCGCCGTTAGACTGTTCAATCCAGGCTACATGCAATTTAGTAAGAATAATATTTTATTGACTTTGATCTTTAAACTCATGATACTAGAGAAGTACAAATAATATAATGATAAAAAAACAACAATTGCGCGTCCAATTGTGACCCTGATCCTGAATCATCACAATAGAATCACTGGGGTGGTGGGGATTCATCTCTTATACATGGTCTGCGTGTATCGGTGTGGTTATGTGTTTGTGCCTTTTCCGTGATGCAGGCACTAAAACATTGGTGGTCCATGGTCCAAACGAATGTGACATTCCAACACAGCTTCCCGTGCACGAGGACACACTCTTTGAGGCCGTGTTGAAGGTGATGCGTCTTGAATGTGTATATGTATGTGTGTGTGTACTGTATGCAGGGCCGGATTAAGATTGTGTAGGCCCCTGGGCTGCAGGTACTGTGAGGCCCCTCAGGTAATATTTTCTCAAGGAAAACAAAGTTAAAGAAAAATACAATTTATTTTTACAAGGCCAACAACAAATACAATTCAGCATTCACAAATTTAATAACTTTTCACATCATCTCTGGAGGCCCTGACTGTGTGTATATGGGGAGCGATAGTGTAGCGGTTAGCGCGCTGCGCTACGAACCCGGCAACCCGAGTTTGATTTCTGCTCACGGCCAACACCGGTGACGATTATATGTACCGGTTTTGGGCCTCCCCTAGGTCGACTAAGCTTCAAATGAGTACCTGGTGTGTTGTGTAAACATCGCCACTAGGGAGACAAAGGCGGCCGGGCGTGGTGCTGGCCACCCACTCCCTCGTGTGCTGTGCCAGCCTTCATAGGTGCTCGCTAACAGCACTTGCCCAAAAAGTATACTAAGGCTACTTATTTATACAGAGGATATTTTTCTTTGTATATGTATGTGTATATTTATGCATATACCTCTTATTCAGACTGGCATCAGTTGTGTGCATGTGTGTACATTGGATGCATCAGTAAATAATTGTAATGATTGTAACAGTATAGATTGTATGCATAGAATGTTTGATATTGTTCAGTATGAATCCTTTTGTCGAGGTTATATGGAAAAGTTGCCGGTGGTGCACTGGATCATACTTTTTTTAAAATTTGTACTACGCAAGCGAGCGGAGATTGCAAACCGCCGCTGTATGCTATAATACTTCACTGTGTTGCTTTTTGTTGCCGCTTATCATCCCTCAGGAGAGTTTAGAGTTCTTCAATATCCCTGAGGCGCAGTCTGAGAACTGTTTTCTGATGGACAGGCGTAGGAACATCATCCATTACAGCAAGGTGATGCCTCGCAACAACCTCTGCAGACCTCTTGTTTTTCAATGATTACGCGTTTGCTTCTGCAATTGTTTTATAGCCAATGCAACAGTTTCACTTTACGACCTGTGAGTTCGGTGTTGCCTGCGGTGTCGCTGTCCCACCGTGACCCCTAGACGTACGTGCGGGACATCTACCCGTTCCGCCGATCCGTCTCGCCCCAGCTCATCCTCGTCAAGATGGATCCGGAGAAAGGGGCGACATTAATCCAAAAACAGGTTATTGCGGCATTCTTCACATCGTCGTCATCATGATCGTACTATTGTTGATTTTTTGGAAAGATGTTTGCGTGTTTAGCACGATTCGCACGCTTGGCTACATACGGTGCGAACTAAGTTCAACATACACACGTAGCATTCTGTATTTCGTCCACAACGCGAGATACAACGGGGATTCATGTGGCAAAAATCGGCGGAAGGTAATCCTCTAAACTACTTGCTCAGCAGCAATGCCTCGCTGACGTCTGCAAGTTGAAAAGTGTCAGATGTTAAGCGACTCCCACAGAGTGCAACGGCGTGTTTGGACAATATATTCTAAGGTTTTCGGTAAAGTCACGTAGGTAAAAAAATAAAAATAAAAATGTATAAAAGTAAAATAAAATAAAAATCACGACGTTTCGGAGGCAACACAAGCTTCCATCTTCACGTGGAACCGTCACAGCACGATTGCTGTATCAAGTAAAAGAAATTCCAAGAAAACAGTCCTTGTATATATACTGGTTGAATATTTTTTTTTTGGACAAGGTGAATAGGATCCCCCATTTCCTTGCTTTGTAACCAGGGCCCTTTCTAGCCACCACCACCACCGCTGCGCGCAGCAAACCGCCGTCGCTGCCCTACACCGCGTATAAAAGCCACTCGCTGCCCGCTGCTGCGCTTCGTAGGTTCTGACGCGGAAGCTGGAGGAGGTGGGTCGCCTGCTCTTCGCCAAGGCTCTGACGCAGCACATGCCGCACAGCCACCTGCAGTCCCACGTCTCCGTGCTGCAGGAGGACCTCCTCCGCCTGCCGTCCTTCCCCCGCAAGGCCATTGAGGCCGAATTCTCGCTCTTCACCGACCCACAAGGTGACGACGGCACTTTGAGTCCGCTTGCGCTATCGCCGTAAAGCTAGGAGACGGAGTATCTGTTTGGAACCCTCGCAGTGCAGTGGATTACCCTGTGCGCTGGCGAATCTCCGAATGAAGGTAATATCACAGAACTGTCTCTAAGATTCATAATAAACGTTTTTGAGTTAGATCGCGTTATTTATAAATGTGTCGTAACCCTCCACCACCCGACACAGCCAATCAGCAAAAAAGTGTCACGTTAACAAAAGACAAATAGTTCACTACTTTAGCTCACCGACGTATTGAAGAGTGAATCCACAACATTTACAGTTTTTTTAGTACGACGTTTCGCTGGTAATTACATCCAGCATCATCGGGCAATTCGCCAGAATGGTAAGGCGATCTAACCCAAAAACGTTTATTATGAATAATATTGGTCGCGAAAGCCGACGTGTTAAACTGTCTCTAAGCTCCTTAAAATATCACCTTTTTATCCACACACCAAGGGGTCGCTGTATCATTTGGTAGTTTGAGATTTTACATTTCTCAGAGCTGGAATTTAGCCAATTTAAGTGCAAAAAAAATCTAAATATGTTTTCTTTGTCAAGTTATTGGTGACCGCACTGAGGCCATGAATGTTTTACACTTGAGATCTGTGCTGCATCACAGGTGAGCTTGCCAGATCTGAACTCCGAATCTCAGCCGTGCCAGCTCAGTGCTCTAATGATTGAGTCCACCTGATCACCTCCAGACTTGTTTCTAACCATAGCAGTAAAGCCTCACTTCAGCGCTTCTGGCTCTTGCTTAGGGATGGTCGGGTAAACGTTTTTGTTGTATTTATTTTGTTTAAAAAAACCTGGAGTGCCTGGAGAACACCTGAATATGACGTGATAACACGTGTCTTCTTGACATATCGATCAAAATGCGCTCATTGTACTGCGTGAGGACACCGTGTAATTGGAGCGGTCCACGCCATCTCAATCTTTACCTGATTATTTTCTATGAATGCCTGTTCCATATGAAATCTCTTCAATTGCACCTTACCATATAGTCATCAGTCTTCTTTGCTCTACAGTGTCCTACCCTCCTCTTAAAATAAAGAAAATGCGCGCTCTATTTGTACAACGTCTCAGGCATGCGGTCACACGAGATATCCAAACTGTGTTGCATTGTATGCCTTTATTAACAGGGCCACAGTCTATGACAAAGTCACCCGGATGTGCCGGATCTTGTCAGATCTTAAAAGCTAAGCAGGTTTTGTGCTGAGCTGTTGCTTGGATGGGCAGCTGCCATGCTATAAGACAAAGGTCGTACGCCGCTGCGGGCTTTAGGGGACAGTGCAGCGCAATCCATCGCCGTGATCGTAACGTTCTTCCTCGCCTTCTCTTGCCTTTGACGACGGTCACTGCATCGCGCGTTATCAGACGCGCTTCTGCGGGCCCGTCAGAAACGCTCTCCCTTCCGATGTAAGGAAGCCACTGGAGCAATGCACTTTTAAATCGAGATTGAAAACTCTTTTCTTTCGAACTGCTTTTTGTGTTTCATTTGTTGTCCTTTCCCCGCACCTCCGATAACCGCGGTTGGTTACGTGCGGGTGCGAAAGAAGTTCAGCATACATAAACCAGCCCACACTCCCCAGCGTGGCCAGAGTATGGTCAAATAAACCCGCACAGCCCACGAGCCCTTGGGGAAGCCGCTCATCCAGCAGCGGATTGACAAAAGGGCCGTAATTCTAGATTTGAAGCTTTCGTGACTGCAATGATTCATACTCTTAGTTCTTTCGGTAAAGTCACGTAGGTAAAAAATGAAATTAAATATTTTTTGCTGTGACAGTTTCACCTGAAGACGGACGCTTGTGTTGCCTCCGAAACGTCCGAAACGTCGTGATTTTTTTTATTAATTTAATTTTTTACCTACGTGACTTTACCGAAAGAACTAAGAGTACAAAAGGGCCGTACGTGTATACATCGACTCACGCTCCGCCGTTTTCGCGCAGGCAAGGAGCTGTTCGCCGTGGACTGCCTCCAGAAGTTGCTGTGGATTCGCTTCCTGGAAGAGATGTTCCTGGGCATGCCCAGCGAGTTCCCGTGGGGGGACGAGGTCATGCTCTTCCTCAACGTCTTCAACGGCGCCCTGCTACTGCACTGCGAGGACAGCTCCCTGCTGCGCCAGTTCCTCGCTACCGCCATCAACACAGCGCTCCACTTTAATCATCTCTTCTCGCTCAACGGCTACCAGTGGATCCTGCCCACCATATTGCAGGTAGGCTGCACATGCTCTCTGTCTCTCTCTCTCTCACTCTTGGATTATTGGTCCCTGTATGCAATTTTTATTTTTTATTTTCTATAAATCATGGTTGGAGAGCTATTTCACTCCTAGAGACAGAATATAATTTTCAGAATGCCTCTGGCCGGCCACACATTCACGTACAACGCGGTCACTTCTGCCACTGCAAGAGGACCCTTGCAGTGGCGGAGGATACTGAGAGCATTAAATCAAGACGCGACAGTGTAACCAGTTCATACTATTCCCCTCGAGTACTCGATTAGTGTGGCCAAGATTCTTGTGGTTATGGATGCATATCGTTTGTAGGTTGCTTTCCACCATATCACCATGAAGCCATGGGCCATTTGTTCCATTTACCTGCTGTAAATCATAACATTGGTGTGTCGTTGATGACTTTTTTTAATTTTCCAAGCCACAAAGTTTTATGGACATTAAAATGTGGCATTGGATAAATTTGGCCTCTCACGGTCAAATCACTGGAAGGTCTGTCTAGTCACATGATGCTTGTGGTGTCCTGAGATTGGCCACCAGCACCTTTAAAATGGCAGTCGGTGTGTCGAGTAGGAACCTCTGAGGCCCGCACAGGCTGTGTTGAAGCACAGGCAGGACAAAAAAATGCCGGGAGAAATCTCTTGTCTGTGATCGCTGCTTCTGCTTGCACGGCACGGCAGCAGCAGCCTTTTTAAGAGGAATCTAAACCCTTGAATGAAAATTGTATTTCTTCCAAAACAAAGAAAATAGTTCAATTTACTAATTAATTGACGAAACAAAAAAATTAGGCTAAACTGCTGTCATAACGTTTGTAGCTTCCAACGTTTGCTTAGCACGGCTGGCTACATACGGTGCGAGAGAAGTTCAACACGCGTACATCCACGCGTCGTATGCAAGACGTGGGTTATATTTAAAGATCTTCGTTTATTATTGGCGCTTAATGATGCTTCTCCTGTCCCACTTCAGGATGGCGCCGTTTGATTAATATGTCTCCCAGACTCCTCTTTAGGGCCATTTATGTAATAGGTGGCCTGCAATGAGGTGGTGTCCCGAGACTGGTTCAGCCATCTGTTTCCCCCAGCTCCTGTGCACCGAGTAGGACATCCGATGATAAATAATCCACGACGATGTTGTCAGTGTCGGCTTTGCGCGTGGAGATTAATGTTACGCATGAGATGTTTTTTTCTTTCTCGGGAAGTCGATTTTCTCCAGGGATTCGCTGCCCCCCACCCCCCTCTTACCCCTCCTCTTCATGTTAAAAACCCCCCCGACAGATTTGATATCCATTCCAAAATCAGAATAAAAATTGGAAATAGTGGTTTGATAATTATGCTTGCCCTGCCTGTATATTTCCTGGGAATACTCAGCTGATAAAATCTGACATATCGTTCGGCCCCCGGGCGCCACAAAATGTGTGCGGCTATCGCGTAGACATGTCGGCTTGAATACGCGTCAAACTGAACAAAATATCGTAAGCATTCTTTAAATATATTCCAATTTCTATTTTTTATTCACAAAGACAGACCAACCCGAGGAGGTTCACCTTGTGAAAAAAATCCAACCGCCTGCTAATAACAGCCACACATCTGCATGTTCGTACGTTCAGAACGGATCGTGGTTGGATGCCTCGTGTTCACACCTCATTGGCAATGCGCGATCGGGGTCATAATCGTGCCGCGTTCATATCGTGCTCGGCTGCAATCAGTCACATCACAGGCAAAGGCCCTTCTCCCATATCTCAGCTCTGAGGAAGGGTCATTGCCTGGAACGTCGCCCCCAGGAACAATTGTTTTTCTCGCTGTGGCAGTGTTAATTGATTAATGCATTCGCGTGATTTTTTTTGTAACTTGTAATTGAGCATTGCTGCTAACGCGGTCCTCAGACACGTTCACGTCCGCTCGCTGCAGGTGTTCACAAGCTACAAGAGCAACCCTCTGCTGCGAGAAATGATCGAGTTCGCCTGTCGGCAGTTCTACATCCTGCATCGCAAGCCCTTCCTGCTGCAGATGTTTGCGAGCGTCGCTCCGCTGCTGGAAATCTCCGTGCGTGTTTCTAATTTTGGCGTCGTTGTTGCCACCTGCAATGTGCGCATGAGAATCAATTGTTTTACATTTTGTTAGCTGGGCAGACAGTTGCCGCTGTGAAGTCAGCTTCACCAACTTAACGTCAGATCTCAGAGAAGCTAATAAGGGTTAAAGTCTGGATAAGTGCTCGAATGGGTGACCTCCGTGTACAATTGGTGTGGGCAGGAGAGTGCAGCGGAGCAAAACCAATTGTTTATACACGACTATATTGCTCCCAGGTCTATGCTCCCTGCCTTCATCAACTCGCACTGACCAGCATGGCGAAGTATGGTCGAAGCTGCACGGCATAGGGAAGCCCTCGTTTAGTAAGCAATGGATTGCCAATAAACGGCTGCAGATGTGTATACCATGCTGAATGCATACGACACTGAAAAATACAAACAAGAGGGCATCTGCGGACGTGTTTAATATCCTGTCCTCAAAAAAACGCTTTGACCCCCTCTCGAGCATACGTGCACTTCACGCGCGCGTGGTATTTGAAATGCGCGCGACATATGAATACACATTTCACAGTGCTGCATTTTGCATGCGCTGACGCCTCGGTTTATTCAGTCGTTTGTTTTGACCGTGCCCCCCCCCCTTTTTTTTTGGGCGGCCGGCCCCCCCCCCCCCAGGATTCTCCGGGCAGCGGGGCGTCAGGGGAGGTGTCCCCGCAGTGCCTCTTCGACCTGCTCATCTCGCTCGAGAGGGACTCTAAAGACACCCTCGACGTGCTGGAGCTCGTTAAGGCCGAGAAGCCCCTCAAGTCCCTGGGTGAGCGCTCCGTCGTGTCTCTCTCTCTCTCTCTAACCCCGCTCTGCACGCTGCTGCTGCCTTTGCTCCCCCGCCTCCTCCACCCCCCCCCCCCCCCCACCACCACCACCACCACACGCTTCGCTGCCCAACCTCTTGACCTTCTCACCGCTGCTAACCGTGCGCACACCGCTGCTGCTCATCAACGCGAGGCTTGTTGAAAATAAAGAAAGAATTTTTTTTTTTGGAAGATGAAAATGAAACGTGCGTTGAACGTCGCGTTGTTTTGTTCGCACACCCTCCATTTCAAAATCTATCGCAACTAAAGCATAAGAAACCGAACGTAGTTTCAAATCTTGGACAAGAGAGGAGGAGATGAGGGAGGGGACACCTGAGGACACGAACTAGTGGATTGTACTTCACCGTTTCTCATTCCGATGACGTCCACGTACACGTACGTCATCGGAACGGAATCGGAAGAAAAATTAACACAAAATAACTTTATTGGTACCGAGGCTCCCACAAGATCATGCATGAGGGCGTGTGGCATAGTTTGGCGCCAGCTATCGTAGAGTGCAATCGTGCCGCTACAGTTCTATGCGGTGAGCAGCAATGTCTTTAAAAACAACGGCGCTACGCCTCTCTGAATAAAATTAACGCCTTCATCCAGCAGTGGATTGACAAAGCGAAGTAGACTAATCCTGTTATATGAAAATGTCGATAATTTACATAATTGCCGCATAAAACACACACACGCGCAGAGAGGCACTTCCATTCCAGTTGAACAATTTAATATACCAGAGTGCACGTGCAAATGAGGCCGTGGCAAGCGGCGCTAATGAAAAACGCGAGTGACCCACGCGCGCCCCCCCGTGTCCCCCGCCCGCTGTCTCCGCAGATTTCTGCTACGGAAATGAAGACCTCGCATTCTCGATGGCCGAGGCCATCAAGCTGTGCGTGACGGTGGTCGCTTACGCCCCCGAGTCCTTTAGAAGGTACCCCACGATGGCAGTCGTTTCAATATCCACCCCCACCCCTCACCCTCACTTGGCAGGCATGGAGATTTGTTTTTTTTTCTTCTGAACAGCGAGACCGCCGTATCGACCTTTCAGACGACTCAGAGTTAATGAAAGCACTAAGGGATGCTGATGTTGTATCGACTTAACTGACAGCCGCATAATAAGGATGGCACTTAATGTTCCTGATGCTTGGCTATCGAGCCGCTTGGGTGGTGGCACCGGAGCGAGTGCGATGCACAATCGGCGTTGGGGAAAACAAATATATATACGTATAATAATAAATAAACGCAAGCCTAAACTGCTCCCCTCTGCGTGAACCCGACAATTCTGAGAACACAGCGGACGACAAGAGTTCACCGTTTGCGCGGAGCGCCGCAGTTGCATCTGGGCAATTATTTTGTTTTCAGTTTGCGGAACGTTTTGCAATCGCGGAGTTTGACTTTTGAGTCCCTTTGCCCATCGTACGTATATGTATGTACGTACCTTGACCTTATTTCGCGTCGTACATAGCCAACCGTGCGAATCGGAGGTCCGGCGGGGGGGGGGGGGAATGGACAACAAACTAAACACACAAAAAGCAGTTATAAAGAAATGAGTTTCAATGTAGTATAGTGGTGTAGTGTACAGTATAGTGTAGTGCATAGTAATGTGTAATGTATAGCAGTGTAGTGTATAGTGTAGTGTATGAGAGTGCAGTTTACAGCGTATTGTACAGTGTAGTAAGTGTAGTGTAAAGTGCAGTGTGTATATTGAACTTCTTTTGCACCGTACGTAGCCAACCGTGCTAATAGCAGGTGCGGGCGAAGGGCAACAAACCAAACACAAAGAGCCGTTTTAAAGAAATGAGTTTTCAAACCAGATTTAAAGTGCGTAGCTCCAGTGGCTTCCTAATATCGGAAGGAAGAGCGTTCCAGACGGCCGCAGAAGCGCATGTGAAAGTGCCACGCGATGCCGGGCGGCCGTCTTTAACTCGGCTGGAGAAAATTGTGCGCCGGTCCTGATAACACAACATTTATTTTTGAAGGGAGCACGGCGTTTTGTGGCCAACCACACCGAGTTCTCGAACGTGCGAACAGACGGTGAATGCAAACTCGTCCACGCGATGTCGCAACGTTTATTTATCGTCGGGAGGAGGTGGAAGGCCTCTGCCGAGTCAAAACAACGTGGGAAATTTATAGGCGATTTTAATCCGGAAAACCGCATCTTCTCTTCGGGCTGACCGTCAGGGATGTCTGTGCGGGGAAAGGCAAGGGGGTATGTAATTTATTTTGTAATTACACCTCAACTGTGAATTACGCCTCGGCTCCAGACGTCCATCACGGCAGCGGGTGTCACAGTGTATTGCCTCGCGTGGACAGCTCCACACATACCTATTTGACACTGCGCACAATTCTTCGGTGCGCACACACACACACAAGCGCAACGTGCTACAAAACTCAGGCATGTCTGACAGGCATTGTCCCACTGGGATTAAAGGTCCGCAGCGTGGACTTGTTTTTTTCAAGTAATGTTTCCCTATTATTGTTAAAATATTAATGACTCTAAAACTGCATGCGTGTATGTTGAAGGGAGAAGCAGTGACGCACCGTGTTGTGAACCCGGTGAGCTTCGATTCCTGACCATGGCTACACTCAGTGGCGTCGAACATCTGAACCGTTTGCGCAGTCCTCCTCCACCCCCCTACTTAATAACAAGCTTGGTGAAGCATGGTCGAAAAATTCTCATGACTGACACAATATGACGGAAGGCCTTCACCCAAGCATTGAATTGACAAAAGGGACGTAAATTTGAAATGACGTGCTCACAGTGAAATTAACAATACAAAAAAAAATTCACGAACATTTGCAGCTCAGAAGTTCACGAGAGCCTTGCCCGACTCTTGCCTTGACTTCCCTCGCACACCCCTCACCCCAACGCCGCTCGTGCCAGCTTGCAGATGCTGAGCGTGGTAGAGGCGCTGGTGCCCTGCTACCTGCAGCGACTTAAGACGCTCACGGTGCAGCTGGAGACGCCAGCGGCCGCCCGGGAGGAGATCACCGCCATCGCGAACCTGGCGACCTGCGTGCAAGCGCTCCTCTACAGCGCCGAGCCTCTCACTCGGTGACTCCCCCACCCCGAGCCGCTCAGCCCAGGGGTGAAGGGGCTTTGGTCGGTACCGGTCGAGGTGGCGAATGCTACCAGGGTCCACAGTGGGTGGTGACCACCATGAGCAGTGTCCATCATGGACAGTGTCGACCATGAGCAGTGACCACCATAGACAGTGTCCGCCAATGACAGAAAGCTGTACATACCGGATCGTTTATAGACACTCTTCATATTGGGTCTTTTATGTCGTAGATATTTTTAAAAATCTAATTCGGATATTTTTCCCCTTCTAAAATTATATTCTCTGTCAAATAAACATTTTTTTCATGACCTTTTCCCGTAAAATAGCTATTACCATGACATTGCTATCTGGCACATGCGTGATCTAGAGATGCAATGCTCCAATTTTTTTTTTCATTGTGAGCGTTTACCACCTCGGGTGGTACCGATAAACGATTTTTGGGCGCAATGGCTCAAGAGGTTACCACCTCCCCCAGCTCGCGAAAGGACCGTTCATCCCGATACTCGCGGGCAGAGTTAACCCACAACATGTCCAATTCGAGTACGACATTTTGTCAGTAATCACAACTAGCATCATCAGGCGGACAGCCGTAGTCGTGGAGAAATTATCTTGCTTCAGTCAATTTTGCTGCATAGCTTTCTGATGCATTTTTGGGGCTGTACCACGTGCAGTGCGACCATAGTTGTCGGTTCTAATAAACTTACGTTTTATGCATTGCAGTCCTGCTCGTATGCACCTGAATCATCGTATCATAACGTTTCGCTGTTGGGAATTTTAAAATAGGGCCAATTGCATTCTAAATCTAGTTAATATGTCCATTATTAAACATTCACTTTTCAAGTTTTACAATATACCATGCAATATATATGTCATAATTGTTTTATTACTACTGACATCATAAATTTGCATAACTCTATCATAATGTATGGAGTGCATTCTTAAATCTTTAAACCGTTGAACATCATTCACATGGCTCTTCTGTTCCAGCAAGGGCACAGCTGAAAATGTAATCAGTTATATTCCACATAGGCTGAATATGTATGAGTGAATATATATTGTAATTACTTAGCACAGGTCTGAAAGGTCTATAACACAAATCAGCCAGCAACTCGGAGCACTCGTGATAGAACATCAGATAAGAACTAATTTATTGCTTGACCTGAGCGAGGTTAGAGAAACTCGGAGAAAGAGGGACGATGGGAGGGAGTCCCAAAGCAAGAATCTAAGATCGCCAATGATAGCACAGCAGATAAGAATGAACACATTTGCTGCAGGGGAAAAAAAATAAGCTTTAATGGAGTAAATTGAACGCTCTATGTTATTTCGCAACATACGGGGACACTGGTATAACCACGTTCCCTACCACAGAAGTGAACTCGTATTCTGAACGAATTGGCCGTCAACTGGGCGCTGTCAGCGACTGTTGGATGCGGTTGCGGTCGTTTATGTGTGTGGGGGGAATCCGCTCAGGTCAACTCCGCTTCAAACGAGTACCTTGGTGCGATGTGTAAGCGCCGGCGCGGGGGAAGAAAATGCGGCCCGGGCACTTTGCTGGCCCCGCCAGCGCCTGGTGCGCCGTGCCGGCCTTCATAAGTGGTGCTCGCCAGAGGTCGCAATCGGGTACCCGATACCCGTACCCTACCCAATACCCGGCTACCCGTACCCGGCCGGGTACGGGTACGGGTAGGCCGTGAATCACTGGTGAGTAACCGTTTGTCACTCATTTGCCCAACGTCTTGTCTCTTCTCACAATTCAAGTTCCTAGAATCAACCCACCCGCGCCTGCAACATGTCTTCATACTAGAGGTCGTAATCGTATACCCGTACCCTACCCAATACCCGGCCGGGTACGGGTAGCCGGGTATCGGGTAGGGTACGGGTAAGGAATCAAAACCCGTTTGCGACCTCTGCTGCTCGCTAACGGCGCTTGTCCCCAACATTCTGTTGAGGGCAGCACGGCGGTGCGTGCGGGTGGGTGGATCTTTGGCTTTGTGTGCGTGGGATGTGCAGGCCCATGACGGCGCCACAGGTGAGCCGCTCGGACCAGACCTACAAGGGAGCGGCCGCGGCGAACCACACGACGTCAGGAGGGGCCAGTCTCAGGTCAGCGTGCAGGGGTCAGCCTTGCCCACCCGCAATAGTTTGTGTGTGTGTGTGTTTGTAAACTTTTACGAACTCAAATATTACATGGACATTTGTAATATTACATTATTACATTTGTAATATTACAAATATTAATCGCCTCCAAAACATTTACCATTACATCTGACTAGAGTGTGCATCGCCAAGTAATTTCTCAACAACAAACAACAGCAAGGGGTTTTTGTTGTTGTTGTTGTTGAAAATCATGTCTGAGCTGTGTTTTTTTAAAGGGGAAAGTGGAAGGAATAGAGAGGGGAGATAACGTTCAACATAACTGAGTTATGAGAAGGAGAAGAAAAACGCCATGCGAAATGTTTAAGAACAGGCCGAATACAACAACACTATATCCCCACAACATTCAGAATTCCATCCAACGCACGAGTGTAAATGGCCAAGACATCCACACACATTGCTATCGAACCTCGTGCAGCAGGGTTATCTCGCAGAGCGCACAAGCAGAATGTGTCCCATACCCATCTGAACGTGTCTGTCTCCTCTGACCTAATTGTGCTTTGACAAGTTATGAATGCATCCACATTTGTTCAGTATAGGGCATGTAGATTACACGTATATTACGCAGGTATCGTGCGGGGCACGCATATGGAATGTTTGTTTTATTCCAGGTGGAAGCCTGTTGCTAAATAGATTTCCATCCCAACGGTGCGGAGAATAAATGAGGCAAATGTTATTTATGTATATTAAGATGTATCAGTGGTGAGCACTCGGAAATGTCATACAAACGCTCTAACACTTGCTCGTGTGAATTTAGACTTAAAACTTTCGTGACTGCAGGAATTCATATTCTTGGTTCTTTCAGTAAAGTCACGTAGATAGAAAACAAAAATCTAAATTAAAAGCAGAAAAACCCACGACGTTTCGATCGCAACACAAGCGCTCTTCTTCAGGTGGAGAGAAATAATGAAAACCGCTTGTGTTGTGATCGAAACGTCGTGGGTTTTTTGCTTTTAATTTAGATTTTTGTTTTCTATCTACGTGACTTTACCGAAAGAGCCAAGAATACTTTGCCGGTGTGAATAATAAATTGTAGTTCAAGAGTCATAGCTCCGTGACCGTTCTTGCGGCCTGGTGACAAAGTGGCCCAGGACTGCCCTCTATTGGGGATATTTTCTCAGGGAATATTTGCCACGGCATGAAAATCCTTGTCATCGCAATCTTGGGGACATTCATCGTACATAAGAATGCAGGCATTATAATGTTTATGGAATGCGATGTCTCTGGAGTGTTGAATGCTCGAAAGGAGTCACGCAATCAGTGACCCCCCTCTAAAAAAAATACTTATGAAAAATAATTGTAAACCATTTATAATATTCAGACCTGTAGTAATAGGTTTTTACCCTTTCAACTGGTACAAAAACTGACACCTTTATACAAGGCATCATGTTTGCAATAACCACAACACAAGCAGTCAAAGTGCAAACAAAAAGAAACAACTCCGATGATGATAATGATATGCACTGTCCTTGAAGTTGATTGGTCCACACCCGAGACAGCTTTTCTTAGAGCCTAGTCTCCATTGGTGTTGGACCAGATGACGCCAAAAGGCGTATTAGAATATTCAGACCTTTTTCCATTCGCTGCTGGATGAAGGCCTCCACATGCTGTGTCGGTCGTGGAGGTTGTTTTGATGATATTTCAAAATGCCAGAGGGTTATGGGGGGGGGGGATCACTCAGAACCTGTTCAAATATCACTCGTCACTGATGTTGACCATGGCCTGGAATTGAGCTTAGGTTGCAAGGTTCGGAGCGCACACTGTGCTAATCTCTCCAGCACGGCTCATCCAGCAACACTTGTTAGATGAGTGAAAGGAGTAAATGGAGTAGTTTTCTTTATGGAATTGTAAGTGTGCTTTATTATTTAAGATCTGTTTGTGTAATGAATAATTTGCCACAAATCAGTCCGATGGTCACTGTGTGCTTGGTACAATGTGCCAGTTAAGTTGTTTGGCTTGTATCTATAGATTTAATTTTGTAAGAATAGATATAGGTAAGATATTACCAGCGTTTAATTTTTCATTGAATGCGTACTTTAATTTTACTCAACTGTATAAGTTTACTTAGATAGTGTAGATTAGTGCATTTGGGATCCATCCCAGTTTAGCAGTGGGAAATTAACCCCAGAAGAATATTCAGGAAGGAGCAATTTCCTAATTTGGCAATTGCAGGCAATTGCCTAATTTTGGCATGGCATCTGCGAAACATCTAATTGGGGTGTTAAAAATCTGTTTAAATTGATAATGCCAAGATTAAACAAACACACACATCACATTTTCGATGTCTCAAAATAGTTACAAGTTTTATGTGTTATATTCTTTGGTTCTTTCGGTAAAGTCACGTAGATAGATAAATAAAATAAAATAAATACTACGACGTTTCGATCACAACACAAGCGATCGTCATCAGGAGGAAAAAGGGGGTAAGGTCACTGAAGGCAACTGTTTTTAAAGGTTTAAAAAAGGGCGTGGCACAAGCGTTCTGGTGTCAGAACGAAGTGGGTGGAGCATATGTGCCCTGGGGTCAGAGAGCACCAAGGTGAAGCACGGACGATTACATGGAAACATACAACAAGTTCCGATGCGTTGTGGCCGAAACGCCGTGAGAATAATTTTATTATGTTTTTATTATTATTTTATTATTTACATTCTACGTGACTTTACCGAAAGAACCAAGAAGATACAACAAGTTATGACTTAAAGCCAACCCCAGTGACGAATATCTGAACTGGTCCTGGGCCTCCCTTAGGTCGACTCAGCCTAAAATCAGTACCTGTTGTGGTGTCTAAACATCATCACTGGGGAGACAAAGGCGGTTGGACATGATGTTGGCCACCCACCCCCTCGTGCTCACTTAACAGCACATGCCCCAGCGGTCTGTTGAGGCTACACGTGGGGGGGGGGATCGTTGTCTTTTTGTGGCGTGCGTTGGGCCACGACTCAGGGATGAGTTGCGGCTGCTTGAGGAGGGCCAGGGATTGGGCCCCGAGGAGTTGGATGAACGCCTGGCCAAGGAGGAGTTCCGGAGGCCACGCGAATCGCTGCTCAACATCTGCACCGACTTCTTCAAGCACAGCGGCCCCCGGCTCAAGATCCTGCAGAGCATGGCCGGGGAACCCCGCGCCGCCGTGCCGGAGCTGCTCGACGTTAAGTCGCACATCCGGTGAGCGACTGGCGACACGTGTGTTGCAGTTAGTCCGCGGCCAACCCAGTAAGTACATTTTGTGCTTTCGTCACGCAATGCAGTGCAATGCAAATTAGGGTCTGTGGAGCGTCCGAATGTGACTGTATCTCAATACCCCGTTCAAAACGGTGGGATTATACTATTGGGGTTTTTCCCCTTTTTTCTGGCAACAAAAACTGACACCTTTTGCAAGGAATCATGCTTACATTAACCACAATACTTGCAGTCAAATGCAAACAAAAAACAATACTCTGATAATTTATGCATTGTCTTTGAAACTGATTGTTTCAATGTAAGCATGATTCCTTGCAAATGGTGTCAGTTTTTGTTGCCAGAAAAAAGGGGAAAAACCCTATTAGTATATTTTGGTACTGACAAAGGAGGTCCCATGATGTAACGGTGGGATTGTGCAGCAGAGGGGCAACATTTTTGCATGTATCGTCTTCATCATCACGATCCATGGGCAGATAACCTGTAGTTCTCCACTGCACATTTCGTCAATTGTTTCCACTTTTCGCTGTCTTGTGCCAATCTGCTCAAGTAGTGGCCACATCTTTCTGGCACCATTCTCTGTGAGGTTTTCCTCTCTTTCTGGTTCCTTTCATTTTTATGAAGAACACTCTTTAAATCTTCCTGTTGTTGTCGATCCTACGTATGTGTCCAATTAGTACCATTTTCCTTCTCTTCACTGCTTGTAGAGCATTTGAATGTGACTGCATCTCAAGAGCCTGTACAAGACAGTGGAATTTTACAGCAAAAGGCCTGGGGGTGGGTGAAAATGTGGCGTGTATCGAATATTGAATTTAGAAAAGAGACGTTCATTCATAGCGATGGTTGGCATAGTGGTTAAGCGTTTCTTGCCTTCTGCACCTGGAAACCTGAGTTTGAGTCTGGTTCAGGGCTGACAGCAGTGGCGAGTGATATTTGAACTGTTGTCCTGCCCCCGCACGTCCGATTAGCATGGTTGGCTACGTTCGGTGCGAAAGAAGTTCACCGTACATATCTACAACTGGTCCTGGGCCTCCCCTCAACATCCCACACTCACCAGTCGAGAGAAATTATAGTCAAGACAACTTCCATGATTGACATAGTTTGCATAGGCCTTCATCATGCAGTAGACTGACAAAGAGCTGACATCTAATGAAATCAATTCTGAATACGTAAGTGTACTGTATTTACATTAAAGGTGGGCAGTAACGTCGTACTCGGATTGTAAATGTTGTGACTTGTCTCTCAAACACACCGGCGTGCTGTATTAGTGACGAATTGGCATGTTCTGTTTTCGTGACAACAAAGCCTGTATTATGGACTAATGTGTTTGTATATATATGCAGTCCAGACTGGCTATGAGAGGACACTAGTGTGGAACAATGCCAGCTGTGATAATATCCAGAGTAGTGTTCTTGTATCACAAGTCCGCCTTTCGCCTTCCCCATCACCAGTCTGATATAAGGCTGTGTTGCTTATATCACAAACTGTGCCCTTTGTGAAGTGCGCTTACTTAAATGCACCTTTCTTTGCATTGTTGAATTTCAAAACTATTGCAGTGCATGATGTGAGTACTGCAATGTTCTCTTGTAGGCATGCTAAAAAATATATATGCGACGGCAAGCATCGCGCATTCCATCATATTACCACCACGATGATCATTGGCAGGCGAAATCATTGGCTGTAGATGACATCGTAAAGACTTGCCGTTAATTAATAATTCTACACTCCTTAATATTCCATGACCGAATTGAGTTTTTCGGGATTTTAATGTTATGAACTGATAAAAGACTGTAAAGTACTACATTATTACAGCAACTAATTAAAATGTTCGAGTGAGAAGATATTTAATTTTCGATTAGGCAAACAAACAGATAAGTGCTGTTTAATGTCACACTCTAATAAATCTTAAAAAAATTTAAGGACAGCGTGCATAATAATTACGTCTCAAACGGGCGTGCAGAAAATTTAATATTAACTTTGTTAACGTTAATATTTATTTAAATTATTGGCAGAGTCAAATTTGCATTCAAAGCTTTTGCCTGTCTTTTCTGAATCGGACCGTATATTCACTTGAATAGATTTTATGGCCTTTGGCCAATAAATCCAAAAAACTTTTTTTCTCCAATTGCAGATGCAGTGCAACCAGCTCCCCCGTGATTAATATCGTCCGTCCCTTCACGAGGTCGCGTCATTGATGTCTATTTTTAAATCCTTTATATGAAGTTCGCTTGCTTGCTTAGGACCGTGCCAATCTTTCGGTCGTTTTTTAACCCACTTCCCGTGATCCAATCGAGCTGACATTTTCCACACAGACTCGTTGTGCGTGACAATTAATGTTCGTGAACATTTTTTTCCAAAATTTAACACTTTTTAGGACAAAAATATTATATTTAATTACCAATTGCTTAATGGTGCAATGCAATCATCTGACCCATAGGTGGCAGCCATCTCAAGCCAGAGGACGAGAGGACTCTAGCCGCCACGCATATAAAGGATTTATAGTGAAAAACTTAGTTTTTACTGGTTATACTTATTTTAAGCTTCTTACTAACAGAGAGAGCTTCATTTTGAACGATAGCTCGCCGGCGCTTCCATCGATTCTGGCTTTGGCTCTCCACGGTGCCTTTTGAGTTGTTTGGCATGACGGCCGACGTTTCGCTTCACGTGCTGGTAGCTTCCTTCGCAACTGATGTTCGGTGCAGACCGTTGTTATCTATTAGCGTCATCACTTAGCGTTGAAATACGGTATTTTTTTCTGTAAGACTTTGCTGTTATTTCCTGGATTTTTCTGTTGCGTGCAGTCACTTTAAGATGTTTTTTGTTCATGTTTTTGTTTTGTTGCGGTTGCACCCGAGTCAAGAGCCGCATGGCTCACAGGGTTATAACTCATAAATGAAATGAAACTGAAAACGTGTGCATCGAAGCCCCGTCGCTTGTATGCAACGCGGTGCAACCGGAGGAATCTCACCCCCAACACAATGGGGACCCCAGTCTGTTGATTGGAAGGTCACGTGTGCGGTGAGGTAAGGTGTGGGTACAGCCACCTTTTCCCACACATCTGGTCAGTGTGGAAGAGTAGAACAGACACCCTCTAAAGTGCCCTCTAGTAGAGACCTTTTCTTCAACAGTGGCTTCAGCAAGCAATTGCAGGGCTGCACCTTTTTTCTGATTATCCCACGCAGGGACTTAACTAGGTTGCTGTAGCCATAGGTGCTGTAAGATGGCCGCCGCTGGCCAATCAGAGTCACATGCGCAGTGCCACTTGTACGTTGGTGCATTCATCATTCCACGTTGCACAGGAAAGAGTTTCTGATTCCTAAGTTTTGGAACTGGTGACCAATAATCCGGTCGCTGGATTAACGGTGGTCCTTGTTTGCGTGTTGTCTGTCCGTGATCGCACGGGCGGTGACGCAGGTTGGCCGAGATCGCGCACTCGCTGCTCAAGCTGGCTCCGTACGACGGGGCGACGATGGAGAGCCGGGGCCTGCGCCGCTACATGACCGAGATGCTGCCCATCACGGACTGGTCGAGCGAGGCCGTGCGTCCCGCCCTGATCCTCATCATCAAGCGCCTGGACCGCATGTTTAACAAGATCCACAAGATGCCCACGCTGCGGTAACAACGGCGAGCGGGTCTGCGGTCGGGGGTAGAAACCCATGCTGCCCAAGCCTGGGTCTGCCGCCACTGAGCTACAATAATCCGATATATTTCATTGGGAAGAAGAGTATCTTGCCAGATTGGAAGAGGGGAGAACAATATATAAACACGTGTCTGGAGTGGTGTATTATTATTATTATCATGCAGCGGCAGAAAAAAAAAACACGGGGACTCTTAGACTTGCAGAATTCCCCAGAACAGATTTCTTTAAAGAGATGATGGTTCAGGAAGAAAAAAACCCCAGAACAAGTGGCAACCCTAGCCTAAGCGCGTACCGAGACACGCGCATTAGAGAAAACACGTTTCAACACTCCATTCAACCGCCCCTGTGCAATTGCCTGGTGTTTATAATTGTGAATTAGCTACGGATAGGAGCAATTGCCTCTTGATCTATTGCTGTAATGATCTCAGCCAGTGCTGAAATTACTGCCGCTGGCTCCGAGCCGCGGACGCAAATGAGCGCTGGCCAGGCCCATTGTCCGGTAGAGCGCGCAGAGATTCGCTTTATTCCTTCCACTTTGTTGTTGCTTGTTATCTTCTGCACCATTGCGGAATTCCAAAAGTGTCAGCAACGCGGGTGCCCGCGGTTGTCTTGCGATAAATAATTATTTGAATTTATAAAGTACCCTTAAACAATCGTTCTGAGGGCGATATGCATGGAGAGAAGTGAGAAGGACGTTTTGATCATAACGAAGGAGAGAAAGCCATTTTAAACAGATGCCTGTTTCGTCAAGATTTTAAGATTCGTAAAGTGTTTCCCAAGTCCTGACCTCAAAGGACAACGAGTTCCAGAGTCGAGGTGCCGCAATTGCAAAAGCGCCGTCAGTCTCGAGACCGTGGTGACAGTGAGCAGTGCGCAATGTGAGGATCGTAATGATCTTGATGGGATATATGTGGGCTGAAGGAGGTCATGAATGTACGTAGCAGCCCTTCTTTCATCCAGTATAGTCGGATGAAAGGATATTTACATGAATCAAGGTCTCTGTGCCTTTTTGGCAAGAGCGTACCGCCAGTGCCAAAAACTTCTGCTTATTAGCATGCGTCCCCTTTAACGTTGCAGCGTGGCTGATTGCGGTAATATTGCAGTGATTGTGGTGGGTGGTGAAATGAAATAGAAAAAAAACAGTTATGGCAATTAGTTTTATTTTATTTTGTTCCAAGCTGTCGGATTACGGTTTTATCAAAACGCTCCAGAGACGTTGGACATCCATTTAAAACAAAAATGTGCACGTGTCCTCGGCCTCCCTTAAGAGTACATGGAAATTACAAAGACAGAGGGGAAAGAAAAAAAATATATATAATCACCTGATTACCAGTTAACAGCTGCCTTAAGATTTGCGGGAAGGCTTGTTGCTGCTGATGTGCGTGTGTTCCCCTGGTTCACACGTTGTGCGCAGGCGGCAGATTGAGTGGGAGGGCGCGAGCAGCCTCATTCAGGGAGTGTGCATCACCCTTCAGAAGCAGCCAATCATCTCCTTCCTGCCGCACGTCCGCTCCCTCATCAACATCTGCGTCAATCTGGTGAGGGACCGGGAACCTGGCTGGGACCGGGACTGGGCTCGGTGTGACCGACCCACACCTGCGGTGCCTTTTAAACCACAATGTCGTAGGGATAGAGCCAGGGGTGTTTTCGGAAATAGCATCTGGTTACCCAGCAGAATTTGTTTAACAAGCCTGACTTCTGGTGATGAGACCCATAATGTTGACTGCAGTCCACCAGAGTTTGTTTGCTTAAAACAAATGCCACTGGATAATATTGGTCTGGAAAGCCCAAATAATATATATATTTTTTAATGTGCGAAGATACGGAATGGAGTTCTGCTTATATATAAGATTTACGTAGGACTGGGAGTGTGGTTAACCGGTCACTTTTTTTAAACTGTAGGTATATTAATATTATTGTGTTACATATTTTTTTTATTTTACTACTCCATGGAAATAAAAAATCTCTACAGGCTCCGATCTTATCCTCAATAAAGAACTAACGTTTGGTATAAAGAGAACTCTCCCTTGCATTAAAGATATGGCATCTCATTGACATCTACTCGGTTGTAAGGGCACGAATTCATTAATTCCCATGCATTAAAATTCGAGTGTCTCTCATCCAAATCAAACAGCACCAACCCATGTTGCTCATCCCAGTATAATAATCCTGCAACGCCAGGGTCAGGTGGGCTATAAATCCTGCATTTGTACCTTCATACCCGAGCCAGTCTTACAACAGCGAAATGTCCAGACAGACTTTTTGCTCAACTTGATGCTGCTCAGCTAAAGAGGCCTTGGCCAATTCACCTGTGGCCCAGCTTGGGGAGAGTTTCTCACGTGCCCCCAGCCAGCCTGTAACGGTGACCTCTCTCGACCCTTCCAGAGAGCAAACGGCCTAATTGAATTCCCTTTGAAATTAATTTAGACGCATGTGCAAGACAGCTGCGGCACTGGTCCAAAAACCTCATCCCACCCCCGGCCCGTCAAATCCTATCACGCAAATGTTTTGTTGTTGTTTTTACGCCAATCAAAAAGTTGAGCTGCTGTGCCCTTGCTCAGCTCACCGCTCGGCATTGATGGATTCCCTGCTGTGCGTGGGCTCCGTTATTGCCGACACCCGGCGCTTCTGCCTCGCTGAATAAAGAGCGGAGCAGCGGCGAGCTTCCCAGGAGTCCTAAGAGTGGGAGAGGAAAACATAATTTTAAAATGCCTGTTTGACACGGAGCATCAACGCTCCATCCTGCTATCACAGCTCCCCTCCCCAGTGTCGTGTTAAAGCAAAAAAGGTGTGCGGCTTGTTGTTGAAATGCCGCAGCCTCCGCCTGTCAGGTTTCCTGTTGTTATAATGCGGCGTTTATTTTCCATGTCGTAATTTTATTTGTTGATTGATCGCCGTTATTTAAAGCGGTTATTCGCCAAATGAGAGGAAAGAGGCGCTTTTATCAATGGAGACTTGGGCCAATATAAATGCATCTAATGGCAAAAAACTGATCCAACAACAGGCTTGTTCACGAAATGTTTCACGATGCAGAACAGGAACTAAATATATAGCAATGTAAAACAAATAGTAACGAGAAAACATTTGAAAAACACTTATATTCATAGCTTAATTTAATACCTCGGTGGGCTTTGCCTGGTAGGATTGGGATGGTTTAGTGTTGTATTTGTGTGTGTTTTGGTGATTTGTTTACCTTTCTTGTGTACTGTTTGTTGTTGCAACGTTCTTACCCGCCCCGACTGGAAATCTGCAAAAACGGAGCTTTGTAGCTCATCGGATTCCTCCGGTATAAATAAATAGTGTGATTCTGAACCGTCCGGGCAGCGGACAGTCATTAACAAAAGAGTCTTGTCGAGCATGAGTGTTGTTGACACTAGAGAGCTCTCTCTCTCAACGTTGTCAGTGTTGCTCAGCATGCAACGTCGGACGACATGACGGCAGAGGCGTAGCTAAGGGGGGGGGCAGGGGGGTACACGTGTCCCCGGGCGCCAAGGTAAAGGGGCGCCAAAATGAGACTTACAACGTTACATTATAACTTATTGCGGCGGGCGCGGCAGCCTGAAACTACTGCACAAATCTACACCTCAACCTAAAAGTTTATATATCCCGCCACACACAGCCTACATGTCATGTAATTACATTTTGGTATGTGATTAAACGGAGGGGGGGGGGGGCGCCAATTTTATAGTTCTTCCCCGGGCGCAAAATATCTTAGCTACGCCACTGCGTGACGGAATGCTGCTGACATTGCAATTTCGCGCGGCTGTGCTCAGGTGATGGGTGTGGTGGGGCCCTCCAGTGTGGCTGACGGGCTCCCCCTGCTCCACCTGAGCCCCTACCTGTCTCCACCGCTGCCCTTCAGCACGGCCGTCGTAAAGCTCGTGGCTCTGCAGATCCAGGTGCTCGATAAAAACACACATCCGCTAGGTGAGGTTCAGTTGAGGGGGTGGAACGGTGGGCGCATCGGGTTAACGCGGCGCTGAGCATAAACCATCAACACGGCGAACTGCGGTCATCCAAGCGGCGGATTTTGGGCGGACATCGAACAAAGGCGGTCACTGCATCGCGCGCTTTCAAACGCGCTTCTGCGGCCGTCTGGAAAGCTCTTTCTTTTGATATTAGGAAGCCACAGGGTCGATGCACTTTTAAATTTGTATTGAAAACTCAATTCTTTTGAAGTGTTTTTTGTGTTTAGTTTGTTGTCCTTCCACCGCACCTCCAATTAGTTTGGTTGGCTACGTCTGGTGCGAAAGAAGTTCAACATACATATAGAAACCCGGCGGATTTCAGTTAGATTCCTGGCCATGGATAACAGTGATGACTGATGTCTGAACCGGTCTTAAGCACCACCTTTACTAACCAGCACTGACCAGCGTGGTGAAGTATGGTCACACTCTGGTGTAATGCAAACATAGTTTATGTCACCCCAACTTGCCATGACCACCAAACTCCACCCACATGAAGGAGGCCATTCAGCCGAAGTGTCAAAATCATCCTTTCCTCTTGGTAACATAAATAAAAACCAAACCCCTATTATTATTTATACTAAACCTGTTTCGTTGTGCGTGACATTTGACACACCATTCAGGCCCTGAAAGAAGACTTCCCGCTGCACCTGGTGATTTCTCCATTCACCAACCAAGAGAGGAGGGAAGGGATGCTTCTTAACCTCTTCATCCCCTTTGTGCTGGCCGTGGGCTCCGGCAACCGAGGTGCTGCACATTCTCATTGTCTCGGCATCCACCCTGTCGCGAAACTAGCTCCACGCAAAGTTCAACGGTTCCATTCACATTTTCGAGAGTTTACTGAAAGCGTGTGCCTGGATATACATCCGGGTTGCGTTCTTGAAAACCTAAACGTAAAATGTTTAAAAAGATGGACCCGATTTGAAATCGCTATAACTCTGCAACCATGAACCGCCCATGAATGAAACTCTTACCACTTAAAAGGGCGGGGCATAGAGAGGGCGGGGCATAGAGGGGGCGGGGCATAGAGAGGGAGGGGCATAAAGAGAGGGCGGGGCATAAAGAGAGGGCGGGACATAGAGTTTCAAATGATTACAACTCGATGCCTCTCCCAGCGCACAAACAGCCCCTAGCCTCAGTCATTCGCAAGACGGTGACCCCGCAAACACAAGGGGCGTTTTGCGTTCTGCAGCTCAGCAAGACTGAATCCGTAATTGCGGTGCAGCGTGCGTTTTAACGGCGTTTTGGCATTGATCCGCCAATGTCAAAGAGCATTCGTCATTGGTACCGACAATTTGAGGAAACAGGCTGTTTGTGTAAGGGCAAGAGCACAGGACGACCACGCACCTCAGAGGAAAACGTGAGAAGAGAGGCGTTTGTGACGAATTCAACTATCGTCTCGATGTTGTCCGTACAGCAGGTAGAGGGCACATAGAGCATTTATAAAATGGTTAGTAAAACTTGCTAACTCATTAAACCGTTTGTAACTTTTTGTGTAATTGTAACATGTTGATATTGTGAAATATACTGCTTTGAAATTGGGTCCCAACAGAAACGTATTTTCCAATAACGTCCCATAATATAACCTAATATGCGTTCTGAAGAAAATATTTTCTGACCCAAAACCTGCTAAAGTATCACTTTTCAACACGATTGAGATATTTTCATGCGTAAATATGGAAGAATAATTTACTCACTAGAAGCTGAGGCGATGATGTAGCGAAGGGTGGCGGGGTAACTGGGAGGGTGAGAGAGGGGGGAGTAGGAGCATCTGCCTCCCTCTGTGGGTCATCAAACGTAACAACGAAACTAACGAGACGTAAACCCCCCAAAAAAATTAACCCGTAAAAACTAAGTTTTTCACTATAAATCCTTTATATGCGTGGCGGCTAGAGTCCTCTCGTCCTCTGGCTTGAGATGGCTGCCACCTTTGGGTCAGATGATTGCCTGCCACCATTAAGCAATTGGTAATTAAATATTTACTTATTTCTCCCTAAAAAGTGTAAAATTTTGCAAAAACTTTTTTCACGAAATTTAATTGTCACGCACAACGAGTCTGTGTGCAAAATGTCAGCTCGATTGGATCACGGGAAGTGGGTTAAAAAACGACCGAAAGATTTGCACGGTCGTAAGCGCGCAAGCAAGCACGCAAGTGAACTTAATATAAAGGATTTTTAAAAAATGCGTGTCAACTTATGACGAACGTAGGAACGAATCGCCCTCAATCGAATTTTCTCACGTCGGTGTACACCCGGGTTACGTCTAAAATGCACGGTACACTTTTTTGCGGACATCGCAGAGCGTGCGGTTTGCTCTGGCGCTTGCAGATGCTCCACGGCTGCAGCAGTCGGAGGTGCTCTTCCTGCTGCAGACGGTGCTGCACGTGCTGCTGCCACCACGTGTCATCAGCACGTCGCGCAGCAAGAACTTTCTGCTCGAGGGCTCGCCGGCGCACTGCCCCAACACCGCCGGGGAGCTGGGCCGCGACTCGCGCAAGGACGGCCTCGCCGAGTCAACCAGTCAGGCTGCCTTCCTCGGTGAGGCCACCGGCGAGGGCGTTTGACCGTCGTCGTCATCACCGTCATCGTCGTCGTCGTGACGATGATGGTCATTAGAATGATCGTGGATCACCATCTTTTTCATCACGTATTCTATGTTTTGTTTCAATGAAATGCTTCGGTTAAAATCAAATATTGAAGAAATATATTTTACTTAAATCATAGCAACGAATCGTGAAAATGTCACTGAATCTCTGATGAGGGGGAGGAGGAACGAGCCACAAATAACATGTCTAAAAAAAAGAACAAAAATGTTATCCAGACACGAGATGGGACATTGCGCATTCGTGAAAAATACAATACCATTTGGCTTTGCGTACAGCAACAATGTGGATTTATATAAGATCTATAAATACATTATCTTTCGATTTAAAGCTTTCGTGACTGCAGGGATTCATCTTCTTGGTTCTTTCGGTAAAGTCACGTAGAATGGAAATAATAAAATAATAAAAATAAAACATAATAAAATAATTCTCACGACGTTTCGGCCACAACGCAAGTAGCCGTCCTCAGGTGGAGAACAGGTCTGTCGAAAAGACAGACTCTGTCTTCTCGACAGACCTGTTGCGTTGTGGCCGAAACGTCGTGAGAATTATTGTATTATGTTTTATTTTTATTATTTTATTATTTCCATTCTACGTGACTTTACCGAAAGAACCAAGAAGATATATGTTTTGTGTTTAGTTTGTTGTCCTTTCCCCGCACCTCCGATGAGTTGACTACATACGGTGCGAAAGAAGTTCAGCATGCGTACATATTCACGTATCATCATAACAATGCATCGCAAAATGGACAGATCGCTATTCGTTAGGGAACTCGGAGGCACAGATCACAGTCTCACGGGCTTCTCGTTCGCCAGCCTGAGCAAGCCCAGTGCCTTCAGTTGACTCCTGAAGGTTGAGGGGAGTTTGATTGCTTCGCATGTGCAGCGAGGGAGATGTCCCGATGACGGGAGCAGCTGTCGAGAAAAGCCTCTCAACCGGGGCGGTACTAGTTCTGGGGATCTTGGGACCGGTGGTTCACGGCGCTTCTCCATGGTCGTCATCATCATCGATCAATCATCTTCTTGCCCACACTTTGGGGGGTTTGTTTATGTTGAATATTGTTTCCATTGCCTGGTCTGAGAAAGTGTCGACAATTTTGCATTGCAACAAACACTAACTCACAACCGCGTAGGTTGTTTTGCGGTTGTGCCGTAGAGCTCTCCAATATATATTTTTTTTTTTCGGGTGTTGATCGGCACTATTCAACGTTTCATTCATTGTGCTGAAAAAGGTCCAAGTACACAGAGGCAAACGTTGGACATCATGCCAAACATTGGAGGGCTAATCACAACCATGTAACCATAAATGATCCTCACCTCATTGGATATCAAGTTGAGTCTACTTATCACTCGCATGGGTGAACTCCACCAGGGCTTGCCAGGGATAATAGGCTTTGCCTGTAGCTTTAAAGTATTTTCTCTCATTAACAAAGCTTCAAAACTTATGTTGGACATTCTGGAATACGCAGCATTGGTGCATATATATATAAAAAACACGAGAGATATTAGATTGTTTTTGGTGGTGTGTATTTTTCTCTCACAACTCCCAATACCAATAACGGCGACGAAAAACACACAGCTAAAATGTGCACATATTTCATTTCCCTTTTGCTCGCTTGATTTCAGTTATAAAACTTGATTTCAGTAGTCGTCTCGCGCTAGGACGCTCGTGCATTTAGATGATATCGAAATCCAAATTTGATTCAGGTTCCTCTCTCGAGTACTTAATAGGAGCCTATAAAGAGCAGCGTGCTCTGCTCGTTTAGCATTGGGATATGGCCACGTGCTTATAAACACCGAGTACAAGTAGAAGCTATTTTGCTCATCTTCGAGCGCTGATGGCTTGCTAAGTCATCGTCGCTGGCTCCGTCTTTGGAGCGTGCAGCCAAACCAGAAACGCCAGTTCTCAGATTCCATCCACTGGCTCCTCAAATCCCATCTCACATCAATCAACTATATGATCATCGACATCTTCGGTATCCTCAATAGACTTACTCCCGCCTACCTCTTCTGTTTCTTCTCACTCTTCTACCCCCACATGCACCTCCTCGAATAAACAAAGCCTCTTGTCAAAAATCCTGGTTTAACTACAGTTCAATGGGTGGTTGCTCCTTCTCTGCTGCTGGAACTCTGGCTATCTTCTTAGCTGACTCCATCTCTATTTTTTCAAGTCGAGCCTTAAGACCTGCCTCTTCTTCTCTCCCTACGACTGCCCATTTCCATCCATACAAATGTATTTTTCGGTACAGCACCCTCCTCTTTCCTACGTTCCCCTGCATTATTCCCATTGATCTATTCATGCCTACGTGTTGCTTTTTGTACGGTGTCCTGAGACGTAGTCATGTCGATATACTTTCATCAACATCATCATCATCATCTACTGCTAGATGAAGACCTCCCCAAAGACGCTGCCACCTTTCTCAGCCTTTGCGTTGCGACAATCCATAGCCGAGCTGATTTCATCGTTCCATCTCAGTGGTGGTCCTCCTGTAGCACGTGCTCCTTCATTTGGCCACTGGCTCCTTCCATAGCCCTGCAAGGTTTATATACGCCCAATGGCTCGCGCTGCGCTCATCTTCCTCGTCGTCGTCGTCACGTTTCGGCGAAACAAGAAAGCGCGTCGTTGCGTTGCAGCTCTGAAGGTGCTGCTGGTGTGCTTCGAGCGTCAGCTGGGGCCCTACTGGTACAAGCTGAGCCTGCAGGTGATGGAGATGGCCTTCCGCAAGGTGGGCGTTGTGGCCCTGTGGGACTTCATGGACTTCATCGTGCGCACGCGCATCCCCCTCTTCGTGCTGCTGCGTCCGTTCATCCAGTGCAAGGTGAGAAAAGCGTGTCTGGCCAGGTGAGAGCAATCCTTGTTGGTTAGTTTGTTGTTCTTCCCCCGCACACCTCCGATTAGAAGGGTTGGCTACGTACGGTGCGAAGCAAGTTCAACATATTCTTAGGTTTTTTCCACCTGAAGACGGAAGCTTGTGTTGCCTCCGAAACGTCGTGATTTTTATTTTACTTTTATTAATTTTAATTTTTTACCTACGTGACTTTACTGAAAAAACCTAAGAATATGAATCCTTGCAGTCACGAAAGCTCCAAATCTAGAATCAAGTTCAACATACATCGTCATCATTGTCGTTGGTCCCCATGTGCAGTCACTGTTGTAAGACAACATTTTACTGCCTTCTTATACTCTTGGTTCTTTCGGCATCTTCCTATCTTCTGTGTTGTCTCCATCACTCTCTGAGCTCTGTCCTTTTGTGTTCCAAGGGTTCCGCGCCACTGACTGACCACACTTTGCTTGTCCTTTCTCATGGTCTTCTTCCTTTAATCCTCATCTATCTATGGTGGTTTGTATCAGAAACATATTCTTACCAAAGTACGGACATTTGGTCTGTTGCTTTGTCAAAGCCGGCCGACGGGATGCTTGGCTCAACGGGCTGGATTAGACGCATGGCAGGCTCGCTGCTGCATCATAGCCGACTCCGAGCTGTGCGTGGCTGTGCACACGTGGGCCCGGAGAAAACTCTCAGTGGGAAAAATCCAGGAGCGTGTTTACATCAGTTATGGCGGCAAACAAGTAAAGAGGTTGGGAACCTGTCAAAGTATTAATGTTCTTTTGTTGCTCGCTGCAGCTATGTCTACACTGTCGTCATTTTTTAAAGTGATATTTTAGTGTACTCGTTTTCTTCCCTGAAGCCAACATAACATGCTCACGAGATTGCCTGCGAGTGCAGCGCGGCAGGGCATGAAAATTCCTTTTTTTTCGTCTTTTTCCTCAATTTTATTTCTGTGTTACGAGACGAAGATTCCATTCTGATCTCACGGAAGCAAATATCATAAAACTACTTCTGAGATATCTTGAAGTTAGAGCCTGGTTTTGTTCTCCTGTAACCATAACTGCACCACCACTTTTAATAACTCCTCCCCCCCCCCCCCCTCTTTATTACAACTACTATCATCTCATATTCAATTTTGTAATTGCTGTAAAGCACTTTGGAATAAGTCAGCTCCGCACTCTATCCTCCACAGCCACCAAGCCCCCTCCGTGCGGGGGCACTTGTTTAACTACCTCGCCTGGTGTACAGGAGGTCGTGGGTTCGATCCCGACCTCGATGCCTGCTGTATATTTGTAGTTTGCATGTTTCTTTCTCTGTGGTCGCGGGGAATATTCTCCGGGTTCTCCGATTTTCCCCTCCACATTTAGCGTCAACCTGCGTTGTGAGTATTCAGCTGCTATACATTTCCACGTGACTATAAGCCACCTCGTTGAGCTATCGTTTGTGGCTAGGCTCGCTTCGTGGGCCTTACCTGGTCAAAGGAAAACCGTTTCGTTTAAATCGCAAGAGTTGTCGTCTTCGCGATGCTTTTTCGGTGGCATGCAGCTGCTGCACGTCCATCCCGAGACGGCGGAGGAGGAGGCGGCGCAGAGACGAATCTCCGAGCAGTTGGAGCGTCGCTTCATCCCGCGGCCCCTCTCCAAAAGCTCGCTCGTCGCCGAGTTCAACAACGAGCTCAAGATCCTCAAGGAGGCCGTGCACAGCGGCACTGGTGCGGTTTGCAGGCCCAGGGTCCAAACCGGGACATAGCATATCATGGGAAGAAGAATTGTCTTGTCACAATACAGGGAAGATGGGAACTGCATGCAAATGCATTGCCTTGAGTGTTTCGTTATCATTGCAGCTGACCGTAAAAAAAAAAAAACTGTGGGTTTTGTTTTATGTACCGGGAAGACTTCCAGATTTCCCAGGATGGCCGTCTCAACTAGCGTGTGATCCTGGGAATATGAGGACAGGTGGCAACCCCCAGAGCACGCCAGGTGGCCACCGCTCGACCAGCAGCTGCGCTGGCATCTGCGGAGGCACCCTGTCCCCTCGTCGCAGGCCTCATCTCCCCATGTTTCATCCCCCCCCACCCACCCACGCAAACGACCGCATTGGTCAAAGCCCCATGGTTGCATTGTGCGGTGACGGCAAAGGACATGTTGACGTTGCTGAAGCTTGTATTCCCCCAAATAAACGTAATGGTTTGTGTTTTCACATGTTGTGTAAAAAATATATATTTTAGTTATTGATTTATAAATTGCAGTTTGCTCTTTGGTCTTTTATTAGTATGCCCCTCGAAGGGGGCAACAGTGTGGGAAGGGCTTCATCTAGCAGTGGATAGACAGTGGCTGGTGATGTGCTGATGCTGATTAAGATGATGCTAGCGATGCGTTTGGTTGATTATTGATGACAATGAAAATCGACAGTTAAGATGATTACATTTTTGATTATGACAATGCTGATGACATCGTTGAGGATAATGCTGATGACACTAATACCGATGATTATTATAATTGATTATTGACAGTGACGATTATCTGAACCGGTCCTGGGCCTCCCCTAGGTCGACTCAGCCTCAAATGAGTACTTGGTACGGTGTGTAAACATCACCACTTGGGAGACAAAGGCGGCCGGGCGTGGCGTTGGCCACCCACCCCTTCATGTGCTATGCTGCCCTGCATAGGCGCTCGCTAACAGCACTTGCCCCAACAGTCTGTTAAGGCTATATGGGGGATCTTTGTCTTTCTTATACTGCTTTATAATCGCCTTACCCTCACGATTTCCGCGTGTTGTGCGCAGCCTACCAGGGCAAGACCTCGATCAGCACGCTGGGCACCAACACGTCGGCGTACCGCATGAGCCTGGCCACCATGTCGCGCTCCAACACGGGCACGGGCACCGTGTGGGAGCAGGAGAGCCAGCCGTCCCACCAGGCCTCGCAGGACACCATCAACCGCACCGACGAGGAGGACGCCGAGAGTGAGCTGCCTGTCCCGCGATCGTGCCCCGATAACGGCGACGTGGCGTGGTTGGCACGGGCGCTGTTTCGTAAGGGCAGGTGGACCACCATCACCGCCTCCACCACCACCAACGCCCCCACCACCACCGCCACCTCCACCACCAATGCCCCCACCACCACCTCCACCACCAATGCCCCCACCACCACCACCACCTCCACCTCCTCCAGCTGCCGCGTCAGAGCCTGCAGCACAGCAGCAGCAGCGGCGCTCTTGCATGCAGTGGGGTAGCGTCGTTGGTGTGGGGCCTTGCGCAAGGAATGTAATGGGGCCTCCTGTCCGATTCAGCATCTTTCAGAATGTGTATTTACCCTGGAGAAATCTGATGGGCTGCGAAGCTCTTAGTCACAGATGTCCCCAAATCCTCTTTGTAGCGTGGCCTATGGACGCCTCCGGCGCAGGGACCGCGGTGCAGTTGCATCTCTAGTCAGCGGTTCTTTCTCGTTCTGTGCGTGAGAGAAATACTTGGGAAGATTCACATACACTATGGGGACCTCATTTGCCAGTAAAAATATGATAATTGGTTCTTTACCCTTCTATCTGGCAACAAAACTGACACCTTTTTACAAGGAGTCATGTTTGCATAGACCGCAATACCTGCAGTCATAAATACAAACAAAAGACATAACTCTGATAATGTGCACTGTCCTTGATGTTGATTGGTCCACACCCGAGACAGCTTTCCTTCGAGCCTAGTCTCACATGGGTTGGACCAGAAGACGCCAAAAGGCGCACAACTCAAAGACAATGCACCATCAGAGTATGAGAGCTCGGGGAAAACATCTACTGTCAGTTTTGTTGCCAGATAGAAGGGTAAAGAACCAATTATCAAGATTCACATATTTGGCTGAGGTCCATTTAACCCTCGCGTGAATCACGTGTCCACAGGGGCGGGCCGCTGTGATTGGTTGGCTTTTGAGCCACGGTGCCAAATGCTTTAAAACGTTTGCTTCGTGAAAATCCTCTCCTCGGCACCGTCATCTTATTCAGTGTGGCCTACACAGGCGGTGGGACATGATGACGACTGCTGCGGAGACGATGGGTAAAGCAGGAGCTGGGCATTCAAGAAGGCAGTAGCAGCTGGTGGAACCTCATCATGTCCATTGCCGTGAATAAATTATATGAAAAAAACGTCTACGTATTTGAGGGGGTTCCTCTGACTGACTTCTCGAAAAAAAATTGCTTTTGCTTTTAATAATGAATGCATGCGATGGTTATGCCTCTGTTGTTTGATTAGCTGCTGAAACATAGATGATTTCACCAACGTTCAGAAGCACTCGGCCAACTTGTAAATAGCACCCACTGTAGCTAGTCATTACCGTACTTGCTTTTTAAGGCATTTATCAGTCGCTCTTATGGCATTCAAGGCATGTGCACACACGCGAACCAACGTGTTGCTCGTGCCCACATACGTGCCTGTATAGATCTGATTTAGTTTCGGGGTCGTATTGGCACGATGTCCGACCTTTTTGCTCAACCTGCTTGCGCGAGCTGTCTTCAAGACCCAAATTCAGTTCGGGACCTGAATTTAATTCAAGGGCCGAAGAAGCTCTCGGCACGTCGGGCAAAACATCAGACATAATGCCGCACACGACACACGGGACAAACCAAGAAAACCCACCGGAGCGCTTTTACAGCACAACCGCGAAACCCCGCGTAGCGGTAATCCACCCCTGTGCCTGCAGACCAGTCGGTGAGCATGCCAAGCGTGATGAGCGAGCGAGACGAGGCGTTCTTGGCGAGCGGCACGGCGCGAGGGCGCAGGCGGCTGTCCAGCCACGTGTCCTGCATGTCGGCGCCCCAGACCAGCACGCACATCTGCAGCATGCTGCCCAGCCAGAGGTGACACTGCTCGTTCGATCGCACATACTCGCGCACTTGCGCGCACACGTGCGTACCTCTGGTGCGTTTCGACTCGGCACGACAGCTACGGATGTGTGTGTGTGGGGGGGGGGGGGGCTCATACCAAGCGGGCTCTGGGGATGGGCCGGCCAAGTCGCTGCGATTCGCACGGTTGGCTATGTGCGGTGCGAGAGAAGAAGTTCAACATCCATACACGTGATTTCGCTGAGACATTCTCAGAATCGGTCGTGACATCGCGGATGCAATGCCTTCAACAGTGTTTCTCATGTAAAATTAAAACTTCAGGGTGTAATTTTGTTAAAATCCAAAAAAGAAAAAAGATGTTGACTTAGAACAGACTAACGTAAGTCTCTTCTTAAGCATAACCGTGTTTTATGATCACAGAGGGTAGAGACTGGGGAGAGGCCAGCTGCAGAGAAGCGTGTGAATCATGCAGCAATTGGAACACAAATTCCTGCCACGTTGTTTAACCTTGGCCATTTCTGGGCTATCCTGGGCCATTGAGCCCACTTTTCAATGGTCTTGGAAAGGTAGCATTAGAAGGCGAACCACCATGACTCCAGTCCCCATGTATAACAAAGGAAAGACAAAGATCCCCCTATATGGCCTGTGCTGTTGGCGAGCACCTTTGAAGGCCGGTACGGCACAAGGGGGTGGGTGGCCAACACCACGCCCGACCACATTTGTCTCCCCAGTGTCGATGTTTACACAGTGCACCAGGTACACATTTGAGACGTTAGTCGACCTAGGAAAGGCCAAGGACCAGTTCAGATAATCGTCACTGGTGATGAACGTGAGCGGGAATCGAACTCGGGTCGTCGGGTTCATAGCGAAGCGTGCTAACCGCTGCACCACTGCTCTCCACGTCCCCATGTATATACACAGAGCTACCCACGTAAGCCTGCATGTGCTCAGGATAGTCCCGTAACGCAGGTGTGAACATTCCGTGTTTCTCACCGTGAGTCAGTCGGTGATGGCGTTGGGCCTTGCCGATTGCCGTGATCAATGGCTGTGAGTGTGCATTTTTTTTTTACCGTACTGAAAACTAAAAAGTAGAATCTCACACTTGCTGACAAAAAAAACTCTTAAGGCATCGCGCCTAAAATAACTCCGGCGTGAAAACACCTCAACTCAAATTTTTTTACCAAGTGCTCATTTAGCAGCGCCTCCTTACAAATGATTTAAGCTCGAATTAGTGGATGTGGTAGGGCCTTTGCCGCTTTTTTGCAGAGGTTTGCTTGTTCGAGCCCCGCGGCTACCCTGGTGAATACTGCGGGTGTAAAGATCCCGTGACATTATTCCAATAAGAGTTGGCCAATGAGTGCTGGCGTCAAGGTCCAAATTTGATAAATGACTTGCAAGTCACTTAAATGGGTAAATCCACATGGCAACATGGCAGACTTACACCCGTCTATGAAACGCAGCACCTTTGTGATAGCCCTGCACATTAACAATGGCGCGAATATCAAATGTACTCAATTATTATTCAATGTTGTTAAAAAAAATTTTTTTTACAAAAATATGACCGCGTTGTTTAATACATTGGCGCTACATGCCACATCCACGAATACTATCGCTTGCTGTTTCAGGTGAGCCTTTTCCGTCTTTGTTAAACACATGGCTAACATCGACTGACCCCTTGCCACGGGGCGACCTGCCCCTGCGTAGCACGGAGCCCTGCCACCCCACGATCAATTCCTGCTGAGCCAGACTGCACAGGGCACAGCGGTTTCGTTCGGGAGCGTTTTCCTTTGACTCTGTCCTTCTGGGGAAGACAGGTGGTGGGCCAGTGGCTCTCAAGCTGCAACGGTTAAGCACGTGATCGAACAACAGGGGTGCGACGAATCATCGACTCGCATCGATTAGTAACCTCATGATTAGTGCGTCAAATTGCATGTGTAAGAATCAAATGTTTTTTTTTTCTCATTGGATATGTTTTACGTGATGGTATCACTTGACCCCCTGCAGCCATCGGTGACTGCTACGTTCCCCCTCCCCAGTGTTGACAATTTTACTTTAACTTTAACTGCATAGCGATCACAAAAAGCGAAATTTGTGGGATTGCCTCAGGGGTGGGGAAGGGGGAGTCGAGTTGTCACACCCGCGCTAAACCGTCGACTCCAATGATCTTTTTAAGCGCAGCTTCTCGTGACAAAAGTTTCTCACGCAATGCTCGTGCGAGCAAAAATCTAAAAAAAGAGGAACGGGATTTTGTTGCAGCACCCAAAAAAGATTAAAAAAACGCGTATTCAACTTTGGCTCAAACGAAGCGAGCTGAAGTCTTTGTGGTAAAGCCTTGTCCCCTCGCTCGCCTAATGAGCTCGAAGGTCAATGCAACCAGAAAATCATACACGTCAAGTGACGGTGTCACAAGAGAGCGAAAAAACCGACGTTTGTTACTCCGCAGCAGCTGAATTGATCCGGGGCTACCACTCGGGCTCACCACCCATCTTTCCCATCGCTACATTTGCCTGTACGCTCTGCACTGCCCCCGAAGGCAGATCCCACCGTGAAATGTTTAAAAGGTTTATATATTTTTTCTTTTCGATTTAAAGCTTTCGTGACTGCAGGGATTCATCTTCTGTTTTATTTTTATTATTTTATTACTTCCCTTCTACGTGACTTTACCGAAAGAACCAAGAAGATATATTTCCTTTCTTGAAAAAGCAGCAAAAAATCAAAGTGTCCGCAAATATCACGCACGCCCCTTGCCGCTGCGGCGGCTCGTGGAAGTTGTACGCGCTCATTCCCAACTTCCTTTGCCAGAATGGGGCATGCCACTTTTTTTAACCGGGGTGATTGGCTTTATTATTGCCCAGCCGGATTGACCAATAATTTTGAAGATAACTGAAGCAAAAACTTCCTTGGGCGAGCCCTCTAGTGTACGTTTACACTCGGGGTGGACATGTTCGTCGATTAATATTGATCCTCACCGTTACGGCACACGCGTCAAATTGCTTGTGTAAGAATCTATTTTTGTTTAATTCATAAGTTTATGTTCTATGAAAAAGAAGAATCGATTCTTTAATCACACTGCAACCCCGAATCGCGATGATGCATCCACTCTCCGGGTGGAATGGTGTCTGGGTCAATCATTCCACCCCTAATTTTCACCGAAAGGTAAACTGCTTCTCGCACCCAAAACGATTCGCTGTTGCGCATTTTTTGGACGAGGGAAATTAATGGCGCCGCAGACCGGTCAACTTTTTCCTTCTCACTTCTTTTTGTGGCCTTGGCCCCTGCTTGAATTTCACCTCGCTCTTTAACCCTGCACCCACCTGCCTCCTCCCACTTACCCCCTTGCCCCGTCCTCGCCTCCGTGATCCACCCCTGCCCCCGTACCCCCTACCCACCCCCCTCCCCCTGCAGTGAACCTAATGTCCTGGAGGACATCCAGAGCTTGGCGGCTAACCTCTCTAGGTACAGTCCCCATGCCAACCTTCATCCCAGTTGTGTGCGTGTGGTCGCTGTTATTCGTGGGTCCTGTCCTCTCCATTTGTGACTCCCTCTTTAATGTTTTATTTGGGGATATCGTAGCCCCGGGCCCCAGATGCTCCCGACTGCACTGTCACAGGGCGCCGTGCAATTTTCAAATATTTATCCGTTGCCCGTATTCCGTCGGTAGGGTTATATATATATATAAAGGCTCCCGTGATCCAATGTGATGTGACAGTCATGTGAAGGGATAATTGCCCTTGCCCATGTTTTGAAGTAGCGTTCGTGGAGTTTTACACCTCACGGCCACGTCACGTGCAGTCAGGCGCATTCAATTTGCGGCTCGTGTGGGTGCCACTTTTGTGCGCGGGGGGGAAAAGCCGGAAATTCTGCCAGCTTCGAGTTTCTTGCACCGATTTGCTGAAGCTTGTTCAAGGATAGCATCTGTTCTTGGGTGTGTTGATCGTGTCAAAAAAACAATAATTGGTGGTAATATTCATCAACTGTATGTCCATTGTGCTGTGCTTGTCTTTAATGGTCGGGCACACGCGATCACGTTGTTTCTGTTCGATGGGAATCGCGTAATGTGTGCGCTGATGCAGAGTGCACAAGCCAGAGGAGCATTGCTGCAATAGGTGGACTTGTGACGGCGATACAAACAACTGTCTTGACCTTGTGACTTTCCGATCTGCCGCAGGTCATCCATCGCTTCTCATCGGTAGACTTCTTTTCATCAGAGTTTTGTTTTATTAACTCGTTTTTCTGCTGCGCACAGACTCTTGGGAACACGCCATATGTATCTGTTGACGTTAGCATTTCCCCCCACAGTTCATTAACCAGAACACAGGATTTAAAAAGCCGTTAAATTAAGCTTTAACAAAATCAACATGTTTTTATCGCAATTCTGCCGAGTCCCCAAGTCACGGTTATTGCAATAATTAAATGGATTGTAGGAATTTTGACCGCGTGCAATATTTTTTTTCTCAAATTTCCAGGGAACGTTCCTGCTTCTTATCAGTTTTGCAGAGACATGGAATGTACATTCTTGTGGGATGTGGAGCCAGCCACACTCATTATGCAGAAGTAATGCTATGAAACTTTACTGCCCCCACCCCCCCATTGGATTCCTCATGCCTTTCACAGTCCTTAGCTGCCAGACAACTTGCTTATGCACCTAGGGGGGGGGGGGGGGAGAGTTTGAGAAATGTGACGTCACATCAAAATGCGCAACTTTAAATATGGACAACACGTTCTACTTAATTAATTTGACTTTTTAATAAATGTTTTCTCGTACAACATCAGAGTGCAGCGCCACATTAAATACGCACTACAATGACAATAGTTTACAGCGATTTGAAGAATGTTTTATTTTGGGGGGGGGGGCAGATCTTTGTGACGTCATATTTGAGGGGAGTCTGACTTTTTGTGACGCCGCGTGACGAAGGGGGGGGGGGGGTCAAAATCGTCCAAAATCGCGTGACGTCATTTATGGACGGCCCCTTTTGTCTCTAAACTTCACCAAAAAAAAAAAACCCTCCTATGAAACAGAAAATCCACGCAGGCATTCTCTCTCCCCGTTTTATTCATGACTCCATCTTGTCACTGTGCGCATTTATTCAGTCGATTTTTCTTTTGTTGCTGTTGCAACAATCGAGTAGATGTACAAACGACCGGCGGCAGCCCACGGTTTGTTCGTACGCCCTGGAGCGTGAGAGCAAACTCTGCCGGAGCCCCACGGGAGTTGTTCTCGCAAGGAGGGTATTGACGTGGAGCACGGATTATGCCTTAGGGTGGCGAGCGTGCAGAGCGAGCCGGGGAGACAGAACCTGCTGACGCAGCAGCCGCTGGGACGCAAAAGAGGCCTCAAGCAGGTAGGGGGCTCTTTCCTTACAATATTGGGAAGCCACTGGAGTTATGCACTTTTAAATCTAGATTCATTTTTTTCATAACTGCTTTTTGTGCTTAGTTTTTTTGCCCTTCTCCGGCACCTCCGATTAGCACGGTTGGCTACGTACGGCGTAATATGGTATGGCCTTAATCTAAGTTGTCTTGTGGTTGTTGTTGGTTGTTTGACTTGCAATGCCATTGGGATTTTTGCACACAGCGTTGGTGTACAGTGATTTTTTTGTTGTTGCAATATTTAGCTGTCTTTTCTTGGATTTTCTGTTTGCACTTAGTCACATATTCACTTTAAGATGTTTTTTGTTCATGTTTTTTGTTTGTTGCGATTGCTTCCGATTCAAGAGTCGAATGGCTCACAGGGCTATACCTATTAAATTAACTTGAACTAATAGAAGTTTAACATACGTACATACATATACGTACGACGCGTAGAGGGACTCTTCCCAAGCGTCGAGGTCATCAAAGTCAAACTCCGCTAATGCAAAGCGTTCCACCAACAGAAAATAAAATAATTTCCCAAAATGCAACTGTTGCTCATTCACGACAAACGGTGAATCTCTTGTTGTTCGCTGCCAGTGTTCTCCAAGGGTACGAGTGGTCCCCACATTATTCGCCCTCCTCTGCAGCCTGCAGTTGGAATTTCACCTTGGCGGTTTATAAGCGCACGACAGGTGGAGCACAACCGTGTTTGTGTTTTCGCATTTCGTATTTTTTTTTCTCAGCTGGGATTGGTTTTCCCGCACGAGTATTATACATCAGTGTTTGTTTAAGCAAGAAAACTGTGGTCCGGTTTAGACCTTATGGGTCCCCATCGGATGAGCAGAGTCAGGCTTCTTAAATAAATACTGCTGGGTTGCCAGGTGTTATTGGTAAAAAAAAACACTCCACCTAAACGACGGTGCAAACATCAATATTGCAGACAAACTTAACGTGCGTTGTTAAGAACCGAGGACTGCACAAAAGTACAGCGCAACGGTGAACTTTTGCAGCACTCCTCTTCCCACAATGCAGCCCTGTGACCCTGCAGCCTGGTGTGCCCATCCAAGCACTATCCAGGCTCAACCCTTGCTTAGCTTCCGAGATGGCACAAGATTGGGTGCATTCCTGCTGATTTTGACAAAAGGCCGGTGGAAGTTCAACGGCTTTAAACCACCGCAGTTCAGGCGTGTGTGTGGGCCAGCTCGTGCTCGAGTGTAATTCTCGTCTTCTCCCACGCGCTCGCGCACCACGTGGGGCTCGCGCGCTGGCGGACGCGGGGACTCTAAAGCCGCGTCGCCTTCTCCTGTCGCGGGAGAAGACGCAGCACGACCCGCGGCCCCGGCACGCGGCACGCCTCTCCACCACGCGCCGCAGCATCCAGCCAAAGTCCCGGCCTCTGGGTACGCAGCCACACGCTCACCGGGGCCGCCCTCGGCTCTAAAATGCAAGAGGGGCTCTGCGGTGGCGTGATGATAACTACCTCGCCTGGTAATGCAGCAGGCTCGTGGGTTCGATCCCGACCCCTGGTGGCCGTATATTTGGAAGTTGCATGTCCATCTCCACGTGGTCATGTGGATTTTTATCGGGGTCCTCTGGTTTTTCCCTCCAAATTTAGAAGCAACGTCACGCGTTCAGAGTATTCGGCTGCTATACATTTCCACGTGATAAGCCACTTGGTTGGGCTATCATTTGTGGCCAGGTCGCTTCTGAAAAAGAGCTACATAGCCCAGTGGGCCTTACCTGGTAAAATAACAAAAATATTTGTATCGTTTAGTTTATCGGGAATGGTTGAGGTCTTCCTCGCTGCTGATGTGTGCCTCATGGCACCATTGACAGAGGCACTATGCAAATGTGAACTAAGCTGTAAAAGCTTGTGGCCCCAAAACCTCAAGAGGCCCTGGATTCATGAAAAAGAACACAAGGGTGCATCAAATACCAGGTCAAATTCCAAAGCTAATAAACAAAAACAATTAATTAACATGAAAAAGCCAGTTTAATCTCTAATCTCATCTGCCATCCTTCTAGCATATTCTAAATTGAAAGGAGGGCTTCCCTAAAATTATTTCTCCCGTGAGCCCCCAGTGGGCTAGCACCACCACCACCACTGAATAACGGGCATATGTCTCATGACAACACAGATGGAGGGTCTTCATCTCCCACACGAGATGGAAGAGTAGGGATATCCGCACTTAATCACTTGGCGTAGTGTTCGTAGCGTGCTGTGCTAAGCTCCATCTTAATGCTGCGTGCAATGACACAGTCGTCTGAGACTGAACGTGCCAACAGTTCCATCTGTACTCACGAGAACTTGAAGCGGATATATGTCTGGATTGTGAGCAAAGTGGAAATGGCTCGGGAGTTTTAACTCGGAGCTGTTGATCTCAGGCTAGCAGTCATGAAACAGCAAACACTGCACCTCCATAAAACGAGGCATGGTGGGTCTCGTGCAGAAGCATCGCTGCACAGTGTCACGTGCTCTGAAGCGTCTTAAACGAAGCATTGTGGAGTTTAATCACCGTTTAGGCACTAGAGGATGCTGCTGCCTGTGCAATGGTTCGCACGCTGGACTTTAAATTTAGATTCTAGATTTGAAGCTTTCGTGACTGCAAGGATTCATATTCTTAGGTTTTTTTTTGGTAAAGTCACGTAGGTAAAAAAATGTAATTAATAAAAGTAAAATAAAAATAAAATAAAAATCACGACGTTTCGGAGGCAACACAAGCTTCCGTCTTCAGGTGGAACCGTCACAGCACGATAGCTGTATCAAGTGGCTACAGCTATCGTGCTGTGACGGTTCCACCTGAAGACGGAAGCTTGTGTTGCCTCCGAAACGTCGTGATTTTTATTTTATTTTTATTTTACTTTTATTAATTAAAATGTTTTATCTATGTGACTTTACCGAAAAAAAACCTAAGAATATTTAAATTTAGAGGTTGCCTGCATTACGGTTGAAACAATAAACGAGTTTATTTAATCTCTGCCACCTCTGCCCATACAGCAGTATAAATGGGTACATTGCAGTCGATCGGCAGGCCGTGTACGGTGACGTAAGAAGTATCAGTACTCCCACCTCTTCCAAGATGTCTGGGCAGCATGGAAGAGTAGGCCAAATACCCTTTACACTCTCTAGAGCTCCCCCTGGCGGAGGCCCTTATCGCCAGCAGCAGCGGCGGCGCAAGCAGGCAAATGCGGGGCTGCACATTTACCGTTGCCCTTTAGGCATCAGAACTATTGTGCTTTCTCTGTGCCAGCAGAGCAGAAGCGGTCTGTGACGTTTACAGAGGAGGCGGGAGCTTCGGCCGCGGCCCCAGGAGACGGTGGCGTCTCCGCCGCTGGAGGGGACGACGCCGCCGCCGCACCGCCACCGGGCGTCCCGCCTGGCGAGGAAGCGACGGCGGCTGCAGCCGAGGCGGCCCCCAAGCCACCGTACCCGCTCGGCGAGGTGCCACGCCGGGCGCCACCGCAGGGCGGCGGCAGGAGGTCCAGCCTGGCCGAGGTCACCGTCACCGTCACCGACCTCTCCACGCTGGAGCACGACGAGCTCTCGGAGCAGGTACCGCACGAGGGGTTTTTGTTGTTCGCTCAGTTCCGTCGTGGTGGTGGCAGCGGCGGCGCACGGTGGTGAGATGTTAACTGCCTCACTTGGTATACGGAAGGCTGTGGATTCGATGCCGACCGCCAACGGCTGGATATTTGGAGTTTGCACGTCTCTCTCTCTGTGGTCGCATGGATTTTCTCCAGGTCCTCCGGTTTTACCCTCCACATTTTGAAATATGCATTTAGGGTATTCGGCTGCTATCAATTTCAACGTGATAAGCCACTTTGTTGAGTTATCATTTGTGGCCAGGTCGCTTCTGAAAAAGAGCTACATAGCTCAGTGGGCCCTTACCTGATACAATAATTTATAGTTTAAAGTTTAGTTTATTAAATGAGTGTGCGTGGATTGCGGCAGGGATATGAAATTCGGCGCGGCGCAAGCTTTTGCATTCTGTGAGCGAGTTATTTTCAACAATCGTGAGCCCGTTGAAACTATGTCGAGTAACTTCCAAACGAGATTATTTTCGTATTTGGAGATAGAAAAAAAATCACATTTGCACTGCCAAATGTGATCCAAGTTCTGCACTTTTAATGCCACGATTTAATGATGCAGTGACTTGGTTGTGTTTGTCACGCCCGCTTTAAACTTGACATCTTGCGGGAGGTCGCTCATTCTCCTCTGCTGACCGTGGTCTACAAAACAAATACGCCCATTGTTTCCGTACACTCTCTTGAGATGTGGTCACATATAGACGCTATATTAAACCAGCGTTGTTTTGTATCGTATCAACCAGATCCGGGCCAAAATAATACTAAACACACGACCACATGGGCAACACTCTCTCACTTGCCAGTTCTCCCCAGTCACGGTAGTAACCTCTGCTCGTCCTGGCAGATGGATCTGGCGGCCGAGATGGAGGAGGAGTTTAACCGGGGCTTGCTGGCCTACGGACTGGCGCGTCACCGGGGGCTCTTCGACTCCAGAGGGAGCCTCGGGGGCGGTGGCGGCGGCGGCGGCGACGAGGAGGATGGCCGCGGAGGCCCGGTCGAGACGACGTGCCTCCTCCCGCCGTCCCTGCTCGCCACCCCGACCACGCCGGAGAAGGGCAGCGGCCCCCCTCCTGCGAGCTCCTCTTTCCTGGCACCACCGCCACCTTGCCGGGAGCTGATGGTGGAAGCCGAAGAGACTGACCTGGACCTGCACGAATCGCACGTCTAGCCGTGCCCCACGTGGCGATTTCTCACGCGGAGGGCGCACGCTAGCTACCTCGTAGTCCTGTGCGGCGTAGCGCGGTTCGCACGGGCCCCTGCGCAAGGAATGAAATGGGGCCTCCTGGTCCAACGGCCCCCGTCTCTTCATAGCCTGACACCTGGCCTTTCATCCCATCCAGTGGGACCCCGACGCAGTTGCACCGCCTGCACACTTGACAGCCACGCCACTCTTCCTAACGCAGGAATCCATCTTCGCCGTTTAGTTATATAAGCATTACTCTCTCTCTCTGATAATCACGGATGTCCATTTTTTTGCGACATTGTAGAAGAATCTGGCCAATGAATTCATTAAATTATCGACTGGGGAATTGTAGCCTGTGGCGATGGCACACGTGTCATTAATGCCAACCCAAGTTATGCTTCAGAATAGACCCGCATTTATCCCATCATGGAGAGTGTCTTATAATGTTATTGCAATTGTCATTTGTTTTATTCCACGGATTTATGTGAAAAGTGCTATACCAAAAAAAAAGTCATACGTTGCTCATCCATTCCTATATTTATGTTAGACAGGTTTGTGCTCATTTATTTGGTTATTTATTCCATATTACTTAATTGAGAACACAGGTTGTTCAATCACGGTGTCCTTTGCTTTCATGTGGAGTTCACAACTCTACTTCAACCAGGGTGTTAAGTCTCATTGTCTATTCACGCAGAGTGTAACAGGTGTGACAGATTGAAAGAAAAGCAGTCGATAATTACACGTGAATAGCGAATGAATAAGTAATAGAAGTGGGTCACGGCTGTAAAAATAGTTGTTACACATTTATAAGACATTTATAAATAATTGAAATCTTTACTTGGGTCATTTCAAATGAAGGTTCCCCACGTATCATTGCCAAAGTGGGGGAACATGTGTCCTCATAGCAGGAGCAAAGTGTGCAGATGCAAAACATTTGGATATTGTGACGATACCTGTACAGATAAGGCCAGCCTACAAAAAGGCAAGGTAATATTACAATGCTTAATGGAGAGGCATTCAACAGGGTCATTTGGGATTGTACTAAATGTTCTCTCGTTACATCATCGTTTAACCCACGCACTTGTATACTTTACCAATGGGTCACAGATGTATGGCAATATATACGGTGTGTGTCCGACTGTTCATTGTATGTGTGTGTAGATCCAGTAGACAATATTAGAACGGTGTGAGCCTGCAAACAGCTGCTGCCAGTAAAAATAATTTGCTCGATTCCAGGCTTACTGCTCATGCAAAAAGATATCTCTTGTACAATCCCCGCAAATAGCATGTGATATTGCTAAGAGCGAGTCAACTTACTGGCAGCAGCTATATACAATAGGTTGCCTTGGTGCCAGTATCTCCTACTGGTAGTAGTGTCTGCCGTGTGTGTGTGTGTCACGTTCTTGTAATGCTGCTACTGGTGTTGAATGTGCCGAGTTGCACATCTGTGAGCGTGCATTCTGGGATTGTGCTGCGATCCGCTGATGTTCGAATAGTGTTAACGTTCCTCCTAAACGTATCTGCTTGCAGTATTCTGTCCTCTCTGTGACTGTTCTCGTGATCGTGTCGTTTGTTTCGAGAGTCACCGATGTAGTTTGTGCAAAATGTCTTTAGCCATATTTCATAGGCAATACGAGGAACACACTTCCTGACACATAATGTGTGATTTACGCGCGTTGATTCGTCATCGGAATCAAAAGTAGAAACCCGTGGTGGTTGACTTTAACCACCACGCCTGAAGGCCAGCTCACGGCGACGTTTGCGTTGTGATGGAACGGTGCATTCGGTTGAACGTAGTTGATGTCTTTTGTTCCACTGAGTCCATGTGTGATGTTTGTGATCTAAACTTGGGATCTCACAAGCCAGTGAGGTGTGCGTGGAGGAGGTCCAAACTTATCATTCTATCATCCCCCGCCACGAACACTGGAATTCTCTAAAAGTGCGGCGCCTCTCGAGGTCACACAAGGTCTCGTGCTGGTGCAGGAGCACGTTTGGATCATTCCATTTCACGTGGGATGGGGGGGGGGCACATGCCAGCAGACCATCTCTTTGCGCGAAACCCATGCTGTTGTGCCCATGCTATGTGCCATTCACGACGCGTTTTAACCACGTACCAAAGCTGCCTTACTTGTTTGCGTTGCATTCAGTGAAGTGGTCACCCAGACATGTTGCGCGATCATGTGCCAAATGGAATGAGGATATTTGTAGGTATGGGGGAGATAAGGGGCATCCCCCCCCACCCCTATTCTTAGGTTTTTTCGGTAAAGTCACGTAGGTAAAACATTAAAATTAATAAAAGTAAAATAAAATAAAAATCACGACGTTTCGGAGGCAACACAAGATTCCGTCTTCAGGTGGAACCGTCACAGCCACGACAGCTGTATCAAGTAAACGAGAGATTGCAGGAGCTATCACTCCCTTTATATAATGGTTGGAGAAGGGGGGGGGGGGTAAGGGCCAAATACAGCACACTTTTTATTAATATGGTAAGGTGAGGGTGAGCCTTTGTTATGGAGAGGTACGGTTTGTGACTCAACCTGTGACAAGGAGACAACCACTAAACATGGTAAGTTAAATCTTTTTTGCATGGTACGGTTTGTGACTCAACCTGTGACAAGGAGACAACCCCCCCACCCCTCCTTATCACCCCTGCGTCACGTCCAACGCTCTCGAGTCGTGCATCCCACGACTGTGAAGCCACACTCTTCCTCGCCATGGGAATGAGCAGGCATGCGTTGGTCGCGTGTATTTTGGAGTGTGCCATTGTATGCAGGGGTGGGTGAATGTAGCGAATCAAGTGAGCGGGACTGGAATAAGGAGGGCCTGTGAAATTGTACCGGTTTATGCCACGATGTTTTTTTTTGTTTGCTACATTAGCCTTCATGAGCTCGTTTTACTGTCCGAATCTGCATCTCTTTAATGTGCGCCCGTATGTGTGTTACTTTATGTAATTCTGGATGAGCAGTAAAATGTAATGGATATACCGTAATGTCTAATAATGAAATCACTGTATATTATGTACGCACAATAAAACATATATGCCGTCCACAAGAGTATGTGCGTTATTAATATCATAAACCACTGAGGCAGAATTAATACATTTGTTTAGTTCCAATACGGAATGCCCAATGCACCGCGGAATTATTTGTCGTTGGAAACCATGCGTACATTGGATCTTCCAAAGAGGAATGTGTCCTCTCTCCCGCTAATGCATTCTTTCTCTTTCCCGAGGCGGTCTAGTAACGTGATAGATGGCCCAGCCCATCCCTATTAATTAAATCGGGGGCCTGAACTAATGCGACCGTGAAAGTAATATGCATGCTATTTATTTAAATGAGTGTAATTCGAATGTCTTGTTTTGGGAAAGTTTTATGAGCGGTCGGGACTTGGGGATGTTCATGGCGACGTCGGGGCGCTTTTTCACCCGTGTCTTTTGTTGTTGGTGTTGCGAATCTCACGAATCGAGGCCAAGGAGGAAGTAACGAAACACCTTATGGGGCCCCCTCTTCATGTGGCAGCCAAGTTGACGTGACTTGTGCCCACTTGCTTAGTTAAAGCCCCGGAATCCCAAAGTATTTGTGAAAATCTGGGAGTTTGTTTCGGGTTTCTAACGTTTCTGGCCTCGGCTCGACTCATTAAGATGGGGCAAAAGGAGTGGGGCTTTCTGAATAGTGGGGTTTGGTTGGCAGAGGAGTGAGGCGGTGCATGCGAGCGGTAGCCGGGGCCAATTTCAGAAAGAACAACGCCGCTCTACTGGAGGGGATAGTGATTCATACTCTGAGTTTTTTCGGTAAAGCCACAAAAAACTAAGAGTATGAATCCTTGCAGTCACGAAAGCTTCAAATCTAGAAGGGATAGTGATTCTGTGGGTGTGGCGATGTTCAACGTGGGTACGGTTGACCGAGAAAGGTGCTGCTAGTTCACCCTACATCCTGGTAGAGCCTCGCAGATTCACGCAAGCCTTACGCTCGCATTGACATGCATCATGTGTATCTTGTCTCCCATTGTGAACAATCGCAAATGTACTATCCAAGCTTTTTGGTTTTTTCGGTAAAGTCACGTAGTTAGAAATAAAATTAAACAAATCACGACGTTTCGATCGCAACACAAGCGGTCGTCATCCGGCCTGATGCCGACCGCTTGTGTATGGATTCCTGCAGTCACGAACGCTTCAAATCAAGATTGCTAAATTAGACCTATATCCACGTTTTCAAGAGGCTGTGTGCACTAACAACAAATTGCCTTTTGTCAATCCACTGCTGGATGAGCGTCTCCCCATGTCACATTGGTCATGGCAGTTCCTTGACCATACATTACCATCCTGATCAGTGTGAGTTAATGAAAAGGGGTGGCCCAGGACTGATTCAGCTGCCGCTTGGCTGCTGATGTGAGCCATGACCGGGATTGCCAGCTAAAGAGCACAGTACACTCACCTTTGCTTATCTACGTGGACAGTGAAGTGTGTAAGCAAAGAGATATTTGGTCGGGATATAATGACATCAATTAATCAGGCAATCTTGATTGGAAGCTTTCGTGACTGCAGGAATCAGGTAATATTGATTCTAGAGCTCATGATACGTGCGTGGAATTGCGTGTGTGAGAATGCTTTAATCCGGATTGTTTTCTTAATCTGGCTTTATGTGGGTGATGCGTGGCCTTCTGGCATGAATCGCATCACGGCACAGGACGGCCTCTGACGCGACCGCGTGCCGTCGGTGCCCTGATGAGAAAAGCAATCGAGTGGAACGAACACGACAGAGATCATGAGGATTATCTGGTGGCTGTAGCCACTCTCGTGGTAATTTACACAAACATCGATTCACAAACATAACCAGTTTTACCAACATTAACCCGAGTTAGGCGTGTCCTCTGCACCCTCTGTGTTCATTTTGTACATACAATGCGCTTGAACTAATGATTACTCTAATGCCAAATGTAAGCACCTGTCTTTATATCCACGTAATGTACAATATATTGTAGTCTGTCGGCCTATTGGCCTTCCAGGCATGTGTTAGCAGTATTTGTTTAAACACCCCAAGCTATGGATCGGGTCCTCCTTTCTGGGGCTCATCAACAGAGTCTCAACAGATCGTGTTTACCAGATGTTTGTTGGTAAGTGGTATCTCTTTACGTGGAGCGGTGCTGTGTGGGGAGCGGTGGTGTAGTGGTTATCGCGCTGCGCGACAAACAAAAGCGACCCTAGTTCGATTGCCACTCACGGCCAACACCAGTAACGATTATTTGTACCGGTCCTGGGCCCTCACCTAGCTCGGCTCCGCCTCAAATGAGTACCTGGTGCGGTGTGTAAACATCGCCACTGGGTAGGCAAAGGCGGTTGGTCGGGCGTGGTGGTGTTGGCCACCCACCACCTCGTGTGCCGGTCCGCCCTTCACAGGTGCGCGCTAACATAATTTGCCCCAACAGTGTGTTAAGGCTATACGGGCGATCTTTATCTCTATCTCTACACCATGGTCAGTACTGCTGGTTAACGTAACGTCTGGAAGCCCAATAGGCTGATGGAATAAAATAATTTTTATCTCATATTTACGCGGCTTGGTGACAGAAACAGATTTATTTAATGTATGACCGAGTGCTCAACTCTAACATGCGGTGAGGTTTCAATAATAATTGTATCTCAAGGAGGAACTCTTCTTCGACAGAGACAATTCTGTCGGGGAAAATATTAATCGCTTTTGCATTCTTTTTCTTAAAGTTAGTAGGATCAAATTTCGATTTAAAGCTTTCGTGACTGCAGGGATTCATCTTCTTGGTTCTTTCGGTAAAGTCACGTAGAAAGAAAAAATAAAATAATAAAAATAAAACATAAAATAATTCTCACGACGTTTCGGCTACAACGCAAGTAGACGTCTTCAGGTGAAGAACAGGTCTGTCAGATTCTGTCTCCTTGACAGCCCTGTTCTTCACCTAAAGACGGCTACTTGCGTTGTGGCCGAAACGTCGTGAGAATTATTTAATGTTTTATTTTTATTATTTTATTAATTTCTTTAGTAGGATCACTGAAGCAGTAGCAGCAACAATTCTTCTTCTTCTTATTATTTTTTCCCATTACATGGCCTGTGGTGTCGTAGTGTGAGTCTTTTAACTCAATTCCATTCCATAAATTGTCAATAATAATCACAATAAAAAAACACACATTTGTAACTTTAAAGTGAGGCAGCGCTAACGGGCGCACATAACTCACCCCAAAAGACGCCAAACGGCTAAATCCCGAAAGGAACAAAAAAATTAAAATGCATTTCGCTGTTTACATTTCTCAAAGGGGACTTTATCATGGGCGAGTAAGCTGGCATCTCCCACGCGCTGAAACAGCACAAATTAAGCGTCGTAGGCACCCACGAGTGGCGGCTCAGCGAGGGCTACTCGTAGGTGGTTACCCAGCATTACGCGAGTTAATATTTCAGTTAATTGAATTAAGTGGAGAATGTTGCCAATTGTACGCGCCTGTTGTTGAATGAGCACTAGCACGTTGTAGTTATACTGGTAGGAACCTCCTGGTTACACCAGCCCACCGGGGATTATTGTGTCCATCGTGCAGGCAGTGGCTGGGTGGGGAGGTAGGGGCTGGGTGGGGAGGTGAGGGTGGGGAGGTGCTGGGTGGGGAGGGTGGGGCTGGGTGGGGTGGGGAGGGTGGGGAGGGTCTGGGTGGGGAGGGTGGGGAGGGGCTGGGTGTGGAGGGTGGGGGGGGGGGCTGGGCTGGGTGGGGAGGGTGGGGAGGGTGGGGAGGGGCTGGGTGGGGGGTGGGAGGGGTGGGGCTGGGTGGGGAGGGGCTGGTCATCCCGTGGTGCCCTTATACAACTCAACGTTTAACCTACTCACGCCGGCTTGTGCCCGCCCTCACAGTCGGGCATATTTGCGGAATACACCACGCCGCCGTTGACCCTGGCCATTGACCGAGCAAACCAACGTTCCTACCAGCTCCCTCCGCAAGAATGTGTTACTCGTGTTATAAAGGTGCACGCTTGCCGCACCTCCGAGTAGCATAGTTGGATACGTAAGGTTGGAAAGAAGTTCAACATACATACAACGTATTTCACGATATATGGGGAAGTGTAGTTAATGTGTAGGCGACTCTCGGCGTCAATTAATATTGCAAAGTGACACTCAGGGCAAGGCGTTTTAGTTTTACAGACTGTATTAAATTATTTTCAAAGAACGAGGTTTACACCGGTTTTCCTAACACTTTGACAACTTTAAGGGACTGCTTCATGTAAAAAAAGGGATCAATCCGTATTTTAACATCGGGTAATTTCACCAGCAATAGCCTGCAGTTTAACTCAGTACGTGTCACTTGAGTGCAGTGCCGATAACAAGATATTGTAATATGCACGTGTGTTGTCCGTCAGGACTTCGCGTACAGCCCGGACACGTGGAGGTTGATAATCATCAGTCAGCCGTGGGCGTTTAAGCTTTATCTGTGTGAAGGATGTAAAACACACAGTGTATGATCGCAGCAGCAGCAGAAGCAGCAGCGTCCCTTTGGGTTTGAATTTGGGACCCCACAAGTCGCTTTGCTCATCCGTGTGCTTCACGGTAAGTTAAGGTGTGATGAAGCAATTGCTATTCGGTTTGGAGTAGAGGATGTATCGTGTCCATTTGTTCTTTATTCAAGAGCGTAGACATCGTCATGCAGTTTTTTTATTTGGGAACGGCTATGGCAGTGCTTCTTAACCTTTACTGCAGCCTTTGCACCCCTTTGGTTATCAATCGTAATAAAAAGTATGTTAATAAATACATACCTGTCAACCCCTTATCAAAGTTCATCCTACAAAGTCCCATCACAAGGGAGAAACACAAACAAACAGACACACTTTTTTTGCCCGTATTGAAACGGCTATACGCCGTATGGACCTGAAAACTCAATTTCCTTCTACAAGAATACAGGTAAAATGTATGGGTTGACAGGTATGTAAATACATCGGTTTGATGAAACAAAGTAGTTGAGCTTACATGTCCTTGATTAATTTGTCTTTTACCTTCGAAAAGAGCTGGCCTTGTGTCACACCCCTTGGGGGTACATGCACCCCAGGTTTAGAACCATTGGGCTCGGGTTTGATCTTCAGTGAGTGCTGTCCGGGTACTGAACTCTGAAAAAAAAATATTTCTTCGCCCCTCCCCTGCTGTTGGTGGGCGATGGGGGGAGGGGGCTTGAAATTAAACCCTGGGATCACCCAAACTGGTTCAGCAAGTGACGATTCATGATACTGTCGTACACACATGCCGTGGCTTAGTGTTGGCTTGTATGTTGTTTGTTGTTGTTGTAAACATTCGGTCGACGGTTTGTAAGATTGCACACGGAATGCTTAAATAAGCCCTATCTCGAAACACCACGTATTTGCGCAAACCACTCAATACAAGGGGTTATGTTTTTTTGGTTTGTTGCTGAGCAATGTATAACAATATTTTTGTAGTGTCAAACAAAACTTGCATCCGATGAATACTCATAGCGGCACTTCGGTGTCAATGGCGACCCCTCCATCCTTGTTTTGTTCAATGTAAACGGTCGTTGGCAGCAACGAGAGGACACGTCTTCATTCACCAACAACATTTGTAGCACGCGCACATTTAACTTTCAAGGGACGGATGCGCGCAATAATAAATTCTAGAACAGTGGTTCTTAACCTGGGTTCGATCGAACACCAGAGGTTCGGTGAGTCAGTCTCAGGGGTTCGGCGGAGGTTAAGACACACACGCCCAACTCGTATGATTGTGCACCAGTAAAACATATACCTATGTTTTGAATTTGAAAAAATCACATTTTATTTTTCCAATTAATAAGGGTTCGGTGAATGCGCATATGAAACTGGTGGGGTTCGGTACCTCCAAAAAGGTTAAGAACCACTGTTCTAGAACGACAAACGTCTTCGGATTCTCGGACACATCACAGCCCGCACCTGATTGCGTGCGCGTGTGCGCCTCATACCAAATGCGAATAGGGAGAGGTGCCAAGGCGATACAGCTGCAAGCAATTGGCAAGCTCGTTACGTAAGGCGCGCAGCTGCCTGCGATTCTCTGCAGAGGGCATCGCTGCCGCAGATGATCAAGAGCGCTCTCCGTGGTGCTGAATACGGTACCCGTGTAATGATAGCAGGCCGTGTTGTAGTACTGCGGAATTACCACCACCACGGCTACTGCCTCCGCCGCTCGCGAACGCGGGCGAATGAATCACCCTGCTAACGACCTACGCACGGCATCGCACGTAGAATATCAACAAGCACAATTGAAATAGAAGAACTGCGCACGTACAGGCGCGCGTGCAAACAGATAGGCGCGCAAAGAAAGGCTGCGCCCTATGAGGACACACACAACAACACCCTCGGACGATTGGGTCGAACGTCGTGGCGCTGTGCCGTAAGAATCCCCATTGCTGCATAAGTGACCACGTAGGGAACAGGGAGGCGCTCTCGCTCTCTCCCCCCCCCCCTCTCCACCCCCTCCCTCCACCCGCTCCCTACACCCCCTCCCCATCTTTCTCGCTCGCTTGTCATCACGTATGTAGCATGCAGAGCCGGCAGCGGAGCCAGCGAGCCACAGCCGAGCTCTTTTTTAATGAGATACGGCGAGGCAGGGAGCGAGGGGGCTGTGGCTGGAGACCCGGATTCGGCGCTGCGGATGGCTGCTGTCCTTAAGCGGGCAGCAAAATGAAGGGGAGAGGAAGCGAGGCAGAGTTGTAACCTTTTTTGCGACTCAGCCCCCGGGATCTTTGCGCTCGCTTGTGCGTCTGTGTTTCGTTTTATTTTTTTTCCTCCCCCCACCGACGGGACCTAGGAGAGCCTAAAGGAAGGGGCAAGAAGGAGGAGCGAAGGAGAAAGATGTCCTCGGCTAAGGATGCGGGCGGAGGAGCGCAGCATGCCCAGTACGTAGGGCCGTACAGACTGGAGAAGACGTTGGGGAAGGGACAGACAGGTTAGTGTGCTCCAATCTCTTTCTGTTCGCACGCACAAACACACGCGGCGGCGGGCGGGCGGCGCGCTGCCTAACGTGGCACGGGGGGTGGGGGGGGGGAGGGTTGGAGACGCCGGGAGACGCGGGGAGACGCCGGGCGGGAGACGCCGGGAGACATGGGGCTCCCTTCCTGCCGCACGGCTTGCGTGCTGGTGCCGCCGCAGTTTGCTCGTGTAGTGCAGCCCCGTCATCTGCACCACGGCGTATCGCAACTTGAGTCGCAGCGTGTTAAACGCTTCGGTCTGCGTTGCCGAAACGCGACGGAGTCGAGCTTACATGACGATGTATTATCCAGCGGTAAATATCAGCAGGCATGACACAGCATTTGTTAATACGCACAAAGACTGCCTAACACAAGGAGGAATATCGGCTCTTCAATTTGGCTAGGTCACGCACTGTGTGTGTATGGTTGTGTGTGTGTGTTTATGATGCCGCTGTCGGTTCGTGATGGTGGTGGCGTGTATGAAAATTAAAAGTGCGGTGAAATCTCATTGAGGTTACGTGCAGCACGCGTGCGGCGCTACAAACCCTGCGTGCCCCTGTGCAGCCTTCGAATGCAGTATCCATAACACCTGCACACGTGTGCAGCACGACCACTACGGACGGTCAGCCCGTCTACATTCAAACAACCCATTGAACATGTTGTGATGGAGCTGTGTGTGTGTGTGTGCGCGTGGTCGCGCAGTGGTTATAGAACAACGCTTCGAATTCGGCCACCTGAGTTCGATTCCCGGTCATAGTTAACGTCGGTGGCAGGTGATATCTGTATCGGTCCTGGCTCCCCGAGACCTAGACCGGGCGTGGTGCCGGTTTCACCATTCCCATGTGCGCTGTGCCGGCCTTAAGAGGTGCTGCCTAACAGAACATGCCCTGACAATCTGTTAAAGGCTGTACGGAAGGTGTTCGTCTTTGTACGTGTATTAGTGTAGCGGTTAGCGCGCTGCGCTACGAACCCAGCGACCCGAGTTCGATTCCGGCCCCACGGCAAACGCAAGTGACGATTATCGGAACCGTTCCTGGGCCTCACCTAGTGTGATGTGTAAACATCGCCACTATAGAGACAAAGGCGGCCGGGCGTGGTGCTGGTCATCCACCCTCTCGTGTGCAGTGCCGGTCTTCGTAGGTGCTCGCTAACCGCATTCGCGCAAACAGTCCAGTAAATGCCATGCTGGGGATCTTTGTCTTTGTATGTTTTACGACCGTTTTCGGTGCTCACGAACAGCGCTTGCCCCCAACAGCCCATATACTGGGATCTTTGTCATTGTATGTGTGTGTGTGCATGTGTGTGTGTGCATGTGTGTGTGTGTATGTGTGTGTGCGCGTGTGTGTGTGCGCGTGTGTGTGTGCGCGTGTGTGTGTGCGCGTGTGTGTGTGCGCATGTGTGTGTGCGCATGTGTGTGTGCGCGTGTGTGTGTGCGCGTGTGTGTGTGCGCGTGTGTGTGTGCGCGTGTGTGTGTGCGCGTGTGTGTGTGTGCGCATGTGTGTGTGTGCGCATGTGTGTGTGCGCATGTGTGTGTGCGCATGTGTGTGTGTGCGCATGTGTGTGTGTGCGCATGTGTGTGTGTGCGCATGTGTGTGTGTGCGCATGTGTGCGTGTGCGCATGTGTGTGTGCGCATGTGTGTGTGCGCATGTGTGTGTGTGCGCATGTGTGTGTGTGCGCATGTGTGTGTGTGCGCATGTGTGTGTGTGCGCATGTGTGTGTGTGCGCATGTGTGTGTGTGCGCATGTGTGTGTGTGCGCATGTGTGTGTGTGCGCATGTGTGTGTGTGCGCATGTGTGTGTGTGCGCATGTGTGTGTGCGCATGTGTGTGTGCGCATGTGTGTGTGCGCATGTGTGTGTGCGCATGTGTGTGTGCGGATGTGTGTGTGTGTGTGTAGTTGCATAGAGCTCAGGCACTGATTCAGTTTTGAGTTAGCAGGGCGGAGGATGAAGGGGATTGTCAAGGGATGGGGTGAAAAAGAAATCCCCGCTTCCCATCTGCTGCGTCTCCAGGGTTGATGGCAGGGGGTGGAAAGGCAGTGGGGGGTGGTGGGGTAAGCGATGATGGTGGCAAGGGAGGGCAGTAGCAGCAAGGTTTTATTCCTTTTTCATCTAAAACCTGACTGCTGCTGCTGCTACATTTTGAGAAATTTCCACACCACCCCACCACACATATAAATGTACACGCGGCTGGTTCAGCACAGCAGTAACTTTTGTTTTGCCAAAGGCACGAATTAAGGAAGAAAAAAACCTCAATGGTCGTGTTAGAAAGCCAGAATGGGGCTTCTAATTTACTTAGCAATGAAAAGGGTGGCATCTCATGGCTTCTATCGACCAGGTTATGCACATTTAACCGTTCTTCTGATAAAAATAACATAACATACCCTGCAGAAACCGGTGTGTTTTCAGCGTGGGTTTTTGCCAAACGGAATATCATGTATCCGTTTATGTCGACGATTGCTTTATGCGCAGTCGTGTTTAATCAATATTTATTGCAATACAGTAATACGTATTCTTTGGCTTGTGAGTGAAAAGGTCGTTTGGTTTGGCAGTCTGGCTGAAAGCTTATGAGCCGTACATATTTTTCCTATGACTTTTATTGCGGGCAACATTAACATTAGCCTTTTAAATTGTGTTTAGAGGCAGTGTTGTGACGATGTGGAAATTAAACCGTTCATTGGAAGGCAGATCGTGTCGTGTTACTTTGCAACAAAATCAATATAAATAGAACGTAACAAATTCAATTTCACTCAAGAGGTTTTGGGCACTGTGTTTCGCCGATGAGGATTCCCTGCCAACACGGTGAAAATATAAAGACCCCGGGAATGATTGCACGTTACGTTTATTACTTTGGAGTTGATAATACCAATGGCAGTTTTAATAGTCTTGGAATTGTGTCTTGTCGTAACAAACACGTGGCCTCTGCTGCTCGACGTGGTGTTTCTTGTTTTGCGGTCGGGCCCATGCGGATGTGAACAAAGATCTGCAGGAGTCGGGATTTGCATTTTAATTTTTGTCGTACAAGCCTCGCGAACCTTGTGCATTTTCAATTTCCACTAACAGCCAGCGAATCCCTTGCGTGGTATCGTGGTGCAACAACTAGCATGTTAAATTACCTGCCTCATTGTTCCATTTTACGGGAGTACATGGCTGGCTGACCCATGCCATTTAAATCTAATCTAAACCAATGTAATTGTTTTTATTATCCTCACCACCCCCCCCCCCCTCTTAAATAGTTATTATTCTACACTGTGATATCTAATTGTAAAAAAATGTGATGAATATATTTGTTTTCCTTTCTGCTCATCCGAGAGTGTATTTCAGAAGGCAAATAATATTGACATTTTCAGACCAACAGCCCTCAACAACAGTCACACGCACAATCCCATCAAGCAGTCCGTCTCCGTCAATGTGGGTTAATTTGGTGGTGCTCGGCTTGGCTTCACTTGCCTGCTGAACACGAAGGCTCTCAGCAGTGCCGCGGTAGGGAAGCCGACAGCGCGTTATGAACCAACCGTGCACCTCGCCCTCGCCATCTGCCTCTATTGTGTGGGGGCACTGATGGGGGTGGGTGGCGGTGGGGGTGGCGGTGGTGGTGGAGGGGGTGGGAGGAGGAGTGTAATCGCCGTCCAGCAAGGAAAGGGTCGATGCTGTCACCTGCGCGGCGTGAGTCGTTCCGTGGCTCTCGGAACGCCGGGGAGGTGCCGTGGTGCGCGGAAGGATGGGGACAGGGCCACCGGGTTACGGGAAGTCAATGATGGTCATAGATTTAGAGTAATGGAACGGCGGCCCCACCGACTATCTTCACCACACTGCATTATTTATGGACGAGGGTTCGACGCGCTCTTCGGTAAACCACTCCCTCGTATTCTTCTTCTTCTCTGTCCTCTCCACGACGCTTTAAGGCGATTGGGAACGGCGTGATTTAGAAGGTAGGAGGCTGTTGTGCTGCTTTATTGGAGTGCTGCTGCTGCTGCTGAGCTGAAGAATTGCAAATCAAAACGTTTAATTTGAAAGTGGCCGGTGTGCTCTGCGGGTGAGGTGGGGGAAATGCGGAGTGGAGCTTGCGCTCAACAGAAGACGTCCTGCACCATTAATTTGCGCGATAAATGTTACAGAAATCGAACGTGTTGATGTTAGATCGACAGCTAGATAGCCCAGGCTTTAATGGATTGAAATCCCAACAACCATCCAATAATGCTTGCGGAGTATTTGTTTTTTTTATCACACTGTGCCGTCTGCTGCGAAAGTGGACGCCAAAAGAGGAGCCCGACACCGTTGCCAGAAATCTTATAAAATTGTAAATAAATGGCATGCGAGTAAATTTGTTTGGCAAGCCAGAGACCCCTCTGCACAATGACTGCTGGCGATCTACATGATCCTCCGCCCCCCATCGCCCCGATAGGCTAGTGCGTACCTCGAGACTCGCAGGGAATTGAAAGGTGCGGCATAAACGTGATCGACGAGGATGACGTCGATTACGGGAGGGCTATTATCCACGCTTCACGAGCCGGTGCGCGCTGGGGAACCCGGCAACTTAATAAGACGCGTCTTCCCTGGCACAGAGCAACGAGGAAGCGAGAGCCGTCGCTGGAAACGCCGTGCCCATCGTCCGCGGCGAGCGCGAATTCAACGGCGCTGTAACCCCAACAGCGCCTCCGGCCGCAACGCCCTGAGCCTGAGCATGAACCGAGTGCTTCGATCACTTCACAGGGTGTGGGGGGGGGGGCCCGTCAAAGGGGCACGGTGTTGGGGAAGGGGGTTTCGTGGTGACCGCCGTGCCTCTGTTTCTGCCCATGGACTCCGAACACGGGGAGGGAATTCCTCGGAGGCCATTTGGTTCTGCTCCGGTTGGGAGGGCTTCGTTTGCGATGTTGTATTGCGAGGCCGGGGCGTACCCTTGGGGCCGGCGTGGCCAGCGTGCTTGACCGTACTAGTGGGGAGCCATCTCGGGTAGATGACCTTGCAAGCTGCTGCCTC